GTAGGTAATTTCTGCTCAATTTATAGCAAGATAGTTTGTGGTTCTAGTTCTATACCTATACAGGTAAATAATATGTGATTACTCTTTGTGTTGCAAGCAAAAGTTACAGTACAGGCGTTCATTACACGACGGGAAAGGGATAGAGTCAGCCCATTACAAGAGTATGATATCGTTGCTCAAATCTTGTTTCGCTTCGCATTAAAAATGATGAAACCTACTGTTCATACAAATATTATCTCTAAGTTCGCAGTTAATAGTTGTTCATTATTATGTGATTTTCATTGTGCATAATGTTTTCATTATAATGCTGCAGATAAAGTTAGTTTTATAGTGCTTTATTTTATAATTTGGTTTGTCTGCTGGAGTAGCGACGTGAAGGAATAAAAAATCCCTCATTTTTATTTCTGATTAAGGCTCCCGTTTATTTAAATCTGCTAAGTAGAGCTACAGTTTTGCCCCTGATATATCCATGAAATAACTAGCTCATGGTTTAAAATGTGTCCTCTTCATTTTAATAAAAGTATCTTTCGGGTTTTTATTAAAATAAACCGCAATATTTTAAAACTCCCAACGGTTCGAATGCTTTACAGCTTCGTGGTCAAGCGCTGAGATGTCAGCAGGCGCCTTGGTAGACGTAGGGCTTCCGTCAGATTTAAAAATCAAATTAAAGGGACCCATTCACTATCCTGCGTGGCAGTCCGCCGTGCAGGACTGCGAAGCAGGATGTAGCTCACACACTGTCCTTTTTAGCCGTCCATCATCCATCAGTTTCTCAATAGTATCGGTGTTATTGTAATTATGCATTCACGTACTATTTCGAAAAAAAGGGTGTAGGAAAAAAAATATTCAAAATTCGTCAGAGTAAACGTAGTTGCGCTTGTGATAACTCACTGGTAAAAGATATTGATCCAGATCACTATCGAAATTAGTAAATTACCTAAGGATGAATGAAGAGACGTTACATTATTTGCTTAATAAAGTAACGCCGATTATAGCCAAGCAAGATACTTTACGATTTTTAGGTGGAAGAGCTTATGAATGAACGGTCATGTATTAACTATTTTTAAGTATTAATTTTTCAGTCTATCGAATTGGAATTGCTTTCTTGAGTTTATATGTCTTCAGATACTTGTGTGAATGAAAGATTTGGTGTTGTTTGTACCAACAAGTGGCGATGCTGATGCAGGTGTCATAATGATCGGAGAGTTGGGATTTTTGTACCAATAATATGATGAATTCTTTTTTTTTTAAGCATTGCCCTTACTTTAGGATAACATTATCGTGTGTTGTAAGGACGTTTTACAAACATAAATTTCACGCGGACAAACACCCAGATGCAAAACAACTATCTGTGGGCCACACAAATAGCTGTCCCGTGTGGGAATCGAACCCACGACCCCCGATGCCGAAGCCAATACTTTGGCAACAACGCCACGGAGTCATCAATTATGAAATTTATGATTACAAAGATGTGTTTACATGATAACATTATCCAGTGTTGTAAGGACGTTTTACATACATAAATTTCACGTGGACAAACACCCAGATCCGTAAAAATTATCTGAGAGTCCCACAAATAGTTACTCCGTGTGTTAATCGGACCCACTACCTGGTGCAGAAGCCAATACCTTGGCAACTGCGCCAGGGAGTCGGAATTTCAAGATCCCAAGCCGATAGGAAAACCCAACCATCTTCTCTGTTGACATTTGGATGTTCCTTTATTTCAATTGCCTTGCGAATCATCCTTAGACTCTTGGAAGATGACGATGTTCTTTTTCAAATATTTGTGGTTTATCACATCTAATATAATGGCCCAACCGGTTTTGCGTGTGTTACCAGAGTGCTGATTTACTTGTTATGCTTATATTATTTCATGCTTGGTCAGGGCCAGATTTATAGGTCTGGAGGTCTCGGGGCAACAAACGAGTGGAGGCCCCTTGGCCCCAAATTATTTTCTATTGATTTCTGTTAATATTTAATGTAATCATGTTTGTACAAAGTACTGTTGGTAAAAGTAAAACGCGAAGAAAATATGAAAGGAAAAGTTGTTTACTAGTCTGAATTTGAATTTTTTTTCCGAAGTCTATTGTGGGAGCCTCTTGTTTGTAGAGGCCCCGGGGCTGTTACCCCGGTTGGTTCTTTATTGCTCTCTTTGTCTGGATCTGAGGTTGGAAGCCACTATCAAACGCTTTATCGATGATTGACCTTTGTTTTCGCACAACAGACATTTCGGATTAAGGTAGATACGACAAAGGCCCCAGGCCCATAGGCCTGCCGCCCCTCCCTGTTAGTCCGCCACTGCCCTTACTCGCCAGACGAAACATAAAAGTATTTTATTTAAGCAGTATAAATCCTACTTCATGCCTGTCATCTGTCAGACAAAGCGGACAACAACAGAAGTTGCTGCGTCGCCCAACACGTTGCAGTTGCTTAATATTAGATCTTTACATTTAAAATTGGCGTTTCGTCGAACTGGCCACTTTGATCTCAAATATCTGGCGTTTGGCTATGAATTCGGAATTCAAATTTGTTTCTAATTGTGTGTCTTCGTATTTTGAATTTAGTGATTCATTTGTTTTCACGCCATTTGATTTTTCTTGGACACCGGTCTATTCACAATATGGAAAACTTAAAATATCGGGTTATTTAAGAATAGGATTTCGACCATGGCGCCAACGCTGCAGAAACAGGTCGAAGGTTTATATCATTAAGTATGGGAAAGCTACTGTAATAGAAAACACAGTAAGTTTTTAGTACCAACGTTTTCGTTATGGAAATTTTGACCTACAGAACAAACCCCGTGGACGAACGGAAACCCTAATTTACAAAGAAGAATTAAAGGTGATCGTGGAAGCAGATCCATCGCAAACCACGCCAGAGTAAGTGGCGGGCTTCGGTGTGAGTGACAAAAGAGTTTTAATTCACTTGAAACAAATTGGAAAAGTGTTTTTCACTTTGCCAATTTGTTTCAAGTGGTTTCGCGCCCATTCGGAAAACGTTAATTCAATTCCCTCAGCGATCAAAAATTTTTCGTCCATTTTTATATCGTCGTCCACAAAATGTATTGAAAATTTCATAATTTATTATAACTAGTATATGTGTTCTCATTCAAAGTCACTAGGGTCCTTCTGAAAGCGTTTTGAGTTGGTATGATAAAGCACTTATTTTGCCTTCCCCATAATCTCTTGCTTAGTCATATCCGGTTTATGCAACAATATGTAGTTAATAAAATAATGAAAAAAATTACAGGTTGCACTCCGAGAGTGACGACAGAAGTGAAAACTTATTTTGGCGCGTTAGACATTTTTTTAAATAAATAAAATAATATAAACAAACAATTTTGATTCAAAGTCATTTAAATATCTCTTGAATACCACATCAATAGTACTTTTATCTCGTTGTGCTAATATTGCTTTGATTGGACATAGTAAAATCAAATTCTCTATTCAAAAATTCAATTCAGCACACACTATAGCTGCTTCTCGTAATGGTGTCGCGAGTCCAGAGATTTTATCTCATCTAAAAATATGCGTACCGCGCTAAAAGAAGTTTTCACTTCAAAATATATAATACTAGCTGCTGCCCGCGACTACGTCTGCGTAGAGGGGTGAAAATTTAGGGTTGTATGTATTTTTGTATGCTGTGTCATAAAAAAATAGAAACAAAAAGTTTTATATAAAAAAAAAAAATTTAGGGGTGGACTAACCTTAACATTTAGGGGGACGAAAAATAGATAGTAGCCGATTCTCAGACCTACTGAATACGCATATAAAATTTGGTAAAAATCGGTCGAGCCGTTTCGGAGGAGTTCAAGTTCGAACCCCGTGACACGAGAATTTTATATATTAGATATTCAATATGTTTCCTTATTCCTAAATATCGCTAAAAAGTTTCCAGGTGCACTGCAGACATTGCAGTTCAAAGGGATTATTTTTTACATCGACCATACAGCCAAAAAGACGCCGCACAAGGGGCGACCCTTTTCAGTGAACACATACCTATGTGAAATAGATCATTTATGTAAGTAGCTACATTAAACTGTCGAGCCAGTTTCGACCACGTCTGTGAACCGTAAAGACTTTCTCTCAATAAATATTATAATGCCTCCTTGTACATTAAAATTAACTCCGACTGTCTTTACAGTCGGAGTTAAAGTTTCAAGAAAGATGGTACTTATAGCATTTCATCGGTAAATTAATAATCGTTATAATCATTTAAATTTCTTACATTAGTATGATTTATCGGAGTTCATTATTTTATATTAGTCGGTGAAATAAGTTGCACCTTTCTTAATACGCGAAAACAATGCGTTGATGTCTTTCATAGTTGGATCCCTTTCTTACATACGCAAACTATATCACTTTCCACCTCTTTCCTTGACAAAAGATAAAGTGATGGCCAAATTTGCTAATCTATTTTATCGATATTTTTATTTTTAATAGTCATAGTGTCTACCCATAGACGCTGGTTCGAATCCTACCCGCAGTCTAATTTTTTCTTCACTACAATTACATTAAAATCTTAGTAAGCAAATAATATTTTGGGGCATTTTACACAGCAGCATTCCAGAACTTGAACTAGACAATCGATATAATACTTATATACTTTTTTGTAAATATATACTTACAATACATGAGACACACCTATAATATAAATTTATACTTTAGTACCTACATACGCTTTTAGAATTAAGATTTTTTTATAATGGCTTTTATATTATATTTATTACTGTAAGAGTACTTTCGTTTTATTACAAAAAAAAACATTGATTAGATATATCGTGTTAACCAAACCTGTCCCGTCCCTAATCTTGTTACCTATTGCTATTTACCTATGATTATTTTGATGTACAATATTGAACAAAAACTATTTGGTCGATGATTATTTTTATATTCTACTTATATACACGAGGTATTACTAATTTATTCTCAAATGGAGTTTAGAAATAGAAGTAATGTACAAATTCATTATTTTGCCTTATTTATACAGAAGTAAAATCATTTTCGCTTCTTCTTTTCTGGACGACTACCACCCATATCTTCTAGTTGCTGTTTCAGGTCTAGAAGCTCATTATCAGGAACATAACGGATTTCTTCATGTTCCACAGTGTGCTCATGGACATTCAAAGAGCATCCCTCTGGCAATATTGCTCTTGCAACTCGAAGTAATGTACCTAATGCCCAAGCAGGTACATCAACAACCTTAAAAAATAATTAAATGTGAATGAAATTATTATGTTATTATAAAACAATAATGGCATATGGTCTAATCAATCTACATTATAATGGTATCACATACATATTATGGTAGGCAATATATATTTTTTTATAGTTTTTTAAAACGTTGCCCTTACTTTAGGATAACATTATCCTGTGTTGTAAGGACCTTTTTTACAAACATAAATTTCACGCGGACAAACACCTGGATGCGAAACAACTATCTGTGGATCGCACAAATAGTTGTCCCGTGTGGGAATCCCCCACGACCCCTGACGTCGAAGCCAATACCTTGGCAAATGCGCCACGGAGTCATCTCAATAATTGTAATTAAATTATATTCATTACATAAAAATGTAGTAAAGTCCATGCAGTAGTCTTCGCTTTTTCATGATTGGGCAGGTCCATCTGGGGTAGTATCACGACCTCACAGAAGACCAGCGTTAAGTACAAGTGGTGTTATACTTTCGTCTGATGAATGAGGTAATCTGGGCCGCACTTTATTGAAAGGTGGCAACGCATTTGTAAACTTACGGGTTTTGCAAATTTCTATGGGCAGTGGATATCACTTAACATCACGTGAACCGCTAGCTTGCTTGCCACTATATATTATCATTCCCACTGTTGGGCAAAGGCCTCCTCTGTACAGAGGCACAGTACACCATGCGACCTACTGCAGATTGGTAGACTTCACATATCTCCAAAATATGTTTTTTGTTATTTTACGAAAATATGCAGGTTTCCCCACAATGTTATCCTGCACTTATAATATAATCGAAAATAAGTCCGCACTTCAAATTGTAATTAAAAATTTTGTTAGTGCCAGCATGGAGAGTTGAACTTAGTTTTCTCAAGTATATTGGATTAAAAGCGAGCATCCAGAAACTGATGACATAATTTTCAATAATATAAATTATATTTTTCATATTAAGTGAAGAATTCATAATAAATTCTGATATTTGTAGTACATGTTATTGTAATAGAATATGATAGATAAAGTTATGACAAACCTGCACATTTCTTTCATAAACATTGAGGTTGTATTCTGCATCCACAACAGTTCCTTTGGGTTTAAAGCGCTGTACTTTCAATTGTTGTGCAGGTGTCGCCCAACTGTAAAATATAAAAAAATATCAATTACACACAATCCTAAAATGTTACACAATTATATGTATCAGTGATACATATATGTAGTATGTTTTTTTTAATAATAATAACACTTTATTTATAAAAAAAAACATGGTTGTATAATGCAACATGATGTTATGTCAGATCCTTAAGTATCGAATGTTTTTTGCTCTAGACGAGCATACAAATATTTAGTGCTGTTTTTAGCACCTACATTAATAAATAATAAGAAATTACAGAAGAAAAAACAAAATAATGAAAAAGTGAAAAAAAAAATATCAATCAGTTAACAGTGGTATGAAAACATAAGATATATGTAATTGAATACACGTGCAGACCTTTAGAATAACCTTGATACACAGCATAATTTATTTATTGAGTACCAAGAAAATTACATGTACACAGAGTTAAATAAACAAAAAACGAAACGGGAAAGTGTTTGTCATACTTCCACTTTACGCTGGTCTTCTGTGAGGTCGTGGTACTTACCCGGATGGGCCTGACCATTCGTGCAACAGCCGAGACTGCTGCGTGGCCCTACCACCATATATATATACGGTCCAAGTTTTGATCTAATATTCATTTAGATTTAATATTCATCTAAATTGTCATTAAGAAATTCACAAGGTAATAATAATAACTTTTATCATATAGCTTAATTTTCTTTTTAAAATCTAAAATACTTCCTTCTCCTTCCAAAATACCTCGTCCTTTATATTGATTGGTGTCTTATTATATACGCATACATGCTGCTCTATTTTTCGAAACTGGCCAGCTTGACTGACATACCACCTGGTGGTAAAGGGTGATGCATACGTTACCATTAACGTAAGCGCGCTAGCATAGCAAAAGCCTATTCTTCTTACTAACTCTTGCCTTGGAGGCGCCTACGTTATAATCGGACGCCTGTGCTCAAGGCTAGTGAGACTGGCTTAAGTTACGGTCACCAATGAGCCTTTCCACGCCTCTTTATCGAGTTCAAAGCAGCCAGATGTTGCAGCCCCAGCCCAGATATGGCAGCAGTACTCCACACACGATCGAACTTGAGCTTTGTATAGAGTAAACTGCGCCGAAGTGAAATACCGTCACACTTTTGCAAAGACGCCTAACTTCCTTGCAGCTATTACGTTGAATCTCACAAAATTGGTACTGCCCCATTGAGACTCTCTACCTCTACCATGGCTTCTCTTTAGGACTGGATGAAATCTCTACCGACCCGAAGACTCGTTTAGTATCTCTCCATAACTGTGCTGACGTTTACGCACCCATAGACACCGGACACACATTTCGGACAAATCAATCAGCCTTCTCTTTGGCTGCATGTATCTGTGATCCATCCGGTTTTACCAGGAGAGACGGTGATGGCCAGCAAAAGTAGGGTTGGACCGCTTTGGCAAGAGACCAGAAAGCCCTGCTGCCAAATGGTTGGGCAGAGAGCTTAGTGGCAATTCATTGAATATGGTCTAATCCAGCCTGTAGATAAGTTTGACTCACATCATTTAAGTAGGTGTAGTACCTGGAGGTTTTTTTTTTTGTAATTCGTGTATTTTGGAAATTACATTTAGATACAAATTACTGAGTAATGAAATATGCATAATATTTTTCGATTTTACCAAAGTAATAATAAGAAAATATGAACTGTTTTATTCACAAAAGAAAGAACTTTAAAAAAAAGGGAAAAAAGAACAAAATCATCTAGGTTGACAAAAAATAAAAAATAATCGATTTTTCACCCTCGAATCTACGCACATACTAAATTTCATGAAAATCGCTGGAGCCGGTTCCGAGATTCTGGTTATACAGCGTGTCTTTACAATCGCGACAATAAATGAACACACATATAAAGGATAACTTTTTAAAATTGTATTAAACATTTACATTCTTTAAATATCAATAGAATTTTAAAAGAATTTTAGAACACCCTTATGTATAAAACTGTAAAGGAAAGTTCATTTGTAAAGGTCACAAAGCATATGAATGGGTTGAATGAATTTAAAAGAGACAAAACATACTGTTAGAAGGAGAGGATTGTAATGCGACGCTGTGGCAACAAATTAAAAAGTCTCTGAATGTATGAATCAGTCAGTTGTAGTTGTATAGGGTGTTACAAATTTTGTTTCTTTGTTAATTAATTAGTTTGTTCGAAATTTTTTTTTAATTATGGATTTTTTAATGTTAATTTTTTTTTTATGATTATTGGCAAGTAGCGTTAGATGTGTGTTCATTTATTGTCGCATTGGTAACAACACACTGTAAATATATATACAAGAATTGCTTGTTTTAAGGTATAAGATAAATCTTGGTTAACTTCTCAGAATGGTTTTCAATTTTAAGTTAGTGGATTTTGAAATAATTTTGCATTAAATAAAAGTGACCAGCTACTGAAACAATTACATTTGCATATTTGTCTCAATTACCACTTTTGCATCTTTACTGCTAATAATGTAAAGTAATACACTGAGTATATTAAATCTTATCATGATTTAATATACTCTGTTTCACAAAAAGAAGCAGTATATAAATGTTATACAAACATTTGTTGCTCATAATTGTCTCTACTAGTCTTTTAGTACTTTAAAATAGTAGTGATTTGTGGGAATACCATTTTCAAAAAATATACAATATTAAGAAAATATAAAATATATGAAAAAACATACCACTCATCAACTTGTATTCCCATTACTTCAGCGAAACGGTGTATTTCAGCTTGGCAAGATTCTAACAATGCAAAATCATATCCCTTTAGTTGTAAATTTAAACAGTCATATACTGGCTCATCCGGTTCCATACTCTGTTAACAAAAATTTTGTGAAACAATACTGTCAAATTTCGATAACAACATTTCATACATTCAAACTTACTATTAAATAATCTGGTTCATGCAAATCATTCTTGTGTCGTTTTATATTATTTTGAAGGAGAGGTACCACTGTTTTTATTCTGTGTATTTTTAGAGTGTTGTTTAATTTAACCTGAAAACATAAATAGAATAGCAGAAGTAACATAAAAAAATAGATGTTATACATGATGGTTAATATAGATTTCCTTACGAGAGATAACACTTTAGTTGAAAACATTGTAATAAGAATACAAATTTATTAAACTAATAATTTTATCCGTAATGTCACAAATTATAAAAATATGTTAGAGCATTAAATAAATTGATTAATTCTGTCTAAGTGTCTATGGACACCTGGAGAGCAGACAGTCTGACAGACATAAATAAATTTAAAATGACATTTCATGTGTTTGTATTGCTATTGCTATCACAGAGTAAGTTACAAAATGTTACAATTAGAATGTCCACAAATTGGAATTTATCCCATGATTGAACCATATTACTCAATGTCTTAGGAGCATATAATCTAATTGAGATGACATTAACTCATTAATTGTTTTCGTAAGCGATGATTTGATTATAAATTGCATATCTTAAACCAAAATAACAACAACAACAAAAAGTAGGGAACAAAAAGTAACTACATCGGTACATACGTACTGTCATCGGGGTCAATAGTACAAATGGGTGTTCCTCAGGGATCGATCCTGGACCCATTTCTGTTTTTAGTCTACATAAATGATTTGCCATATGTGGTAGAAAAAAGGTCTCAAATCGTTTTGTTTGCGGATGACACTTCACTGTTGCTTAAGGTTAATAGGAAAATTGTTACATTAGAGCAACCAAATGAAATACTAAGTGTCGTGTCGAGCTGGTTTGCAACCAATAATTGACTTTTGAACGCCACTAAGACTAAATGTATCAGATTTACTTTATCAAAGCTGTCTCACAAATCAGGAATCTTTATTGATGACAACAACCTACCTCTCGAGGATTCAACAGCATTCCTTGGAATATGCATTGACTCTAAGTTGCATTGGGGAGCTCATATAGATAAATTAGCTAAGAAGTTGAGCGCTGCCGTCTTTGCCATACGCAATATCAGGCAAGTAACTTTGTTATTTATTATGCTTATTTTCACAGTATTATGTCTTATGATGTCTTACTTTGGGGTTCCGCATCCAGTTTAGATACGATATTTGTATTGCAAAAGCAAGCGATACGGGCTGTCTATGGCCTGGGTCCACGTGAGACGCTTCGGCATATTTTTAAACAAATAAACATCGCTCCTGTCGCTACTTGAGAACATAATTTATGTACGAAATAACATAAACCTTTTTACAAAAAACATACCACATCGCGTCGGGGCGGTGGTGCCACGTTGGAAATACTGAGGTTCAGACTAGTTACAACCAGAAAATCGTTTCTTGGGGAATCGGTCTAAATGTATTACATTATATAATAGAATAGGTGACATCCACAAACAATTAAGTGTAAATAATTTCAAACATTTTATAAAAGCCACCTTAATGGAAAGGTCCTATTTTATTGTCGAGGAATACATTGAGGACAAGAATTTGTAATATTTCACAATTATGCATTTACTATGGTTCGTTATCTATTCTGGCAAAAAAGAGTTTTCTATCTAGTTTGTTTGTGGGCAATAATCTTTGTAGTGTCAGATGATGGTTAATGTAATAGGTATTATATACCTCGGTAAAAGCACTAAATTTTAGATTTCACATTGTAATTACTTGTATTCTGTAGTGTCGAAATAAATGGTGAATCATTGATCAGTCTATTCCTTTTTGAGGCTATGGCATCAACCACTCCGTTTCCCAAATGGCAATTGGCTATCCTTCTTGGTGCGCCCTTAGCTATCGGTTTAGGTTACCTGTATCTTAGAAACAGATTGGAAGACCCCGAAAAGAAAAAAATTGCAGATTTAAAGGCCAAAACTACCATATCTTTGGATAATGAAGAAAATAATGCGAAAGCATCTGAGAGTGCTATTGACCGCGCTATGAAATTAAAAGGAGCCGGGAACCGAGCTTTTCACGCAGGAGAATATGATAAAGCTATTGCTCTTTACAACGAAGCTATTGAGGCTTGTCCTCCAGATCGCCCTGTTGATTTGGCCACATTTTATCAAAACCGTTCTGCCTGTTATGAAAAGCGCGAAATGTGGGAGCAAGTAAAAGAAGATTGCACTTTTGCTCTGAAATTAAATGAGAAATATGTTAAAGCTTTCTTGCGTCGCTCTCGCGCAGCCGAAAAAAGTGGTGATTTAGTCCTTGCTTTAGAGGATGTAACTTCGGCATGTATTCTTGAAAGATTTCAGGTACAAAGTTCCCTAGTAAATGCAGATCGTATTCTTAAGGCCTTAGGTAGACAACATGCACGAGAAGCTCTAGCTAAAAGACACCCAGTTATGCCATCGAAACATTTTATCAAGACTTACTTCTCTGCATTCTCTGAAGATCCCATTGCACAGATTCAGCTAGATGCTAATGATGTGGGTGGATTTTGCAAAGCAAAAAAAGCACTTGATTTGCAACAATATGATTCAGTAGTTGATGCTTGCACTGAAGAGTTGGAAGCTGATGGAAAATACAAATATGAAGCTTTACTTCTGCGTGCCACTTTTTATTTACTGCTTGGCAGACATGATGAAGCTCAAGCTGATCTCGGAAAGGTAATTGACAGTGATGCAACATTGAAAGTAAAAGTTAATGCTTTAATTAAACGAGCATCCTTGTTTACACAATTGGAAAACACTGAACGCTGCCTAGAAGACTTTGCAAATGCTGCCAAATTGGACCCAAATAACTCCGACATATATCATCATCGAGGTCAAGTTTATTTACTGTTAGAACGCATGGATGAAGCTACTGCAGAATTTGCAAAAGCCGTTGAATTAAACCCTGAATTTTCAATAGCATATATCCAAAAATGTTATGCTGACTATAGACATGCACAGTTGCATAAAAATGTGGGGGCTCTTAACCAAGTTAGAGCTGACTTTGAGCGTGCATTAGAGAGATTTCCAAGATGTGCCGAGGCTTACATTTTATTTGCTCAAGTTCTATCAGATCAACAAGAGTGGGGCCGTGCTGAATCACTTTTCGATTCAGCTCTGTCAGTGGACCCAAATAATGCTACATTGTATGTTCACAAAGGACTGGTTCAGTTACAAAAGAACACAGATTTTGATAAGGCCGTAAAGTTAATTAATAAAGCTATTGAGATGGATGACAAATGTGATTTTGCTTATGAAACTCTAGGCACCATAGAAGTACAACGGTAAGCATAAAAAAGAATTTGACTATATCAGTTAATTAGAATTTTTATATTAACAATCTTTGAAATATAAATGATTTGTTTTTTATAAATGATTTGATTTAAATTATTTATTCCCATTTTGGGACAACTATAAAACATAAGTGGATAGTGTTAGATAACACTTATCAACAGAAGTTTATATCTGATGATAAGCGTGAAACCATCTCTTGGAATCTACTGACATACAAATAACATCTATTTTACAGTGGAAACCTGAGGCGGTCATTGGAGCTGTTCGAAAAAGCAATTGCTTTAGCCAAGACGGAACTAGAAATGACACATTTATTTTCATTGAAAGATGCTGCAGCTGCACAACTTAAAGTATCTGAACGTTGGGGTCTTGATTGGACTGTGAGCTAGACCTGCCATTTATCCTGCCCAAATTTATATGAGAATAACAATACTTTTAAATATTTCAGAAGTTTAAAAATTGTTGAATGAAAAATGCACATTTGTTAGACATTCCGTTAGTAATTCCTTGTATTTGGCATTCTAATAAAAAAAGGTTTTCAATGTTGTGATGTGTGGAATTTTGAATTGTTAGTGATATTGAGGTTAAGACATTCTTTAAAAATAAATATAACAGATAATAAAATGAAATTTCTAATAAATTCTGCATCCCTTATGAGACCTAAAACATGAATAAAAAGTTTTAATGTTATTCCTAAAAATTTACCTTTTGCTGCTATTTAACTTATCTTTAAATTGATTCGATTTTAATTACATTATTTGACAATTATTGAAACAAATATGGATTTAAAAAGTGTACATAAAAGATAGGCAATTAAATGTTAATGAAAGATTATCTGCTGATGCAAAATAGTATAATTAAATGTGTATGATCAGTCTATGAGAAATTGCTTGTTACAATTTGGATTCTCTGAGATGACATTTTTAAGTTATAAAGTAAAATTAACATTAATTTTGTCTAAGTTCCTGGGCTGTTATGTCTCATGGTTCTGTTGGTTTCATAAATGGATAGTTCTTGTTTTAACATAGGGCTGCATTCAGTTTATATAAGAATGCCAATATAAACATGGTATATAAATGTGGTTTAAAAAAGAATATTAATTTTGTACCTATTCTATTGTTTTTACTGTGTGGGTGATGATTTAAAAATATTGTTATTCTCATTTATGATTGAGCACAATGTATAACACTTAATGAAGCCGCCGCAAAGTCACCTGATTTATAATGTGTCAGTGCCCTAAATCAATGGTTTTAGCATTTAACAGTTTTATTTAATTAAAACTTGTACTAATGGACGTAAATTCAGAGTTGTGCATACATTCATTACAATATATTATATTCTGTAAGAGAATATTATTTCTGCAGTTAAAAAGGCAGTTTATTATGTTTTAAAATTATTTCATTAGAAATATAATATTAAATCATTTACATTCACATTTTTGTAAACATGAAAATAACTACAACACTTTATTGGTATCTTCCATATACTAGCATCAAGTAGATGTTCTCTTTGGTTTAATTTTAATATCAAAGGTATTTTACGAAATATACTTCTGGAGACCAGCAAAGTGATTGTATCAATTGTTATAACTATCTCAATGATTTATTCTGGTGCTGTTACCATACATGTACATTTTATTATGTAGCGAGAATGATGCTTTTGTTACCTACTAGAATTTCAGATAAAGGTAATGACATTTTTAAACTCAGTGCACTTTGAATTTAAACTGCCATATTTCTTGCTATTAGTGGTTGTTTAATTTGATAAAATGTGAAGTTAGACTATTTCTGTCTCAATAAAAAAATTGCTTCTAATATCAAACTCAAAATTGTATAGTGTGCAAGAAAAGAGCAAAATATTTGTAGATATTTATTTATGTATATATTTATGACATAATTTTAGTTACAAAACTTTTGAGTATACCACAATGATTAGTTAGCTTTAAATATAGTATGTTGTAATAGTTTAGCACTACAACTGTTCAGTAGAAATTATGAATAAAAACTATCAGAATTAAAAGTAGTTCATTATATTTTATTTCAAACTCATATTTCACCTTTTTCATAGCATACTCAGATGTGAGTTTAATGTTAAATGTAGGTGTTGTTATTTCTATTATAGATTTATTCTTTACAGCTTATTATAAATCCTTAAATGCAAGTACATAATTACATTGAACTGCACAACATTTGATATTGAAGATTATTTCAATTGTTTGCATGAGAAATGTGGTTCACTATGTGTATAGTAATGCAGTGTTAGCCACTGTTCAGAGGAGGCCTTTGATGTAAATTAAAAAAAATAAAATTGCCACTTTTATCTACTGTAAAAAATAAACAAACCCTGGAACTTGTCCAGCCCCAGAGTTAAAAGTGTCTGATTATTTGTTAATGTTTTCCTGGTTCTTAATGTCTGGTTAGATGAAGATTTTTATAAGTTTTGCCCTTTGTATTAGTTTTCTACACTTTGATAATTAAAGCATTTATTTGAACAGAAAAAAATATTAACATATTTTAATTCATTAGGTGTTTACTGTGTTGTTATATTTATTGTATTATTCCATTACAAAATTAACAGTTTATGATTGATTCTTAAAAAAGAAAACTTAAATATTTTTATATTATTAAAACTTAATACTATGAAAATCGAGCGGCGGCTTTGTGCGCGTGCTGCGTGCGCCTAATTATCTATTTTTTTAATAAGGACAAGACCAAGAAATTTTTGGGTGGCTTAAGTTTGATTTGTTGTGACTTTGAAAATTGTCGGCCAGTTTGTAAAGTTAACAAAATAGCCTGAAAAATGTGTCCTATAAAATTGTTACCTCACCGATAGTAGATAGTCATCAGTTTACGAAATTACGAAATACAAATATGTAGTAAATAAAACTGGCTTTTATTGTTTGGTCCTTAATTTCAGTATATTTCCATTTAGGTGAAGGTCTTCAAATTAAAGTATAATACAAGTGAATGCCTGTACATGTCCTATAGCTGGGCACAGAAATCCTTTGTACATAGGGTATAAGAGCATCTCCTACCACGTTTGGGCCGTGGAGGGTAGGAATAACGATGCTTTACGATACTGTCATTTCTACCTCCGCGGCCCCACCACAGCTGCATCAGCGGTGCAGCTCCGCCGAGTCGCGCATAATAGGAAGAGGGTCCAAACGCAATAGGTACCAACACTTGTCTCCCGCAACTCCACCTCCGTTGCACGCACCCAAAGAGCGCTTATCAAGGCAACCAAGTCCCGATTAGGCGAGAGCCCACCCGTTGGGATGAAGACAAACCAGATTCGCAGCTGCGGGCTGGTAGGCTTGCTACTTTTTAGCACTGGCCGTCGACTCCCATAACCTCTTGGCAGCAGACAACGGGGGTCTTGCCCATGCAAAAAGGTTCTAGTAGTAAGGCTCGCTTTATTTTCCAGTGCGACTTACAAATAGGAGTGAAGGGTTGTACTCCGAGAAGGGGTTGTTAAGGCAGCAGGTGTGGATGAAAGCATTCCCGTGGCTTCGTCGATATGTGCCCTAGGAAAATCGTAAGATTTTTATCGGTGCGAATGCGATATAGCTCATTGTCCTTACGAGGCCGTATGCATCCATTCCCACATGTAAACAAAGAAAATGTATGGGATCCGCACAACATGTGAATCATGTTGTTTTAGCTGTATCGGTATTATTCGTCCTGCCGCTTGTACCGTGTGGGAATCCAAACCGCGACAAGGTAATAGCTTAGAAACTGCGCCACCGAGTTATGGGAGTTATTGATTAAGTATATATTTAATTATAATATATCGTGGCAGATTTTAAATATCGGTTCATCGTACCAACCGCTGACGCCCCGCCTATATATCGATCTTTTTGTATCGAATTTTATTCGATAAACGAAGCACTGTTTACATAATATATTACCATTAAAAAAATCAATCGAGATAGCTATGCTATTTTCAAACAAAAATGTCACAAATATAATTTATTTTATTGTACTTTGTGAGTTTTTTGATACTGTTTTCTGTTTTTTATGTTACAATAGTACTATTTCTAATATTCAATTTGGCGAAGATCCTTTAACACGTTACAATGTCTTTGGGATCGACCGCCGATTTCAGACACGCATTCGCTGTTCTATGACGATTTTATGTCCAGGTATTGCATGTTCATTATTCTAAAAATTTAATTAAATCCTGTTTAAAAATTGAATATCTATAACGTTATGTTATTTCATCGATTTATTTATTCAAATTTTGTTCATCATCTAGTATTTTTACAACAAAAAGTTTACTCTAGCAGTGACAGACAGCTCGATGTCATTGATTTAATATAACCAATACGCATATATTTTTAATCGCTTTTTTAATATTTTATGTTTGAGATAAATGAACACTTTTATAAATCGCATCTTTATGTTATTGTGTATCATACATACTGCTTGTAATAACTTTGTGTTAGGAGTTGTCTGTTTGAATTGTTCGTCTACACATCGTAGCTGGGTTAAATGTGGATTGGAAACATCTAATAATATTCTCACCCCAAATATGACTACTCATAGTTTAATGAATTGTAGCGAAGGTGTTTACAAATTTAACATCTCATTTTGTACAATACCATATATAACTTTTGTGGCAGATTGTGATAAAATTTTTGCTTTTTATTCTTATTTATCCTTTATTTATTTTATTATACTTGATATTATTTATTACTAGCGACCCGCCCCGGCTTTGCATAGGTGCAATGTATTATACATATAAACGTGCCTCGTGAATCACTCTATCTAGTAAAAAAAACCGCATCAAGATCCGTTGCGTAGTTTTAAATGTCTAAGCATACATAGGGACAGACAGACAGCGGGACGACTTTATTTTATACTATGTAGTGATAACCTTTCACGTGGCTATAATTATAGCACTTTAAATCCTGTTATTTATTTTCCTATCATTGTGTATGTGTGTATATAATGTATCAAATATTTCAAGACTTAATTTAATTTGACGTTGTATAGATTAGCGTTCAAGGGTACCGTTTAATTTATTGTTAAGGTTATTTAAGTACTATTTTTGTTCTAATAACTAGTAGATTTAGTTTTACATACGTTATTTGATTCAGGTTTGGGGAATAAAAGAGATAGCGATAAGAGATAGAGCCAAACAGGCAGATATTGCTTAATTTAATTGAACGAATAAAATTAAATGAATTCGATGAAATTTTTATTCCTCTAACCTACAATTCATTTATCATAGTTATTACATCTTCGCACGAAAGGTACAGTCTAACTCAACAGGGTTTCAATGCTACTACCTACTATAATAGTTGTAATACTGCTACACCTTTTTACTACAATGTAGTTAAATATTCAATTGATTTCAATCTGGTATTTTAGACCATGGTTGTCATAGAAAATCCAACCTATCGTTCCAGATAAATATAATATAACAATTATAATTAATGCATTACTTTACAATACGTTAGTGGAAACTCCTACAAGACGTGAACGTTTATTTTATTTAAAGGAACTCATAGGTACTAATCTAAGGGCAGCGGAACTTTTTTTATATCATTCAATTTATTATTTACCATTAAATACTGTCCACTCATAAAATAATGTTCGATATTGTTTGTTTTCAAGCAACTTCTATCTATACTGTAATATCTCCAAACTCAAATATAAGATCTTTAATGGGAAGTAAATTATTTCCTCTTATTGTTTATAGATACGGCAGTGTGTTTCTTTCGTTCGTGGAGCGCACGCGCAAAGCACGCATGGATTATACAGCGGGGTTGCTATGAGATAAGAAAGGAAGATCCTTTGCCTTTAAGTCTTCCTGTACCAATAGGGTCTATGGCATGCAAGCGTCAAAGGTAATTTTTTTAAAATGATTTAATGACATCAAAATTATGTTATGGTTACAAATTGTTGTATACAGTTTGTTTTGTGGATACATGAACCAATAAGTATTTAAGCGGCATACATGAAAACAGTCTGCGGATCTTACTGCCATTAAATTCCCGACGTTATAATAAAGGTTCCGTCACAGACCCAATGGATTATGATTCAAATCAATAAAGTACATAGAATAGTTTAATTTACTGTATGTAGTATTTACATATCGCGTATATCGCCATCTCTCTTTTATAACTCATTAATTTATAATAATTATTTCAGATTTGCCGACGCTGAATATAAGGTGTGTTTCTGTCAGGGAGACAGGTGTAATGGATCAGATTTTCGTATAAATCATAAGGATCACATTTTATTGCTCTTGATAAATTTATTTCTGCATTTTTACGCATGATTGTTATTAGAAAGGTGGCAATTGATTTATTCTATTCTCGTCAATTGCCAATTGTCTAATTCGTGTGAACTGCGCGGTTGGTACGAAACATTGACTTTATCGGTTTATAAGCAGCTTTCACTTTATCTAAGCTGCCTGTCTATTTCTACGAAAAGGACGGTAAGAAAAGTGTGTGTTAGTGGGCCGCGTCCGTTGAGTCGCACACATACTTTTTGTAGACAACTAGACAAGTATCAATGTAACTAAACCTACATAATTAGAAAAATGCTCAATTATCTGTTCTATGTTCTCATCGCATTAAAACATATCTATTTGTTTATATATACTCATATCAAAATTTTTCACGTAGACTAAGGTGACAGTAAAACATTTCATAACAATAAAACGATTTTATTTATAATACAAAATTTCATGACGACAGTGTGGTTCGTCTTCTAATAATAATATAACGTATACTTGTGTACTGAATAAATTATTAAAATAATAATAACAGTTCGATTTTTATTACGTAATAAAATTGTTACTTTTGTTTTATTTTTATTTTGTTGTCGATATAGATTATACTGTGGGTAATTTCAACTCAGTCTTTAAGCTTCTTTTGACCTTAATTAAACCTCTTCGATAAACAATAATTTACTCACTTTCCATAGATTTGTTGGAACATTAGCTTTAGAAGCTCGTTTGCTTGAACTGTATTATAAGTTCTTTGCTTTATCATAAAGTGCATCCTTTGTATACTTCGTATGTCGTAAACTATATATGTATACGTCGTCTTTTTACTTTATATTTAATTTTAGCAAGTTTAGACTGGAGTAGAAAGCTACATTTTTTCCGGTGTTGATGTTCCTATGTTCATAGGGATTAAAACTTGGTTTGGCCGTTAATGCAACTTAAGTAAACAAGGATTATTATTTAAACATCTCTATAGACAATTATGTTAGTTCAGTTGCTTAATAAATATGACTTGATTAACGGTGGTAAAAAAACAAAAAAACTCGTTAGATACGTTAAAATTTGTACGATGCCGAATTCTAATTATCGATTGTATCCAAAGTTGATTAAATTAAATGCAGACGAGGTAACTAGACGTTTTTTTAAAAAGAAATCGGCCTTTTGGTTTTGTGCTAGGTGAAATAAAATAAAATATTGTTGCAGCCGTTTGCGTTTATCTATCCTCATCCTCGAGTTCACTTGTATCATCATCATTTTCAAGTACGTTGATTTTCGTAACATCACTGTTAGCAATTTGGTTTAAAATTTGCCATCTTCTGTTGCCCATAGATCATCGAGATAAATTTCTCTTTTGTTTCTTTTCTTCTTCTTGCTTGCATTTTGTGGTTTGTAATTGTTTTCATCATTATCCACAAATCCTTTTTTGTATAATTCTAATGGCACTTTACTTCCGTCACTTACATCATATTTGATGCCTAAATCAGTTTCTTGGATTTCAATAGATCCTAATCCATTGTCAATTAACGATTTCAAATTCAAAGCTCTACCTTCTCTAGTTTCATTTAAGTGTTCTAATTTTTTTGCTTGTTTTTCTTTTAATGGATGCAAATGTTTTACTTCATTTGATACTGTCTGTTTTGTTATTTCGTTCTGTGATACAACATTTTGGTTATTTTTTCCTTTTGAACTGTATGTTTTTACTTTAGAATGCCCCTGGATTATTAAATACATGGGTACTGTTGGAACTTCTGTGGAAAGTTTTGTTTCATGAGAAGAATGTTCTTCTGTAGTAGGAGTTGTTATGGGCGTTGTAAAACGCATGTGTAAATAAGGATCATGTGTCAGAACAGACGGTTTTGGATGAAGCAAATTATTAAGTATATGGGGATTCACGTGGTAAGGTTGCCTTTCTGACACCATAGTGATTTCGGAAACTTTTACTGGGGGTGGTGGTTTCATACTTTGCATCTCTTCTAATTTATCACTATCGTCTGGTATATTTTCTTTAAAGACGTGTATATTTTCTGAAGCATGAGCGTATAGGTTATCTTCGAGCCTTTCGGGGTCTGTTGCTAAAGGCATTGACATCATAGGAGCTAACATATCGATTAACGATAGTTTTGACATTGCTGGTGTAGCCATGCTAGAGGAAATTTTGTTTGTTTGTGTAGTTGCGGCTTCTTCAAAGGTATTTTGATTTTCTGTGGGTACTTCGAAAGTAGTTTCTGTTGCTGACCATGTTGTTGGCGTGCTACTTAATGTTGTGTCTATCGGTGGTAAAGCAGTAGGTATAAATGCTGTTATAAGTTGGCTTGAGGTGATCAACGACGTTGGTGAATCTGATAACAGAGGTTTATAAAATAGATAAGGTTTTGTTATCTCTACACTGTGATCATTTGAAATAAAATTATGGGTATCATTTACTATATCGTTATCGTTGAAAGGTGTTGTCGGTCCCCACCCAGCATAATCACTTGTTACTGGGCTGTGTGGCAAGGCATTTGTTTGATTTAAGTCTAAAAACCAATTTTGACTTGTTGTCGAAGATTGATAAATTAAATTTGCTTCTTGCACAGCGAAGGACGCTAAGTTTTCCGGTGTTACTGTAGTAGGTCTTTTTATAACAGTAGGCCTATCGACTAGTTTATGCAAAGATGCTGACAATTTCTGCTCAGGAGTTACATACAGTGAATGTTGATTGCCAGGTGGTGGCGGCGGTGGTGGCACAAGTATTGTCATTGGATAGTACTCACTATACTTGTACGTATAGTCTTCAAATTTAGGCGGAGGTGGTCGATGTGTCCTTTTAATAGCAGGAGGAGGTTGGCGGGGTGCTACGCTAGGTTTCCGGGAAGATATACCTAGTACCAAGACTTCTGATTTCTTTTCGGGAATGCGCTCGCGCTCCACTCGGGTATCGTCAGCCCAATAGTGAACCCTTTCCAAAACAGGTGGCTCATAATCGTAAGTGGGGTCGTTCCGTAGTGGATCACCCCGACCGGTCAGAGGTTTCCATTGCTCGAAGTCCATGCGCGGGGAAAAATTTGAGCCTAGGTCGCCAGGATTTAAACCTTTTCTTCCATCTGTAAAGATAATACACAAGTAGGATTAAGTGTAGATTACAATACGGTACAGTATTATTACATCATTAAATTGCGCGCTGCTCCACTTACGGGATATGTTGGCATGTTGAAAAGTGGCTAATGGACTAGGATTTGAATGTGATGGACCAACGAACTGAACCCAGATAAACGCTGTGACCAGTATCGCCTTGCAAATCTGTGAACAAATTATGCATTATTTTTATAATTTGATCATCAAATATCTTTCCTTTAGTTTCTTACACCTTCAATAGTAACTTTATATTATTGTCATATATTTTTGGACATCATAGGTTAGATACAATTATTAAGTTCAAATATAAATTAAAAGTAAAAGTTAAGTAACCGCCTATATTTATGTACTACTGCTGGGCAAAGGCCTCCTGTACAGAGGGTATTAGGGCATATTACACACCACGCGAATCCACTGCAGATTGGCGTACTTCACATGTCTTATAAATTTATTTGTTGTTATTATTTAGACAATATCTATTTTTTCTACACCATTGAGCACGTGATAAGGCAGCACTTTTAAAATTAACAATTTCATTGGTCCCGGAACCGGGGATCGAACTCAAGTTCGATCGCTTTTACGACTACCCAGATAAAATTTAAATCTGTATAAACGTTTTATTATGTAAATTTTGAACCTTATACCAATTTTTACCATTATATAGATACTGTTCTCCAATTTTGCACGTTTTATTCTTAAACACAGTAATCCTTACAAGTTATTTTCTAAGATTTTATTTATGGTAACACGCGGAGACAATTATAATTATTGTAATAAAAATACCCATTATTTGTTCCTTGGTTGTTATTTTGCTTGCGGCTGTTAGTTCTCCGTGAATATGACGTATACTAATAGGAAGCCAAAAACTCATGAGCTTTTGAAATAATAGATATTATAGAAAATACCTGTCTAAAAAAACCGTTTAACCCAACTTGAAACTAGCGTTATAAGGTCCTAGTACTTTTCTGTTGAAAATAAATTAGTTGTGTATGGTATTCGGTTAAATTTCTGTCTAAATTTCAAAGAAATGTTGGAAAACAAAAATGATTATATTTTAAGCCATATTTAGAGGTAAGGTTTAATGGCGTTCCTAGTTAAACAGCTTTTGGTGTTTAACTGTTTCTTTAAATAGCTTTTTTGTTGCTTCAGTGGATTTTAAGCTTAATAAGTATACTAGTACACTCACTATACTAGTAACTCTATATAAACACTATTAAGTTTATAATAATTATCTCCTGTAACACCGAAGGCTGTATTAGGTATGGGAAAGATTTTCTCTAATCGCGTTAGCTTTAGAATAGAGTAACACTGAACTCTTATGCAGTAGACAGCAATGTATTAAACTCTTGGAAAGGGATTTGTTTTTAAAGGTTTCCTAGATAACCACTGAACAGATATTATTTGGCCTAATATGAAGCCCATACAACAGAATAATTCTACACCAATATCCAGATGATAGCAATATTCAATGCTCTTGTCCAGAATAAGGCAACACAAAAATAGAATCCAAGAGCAGTATTCAGTATAAATGCTGCTTTAGTTTTTTAAACTACATTATAGCGTTTTTTTGCAATACAAGCTGTGTTTTAGTGTTTTTCAATGTCATTTAAAAGCCAAAAGTAATAATCACAATTATATACAGCCATATACAAGCATTGCTACATAAAATTATACAATTTATGCTCCAGTACAGGCAGAGGTGGATTTACAAATTTGCCGCCAATAGGCTATTCAATTTATACCGCCCCTACTGGCCTGCAATTCGATAACGCAATAGTTCGCAATCATATCTGTATAAACCTTCATTCTGTCAACAAATTTACAACTTTTTGATTTGTGCTCTATCGTCTTCATTACATCAGCTTTTTCTCGTTATTAGCATGATTTTGATCTAGGATTTAGTAGTGCCAGTGTCTAGATTATATTTTTATATATTTTTGATATATTTTTAGGACCAACGAATTAGTGAAGATTAAACAGAAAACAGTTTTTGGGTTCTTATTATAAAACGGGGTAAGGTATGCCTTAAATACTTTTACCAATATATTAACACAGCAAACTCGGAATAATGAACATTAAGTAAACGTTGTTAATTTTTTTTTATTGCTCTTATAGTATAAAAATAATACGAACAGTATCTCAACTGACAATAAAATGAATCAACTTATGAAAGTCTTACATTAAGTTAAATTTTCAAGACTCGTTTTCCCTATGTACATAATTATGTTTTTGTCTATTACTGTAAGACAAAAATATTTGGGCCAAATTTGCCGCCTAAAATCTGCCGCTTTAGGCTCTAGCCTAATTAGCCTGCTGATAAATCCGCCACAGGCTTAAATATATATTTAAGCTTATGTTCATCCTTTATAAAGTTTCTAGACGTTAATGTACTGGGCAAAAGATATTTTCTCAGCCTTTTTCTTGTATAACTGATGTTACGCTTGTCAGTCCTTAGACTATTAAAGCTTCATCGAACGCAGAACCGTTGGGCTAGCCAGAAACCACGTACTAATGCGTGCGTTAATTATGTCATGTCGCCTACGGGCCGTCGAGGTTCGGTGCGGACCGTGACCCCGATGGCAGTTGACTGTGCTTGTTTAGTCCGTGGCTGGGGACGGTGTGAACCGCCATGGTAGGTGGGTGTACCTAGTGTACGCGTTGTGTTGGTTTCGCCGCGCTCGGAGGCGAGGACGAACTATGGTGTTTGATGCACTAACTAAGTTATTTGGTGGGATCGCTGACGGTAGGTCCGACGTACTTAAGTCCCCTTCTACGGGGTTGTGCCTTAGGCCATTTTACTTTTAGCGTTAGTTAAATTGTGTAGCCGGCCGGAAACGAACGCGGCTCTATTACGAGCGCTATTAATGTGCGTAGTAAATGTCATTTTTCTCAGCCTAAATGTTTATTGGGTATGCCTAACATGTCAATAATAGATGGCGTGACTTACGCGTGTTTGTATCTACTTACTATGACACATTTCCATCGCAATTATGAAATTAGTCATACCATATGTCATAAATGCTATTTGTGTTGATATACCAAGAGATACGTAGTATTTTCTATTAAATTTTAATAACACAAAAATTGCTGCCGAGCAATACGCCGTCGTTAATTGGAAATATTCGAACCAGTCATGCCATTTAGCTGACGGAGCTTGTTATAGAATCATAACATAAGCGTTTATGATAAAAACTGTTTTTTAAATGCAATTTTCGTTGCATGAAATTTGTTGTCGACGTAGCGGCAGATTTCATGCAATTAGCGCGGTCCTCGGCGGCGGCAGTGGTGAGATGTCAGCAATTTTTTTTGGGCACGCAAGACGCTCGTTAAAATACCAGGCGGCATGGCAGGATGAAAGACGAGCTAATTTAATATTATAACCATCCTCTTTATATACGAAATACAATGACCCCGTTAGCTCGTTATGGAAAACGGTAGATTTTAATGGTTGAAAATCTGTGCTAACGACCCAAGGACTTTCTGTAAAATACCACATAATACATGTGCCCGCAATGAGTCCTGGGGATACCTTTTTTTAATATGTTTTCATATTTTATATATATAATTTGTTGATCATTACATCGAGGTATGCTACCAAGCCGTGATAGCTCAGTGCCCGGGCACTCGCCTTTAATTCAATATACTCGAGCAACCTGAGTTCCATCCCCGGTGCCGGCACCAATGAAGTTTTTAACTTTAAGTGCTGACTTATCACGTGGTCCGCGGTGAAGGAAAACATCGTAAGTAAACCTGGCATATTTTAGAAAATAATAACAAAAAAATATATTTTTCGAAGATATGTGAAGTCCGCCAATCCGCAGTGGGGCCGCGTGGCGCCCTATGCCCTGATACCCTCTGTATAGAGGAGGCCTTTGCCCAGCAGTGGGACATGTATAGGCTGTTACTTTTATGCTACCACTACAGACTATATTTATACAGCTATCACTTTTATATTGACGGCTTCTTTCTTATTTTTTAAAGAAAATTCTATTTTGAACGTGATATTAATGTACCTAGAACCTAGATTAGAGCATCAGGATACGCAGTGAAAGCAGTGCGTGCTACGAATGACAACGAAGACGCTACCTGACAGGAATGGCACGCCGGCGTTTTGCATTCAATTTGCCACTTATATTGTCCTTTCACTTTTATATCATGCTTAGGGCGTTACACGTATATTTAATTTTTTTTTAAAAGTGTATGACGAAGGGCCAATCGGCTATTTTAATGACAACTAATATTCATCGCAACCCATGGACATCTTCAATCACACTAGAGATGAAGGTGTGATGATAGTTAAGATTTAAGGTTTCAAGTAGAGCTTTATCTTTTCTGTATTAGAAGTACTGAACGAGGTATTCTCAATACTGCTATTTTTAACGTAGCGACAACTTATACCACGAAACAAGTCAACCTGCCCCGGATTTGCATGGGTAGAAAATATGTTACGTAAAGTTAATAATTTATAGAATAATATTCAAATGTAATGTTTAATCGTAAATTGACAATAAAGATTGCATTGTGACTGATTAAATCATTAAGATTGAGATTTCTTACAAACATTTGTTTGTATTATGTAGATTAACACATATTACTTAACATATTACTGTAGTGTAAAGCAATAATGTTTACTGTTTCAAAATATTAACACAGATAAAAATATATAAATTTGTATATCACCGGATTCAACATAGCCACTTGTTGATTTACAATATCAGATAGTTCTTTGTTAATTATCCTGTTTTCATCCTTTCCTATTCTATTTATTAAGTACTATACAAATATTAATATATAAATAAAATGTAAAAAGTAAAAACAGTTGTACACGTGAATTAAAAAACGGTTTTTATTATATAGTAAACCTGCTCAAGTGAGTATTTCCAAGTTTACTTTTAACTTTAAACTAATCACGACAAAATCTGACACTTTCATCCACAGAGATTATATTTACTATAATGCTGTAATGTTGTTGTTGTCTTGTTTTTGTAATATTTTATTATAATAAGTAGTTATTTAAACTTATGCATATCTATAATCAACAACAGAAAATGATCTGAAAGTCGTGAGATTGAGTTTATTTTCTATGACGATATGGTTAATACTCGTATTTTATGGGGAAAAATCTATATTTTTTTTCTAGAATGTTTTTTTTTAGTACTTTGTCCATTAATTTACGTTTACCACGCCACGAAAATAAAGTATCAAACATTTAAACTTGCTTTCATAGTGATTCGTAATTTTTACAAAATTATAGAATGCGTCCTTGGTGACAAGCGCTCTTCAATTGCACGTTCTGTAAACATTTGTCCGGGGCCGCAACGACTTTCCTTTTCCAAGTTTATAAGCTATTGTGGTTAACCCGATCCTCTAGTTTTACTGGCTTATTGAAAAGCATGTACTGACCATGAGATCAATGAGCATGGCAGTGAAAACAACTCAGGAATGCCACGATCTGTTGTGCCAGTTACAGGCGTAGCTTACAGCGGTCAGTAGGTGGATACTTAGTATTCTTACCAAACTACTTAACGAAAGAACGCTATAGCTAACAATGTTATGTACCATTGTTAGGTTTGTTTCACTTGTCTTTCACTTTGAGTAATATCAATATGCTTTAACTCATTATTAGTTATATAACAAAACTTAAAATAACCGTATCAAGATCAGTTGCGTAGTTTTAAAGATCTAAGCGCACATAGGGACAGACAGACAGCGGGACGACTTTGCTTTATACTATGTAGTGATACTTTTGTAAGTTACACGAGAGCATTTATTAGTTACATGATCGTTTCTCCGTTTTCAATATTCACCCTGAATATAGAAATCAAACGTGTTCAGATGATTCCCCTGGCAGATTTTTTATAAAATTATTCTTTATTTTTGAATGCAAAAGTTTAAATAGCACATAATTCATTCGCTCAAATAGGCATCACTGTAAGTAGTCTCGTTCCGACGATATATGAATTTAAATTTTTTGTGGCAGGGGCCAGGCGCTAATAAAAGGTGGCAAGGTGCCAAAATTATATACTATTTTGCATAAATTTCGATGGGAGCCCAAATATCATTTGCAATGTAACTACTAGATAACAATTAAAATTAGGAAAGATTTGATTACCCTGATAAGACGCCAGGGGGAGCCGACACCAATGGAATAAAAAAGCAGATTTTTTGTCGATTTTGTAAAAATCTATATGTTTTGTCCAGTGCTAATCATCTGAATACCCTAATTAAGAAACCCTAAATTATCAAAAAATAATTTTGAAAGTGGCAAGTTTAATCAATGACTTTGTATAAAAATTTTTTTCTTACCAATAATGTAAAAAATCTTTTGTTTAGAAGTAAAATGACATGGAAGAGTATGACTTGAATCGAAATGAACGAAGTGTTATGTATAGGTCATGATGAGACTATGAATACTAACATTGATCAGGTTAAAAATATCAAGTACAGATTGAAAGTATAAGATAGAAAACGTTTTGATGGAAAACGGTCTGAGAAGTTGGCAGAAAATGAGACACCCTTGGGGTGGCTGATTGTTACCGACCTTTAAGAGAGTGAAAAGTATGTTTATCGGTTCCCTAGCGGCCACAGTACGAGCTTTGCTTAGTTTGGGACTAGATAACGTGGTTAAAAATATGTAAAAGGCATCAGTTAAAACGTTATTAGAGCATAGTCCACCACGCGGCCCCACTGCGCATTGGCGGACTTCACATATCTTCGAAATATTTATTGCTGTTTGATGTTAAGAGATAACCGTCGCCCATGGACATTTGCAACATCCGTAGAATTGCAGATGTGTTGTAGCTTTTTAATAATGAGGGCTCCGGTTACCTCACTCACCAAACGGAACGCAGAAGTATAACATTTCTACTTCACGCCGATCTTCTGAGGTCGTGGTACCCGGTCGGGTCTGCCCATTCGAGCAACAGTAAAGACTGTTACGAGGCTCTACCACATGTTCTCCTTCACCGTTGAGCACGTGATAAGTCAGCGCTTTAACTGAAGTTGCTTGAGTATATTGAATTAAAAGCGACGGGACAATGACCTATCACTATATTATATCTATCACTATATACGTCCTGAAAATATTTATATTTGTTTAAAAAAGTTGTCAGTTCCAATTGTCTTCGTCTTCACAGTTAATCATTAAACATGACGCTAAAATTAATCTAAGCATTAACAACCTCACAAACACCACAGGTGGTTTAATGCGACGTATTATGTAAATATTTATATTTGTTTCTCACAATTACTCTTCAATTATTTTCCCAACGACTCCTTAAATATTATATTATATTTTGAATATATTGATAAATCGTCCCCTTGAAAACGTAGTTAATCAATAATGACACCGAAAATGAGAGCTTGTTTCTGTGCCATTTATAATGATACCTTATAAATCAGCGCCATAAACTATTTCCGTACTTCCGAAAAACTCGTAGACACCTGAGAGAAAGTTTCAATAGCGTCACTTTAAGAATGATCAAATTAATACACTGGAAGCGAGGAACTAGACGCAGGCAGCTAGGCGTGGGAACCAATCTGAACTTTAGAGTAAAACATATCGTGACCATTATTTTATACGAACTGTGCACTAGCTGTGCCCGCGAGTTCGTCCGCGTGGAATTTAAAATAAAGAAAAATTCTAAAATAAAAGTAGCCTAAGTCACCCCTTATTACATCAGTTATCTGCCAGTGAAAGTCCAGACTTTTATAGATTTTTACAGATTATAAAAAAAATAATTTTAATATATATACCGTGTATACATGCATATGCATTTCGTAAAAAGCAGTTATTAACCGACTTCAAAAAAGGAGGAGGTTTCTCAATTCGACCGTATATATCTTTTTTTATGTGTGTTCGGGGATAACTTCGTCATTTATGGACCGATTTTGATGATTCTTTTTTTGTTCAAAAGGAGATATCCCAAGTATGGTACCATGATAAGGATACCCAGATCTGATGTCGGCATCCCAGAGAAATCAAGGGCAATCCTCAAATGTTATAGATGTTGACAATGTTTTTAGTTTCCTGTTTGAAGTCGGTTTTTTTTTTGTTCAAAACTATTTTAATATTACTAAGAGACACTCAAATTTTATTTATCTGTATAGATGTATAGATATAGATAATGCCTTTTGCATGCGTTTGCCACCGGCGGCATGCAGACTGTTCGGCGCCAGAGGCAATATGACGCCCACAGTTGAGCAGCTGAAAAAGTATTTATATCTTTTGATGATCGACAATCAAAACACTTCCCATTTATTATATATATAGTGAAATATTTTTGAGAATAACGTAGTAGCACTAAACCAAAATACACTGCCATTCCAATGTATAAAATGAATTGTGAAAAATATTGTATGTAACGTACATACAATTTTGTTTTTGTTTACCGAAATTCTCTGCACTCTTAACCTAACTCATATTTAATTTTTTTATCAGAACACTAAGTTCAATAACATATTAACTTTTTATGATTGACAGTTTAATTGTTCAGATGGACAGAAATAAATCTGTTATATTAAGTGAAATTAACTTACGTCGTTAAGAAGAAAGCATAATGCTTTTAGTGATTGATACATGTAGATGCGTTAAAAATTAGGCATTTCCAGTAGAATAGTCGTGTGGGTGCGCAAGGAAAGAAATATTAACACTTTCACAAGTTTTATGTGTCGATGACCAGTCGGCACTGCCAAGGTAAAGATGAACCCACGCAGTCTGTCGCCGTATTTGTTTCGCCTTTTCCATGAATGTAGGAAGTCCATATTTTGAAAAATATAATCTCCATTTAAGACCAATAAATGAATTAAAAATATACGTTTTATACCTAAGTAAAAACAGATCTGTAAATGAAGAACTTTTTTCTTTAAAGACGCTACATTTCAGTTTACGAGTGTAACATTACTAAGATACATGAAAAAAAAGTAAAAAAGAAAAGAAAAGAAAGAATGTTAACATTAATGTTATTCTCACAATGCTATAAATTATTATAGTTTTTTAATTTCCTAATCTTATGCCAAAAACAAAATTGCCCAAGTTGGAAAACCGATTATTAAGACTGTTTGCGGCGTAGGTATGAAAATATAACAAAGTAGCAGTTAGGGAAATTCAGAATTTTGTTTTTATTTTAGGAGCGATCAGCATTGCTCAACTAGCATGAGCTGTCAATGATATTTTGGAAAGAAAAAAGCATAGTTTATTTTATTATTAATGATTTATGAGAGAATTATTGTAAAATAATAAATTTATTAAACATTTTTGACGTTTTTCAAAAAATTTAACTTTTCTTCTGAATGTTTATTTGATTTTTATTCATCTTATGGGAATTACAAAATTTAAGAAATTGATTTTTCTCTTTCATTTAGCGCCGAAAAAGGATCCACACGCAGAAACTAAATTAAAGCAAAGATCAAACAAATAAGGAACGTTAGAACGTTAAGGTCATGTAAGAAGGCAAATGACAAGCGAAGATAAGAGACTGTCTACTTAAAAATAACTTTAAACACTAAAAAATAATTTTAATATTTTAAAAATAAAGCCGAGTTTACGAAGAACAATCATATTATGTAAAATTATTTGTATGGTTTATTTCTATGCATCCATCACTAATGTTAATTCGAATATGGTGAAATATTACTGGTAAATAAATTTACCTTTTGATCATATTTGTATGTACAATATACCATAGTACCCAACGATCACAGTTAAACGATTTCCGCGGACAAAGTAACTATAATACTCACCTCGCCTGAGTTTTCGTGCAAGGTGAGTATTATGGTTAGAATTGCGAATAAAAATTGCTATATTTCTACCGAACATGCTATGGATACTGCTTCACGCTAAGGAGCATCTTTGCCGCTTCAAAATAAATTTGTAAATTATTACCAGTTTTGTAATATAATTTTTATTACAAAACTGGATTTCAAAAGAGTGCACTGAAAATATGTAACGTGAATTAATATTTAATGACATAAATATTGCAATAATTATTTTAATGACAACATAGCCTCTGTAAGGCCGACGAATTGATATCTCTATTAAAAGCTCTGATGAACATGGTTATGACTAGACTATCATATAATGTGAACATTGTAATACAACTCAAATACAAAAATACACTTTTCATTGGAATTGAATAACTTTATAATTTCAAGTACGAAATGACTTATTTTTACACCAAGTCCATTTTTTTATTATAGAAAAACAAAACCGACTTATATCTCGCTCTCTATTAATTTTATAATTGATTTTCAGAAGTTCCCTAAGTATCTCCGGAGCCCAAGATCCAATACCAATGAAATTAATATGTCTCACATGGGAAGAACCAGCTTTCAAATAAAAAAAGAATCATCAAAATCCGTACACTCAGTCGCAAGTTCTAAGGTAACAAACATAAAAACAAATGCACTTGAATTGAGAACATCCTCCTTTTTTGAATTTGGTTGTAAATTAAGAAATAAACTTTATATATTACATTACTCTTGTGACAATTAAACAGCTATATCTTAATAAGTTAATTTACGATCTAAATTTAAAAAAAAACATGAAATATTTTTTGAAAGTACATATTCAATTTATTCTTGTTGTGTAATATGTAATGCAACACGCGAAGTTTAATAACGCCAATAAACGTGGCTGATCACGCAGCGACCAGCACGCACTTCACTGTGGTGTCAACCGGATTTGTGCTGAAACTACGTGTATATACCTACTCATATTTTTACTAATATTCTTATGTAAACTATTTAATAAAACAAATATATGCCAATACTTCTCACAGGACCAGCAAACTTTCCGCTATGCACAATTAGTTTTATCCAGGCGTCTTTCAAAGAACAGCTCTCTATGTTGCCAAGAATTTACTTTACTGCGTTTACAGGACCACTCAACATTTTAATTATATATTAGAAATGATACAAAAATTATTCGAATATCTGTGTGTTAATAATTCTTCTATTAATTATTATTTATTCTATTTCATTTTTTAATTTCTATTTAATCGACTATCGCATAACCTTAATTATTTATTATATTGATTAATACTTACTTAATTAATTAATATAGTACCCGGAAGACCGTGTTCTTTTTTTTTGGTAAATCGTGTATTTTGGAAATTACATTTAGATACAAATTATTGAGTAATGAAATATGCATAATATTTTTCGATCTTACCGACGTAATAATAAGAAAATATGAACTGATGTTTTTCACAAAAGAAAGAACTTTAAAAAAAAAGGGAAAAAAATAACAAAATAACAAATCAACAAAAAATTAAAAATAAAGAAAGCAATGATCTGGAATCGAAAAAAAAGTAAAAAAATAAATGTGTAAATGATCGTGACGCGAACCACGGCCGCCTGTTTTGGGGCCGCCCGATTACCGACCGAGCTATTTTGACATTTTCTCTTGCGGCGAAATTTACCGTCATATTCGAATTATATTTTTCATTCCCTGAAAACAGGGATAAAAGGACATTTTCTAAAAATGAAACCTAGCTAGATCGATTTTTCGCCCCCAAATCTATGCACATACTAAATTTCATGAAAATCGCTGGAGCCGTTTCCGAGATTCCGATTATATATATATATATATATATATATATATATATATATATATATATACAAGAATTGCTCGTTTAAAGGATAAGATTCAACAATACCAAAGATCACAGTTGACATCGATTTACCTTCCCACTTCCCTCAAAACTAAACTAAAATAGCTTTTCAAAATGATATTTTGTGAATACTGGATATACCTACTACACATTAGACTAGTACTTTCATGGATGTGTCCAGCTTTCTTGGCCCAATGAGACCGCACACACTCTAATAAATTTTAAGTTCATATTGAATGCATATGATTAGTCAAAATATATATTATCGACAATTATCGAATAAAGATAACGACGATGTAAATCGATATTTATTAGAAATATAATTAAAACAGAATAGATTATTAGAAAAATCAATATTTCGATTAATAATTAAGGACAGAACAAACACAACGACATAATTGTATAGAATGTGTATATTTTAGAAACGATTGATAACATTTTCTAACATTATTTTTTGGTTAACTATTATATAAAAAATCATAAATCCTTTCTTTAATTGTAATGGCAAAACACTTGTTACTCGGAATAAGCAACTGGGATTTCTTTCCTGGTAGATATTACACAGTAAGTACTCGCCTCATTACCGGATATTGCCAATTCTATAATGATATTAATACTCGATAAGGAAAGAGAAACTAATTCAAATACCATACTTTTTGTGTTGTCACTTTTATCGTACTTAATATTTATATTATATATGTGTTTTTGTAAATACTAGTACTCTAAAAGGATAATAAAAATTTATAGTATTTCTAGTAGAAAATAAACAAATAAGTACAGTATCTCAAATACAGCCGTGCTCTACTAAGTAACAGCTATATTAACACAGTTTTGTTCTATAATAAAATAGTGATTAGTTAGGTTAGAATCTTTGCAACACTTTTTTACTATATCCATCGTGAACATTTAGAAACGAAATTGTAAAAAATGTGTTAACTTCAGATGTAAAAGCTTTCTCTAAATACGCTTGATTACAAGTTTCCTAAAACATATTTAGTTATATTACATCGAGTAAGTTTTAGCGATTCAATTCTTGTTACAAATCAAGTGAAGCGTTGAAATCTTTTGTAGAGACGTATTTGTAGAAAAGGTACTACGGACCTTCTACGTGCGCGCTGTGTGGTTTAACGTTAACCATTGTTTTGTATATTTGCTCAAAAAAGAAACATGATTCTCGAATGCCAGTTGTGTAATAAAATAAAACATACATTTATTTCTAATGCAGCATCAGAATGTGCAGTAGAATTATACCTACTATTCCCGAAGTTTTCCCGAAAATCTTTGTTGTTACATATTTCATAAAACAAATGTTCTGGCAGAAATTTAGCGTAGTTCAAAATTTACTATCCAATGAAATGGGTATAAAAAAGATTCATGGAGGCGTTATAATTAATCGAATTGTTACAGCTACGAATACAGAGAGAAACTCAATATACGTAGCAGTATATATCGGTACATATAACTATATAATCCAAGGTTACTTCAAGCAACTCCTAATTTTAAAATTAAATAAATCACTCACCGTGAACATTTTAGGGCAGTTGTATAATCTGTGACGGAGCTGCGTCCATAAGCGGCGCTGATTGTATGCGATCGCGGGAAGTAGTATCGGACACGACGTCGGCGCGTTCGCCGCACGATGTCTGCTGCACGTCTAACCGCACATCACAACATCGGTGGGCTATGTCCGACTCCCATAGAGCACGCGACGGGCGCCCAACTCGTTTTCCCACCATACAAACATGGTGCCCGGCGCACATGTCAAGTGGCCCGAGTGCCGGTTTCAAAATTCGTAAGTATCGATTCGAATTCACGTCACACGCTGCCTTGCGTACAGACGGTTATTTATATAGCTTGGCAATGTTTCTGAGCCTCGGGTAACTTCATATATAATTTTCAGACTCAATGATATGTTTTTTTGTATCGTTTGGTGTACTATCTATACTCTATAGCATGAGCTTTGGTGCTAGGACGGTTTAATTTGTGCTTTTGATGATATAATAAATTGGAACCCATAAGTAGCCAATCTCCAAAAAGTATCTCCAACGTTTTAATAACAATCAGATGCTAATTAAATTTACATGTAAAACAGAGGTAAACTTTTTTAGATTTCTATTACTTTTTTCTTAAGATTACATTTGGATATTTTGGGTTAAAATATCGGAGACCGCTAGGCTAGCGGCATTGTATGTTAATGTAAGTCGTAGCATAAGAACAAACGTAATGGGCCCAATTTGTCATTATTTTGTGATACTGGGTCACACTTTGTCTGTATAGTTATGTACAATACATATACATTAAAATGGTGTTTACGTAAAAGATGAACAATAAGTCAGACGATAAATAGAAATATGAAACAGAATAATGATTTTTAAGACAGTAAATGTGGCTAAATGTGACTATTGATAATTTTTATTATTTTCATAACATACTAATTTAATAGAACGTGATATGTTGTCTGTTGATTGAAGCATCAACTTTTTAAGTTTTTCCTTTCATCTTTTCAATTACATCGGCATAGATTATACCACATACCAATCTTATAACAGAAGTCATCGGTCGTGCATAGTACGTTTGAGCGCCTATTTAAAATATTATTGAACTCATATTTCATTAGGTAACGACTCATTACACTAATAAACGATTAAGTATTTGCATTCATTATATAACGTGCAGTTACATTTATGTCACGTCAGCGGTGGTTTGTATGCAATATTAATGACAGATTTGTATTTTTACCAAGTAAACGATACTCTTAAATCTAAGCTTATACCGATAAATGTTGTATTACCATTATATAATATTATATCATATAAAAATGAGTTTTAAAAATTGCGGTGGTTAAGGAGCTAATAGTAGAATTCTAGTAATACTCATAAGCTTATTATCTGTGACGACGTTATTAAACCCTTTATTTTTAACTTCGTTACATTATAGGATTTAAAAAAATAACTTCTAGTCCTTTAACGACATTTTTGTATAATATTAATCTACTTAAAAGAAATAAGTTTGCAAATATGAAGTGGGTCGAATACAATTGCTTTTGAATATTTCCTATAAATAAAATACTTTTGCGAATATATTTGTTCCGATTATTTTTTTAAGATACATATCTCCTAGATATTACCATATTACAAAAATGTTTTGAACCAGATTTTATTGTCATAAAAATCTGTATTTTGATGACTGTATATGGAATATTTAGTACTGCTTTTGTGTCCCCAACTACGAATCCATTAAGTAATCAAGTTACAAGGTTCATTGTTAAATTATTATTAGGTGTGATTCCTTTAAAATGAGTAGTTAGCACTCATTAGGGAAAAGCCCTCGTGACGCAACTTCCGGAAAATTTCTCCGACACAATGACACATTTCCGAGTCATTCTCCTATCTGTAAGGCATAGAGTGCATTGCATTTTTTGCAATACGATTTCATGTTATCTACCATGTTATCTACCATATAAACGACGTTATTCAGTGCTAGCTAAACTCTAGTCTAGTCTTCCGAAATATGGACATAATTTTGCAGATGAAATCCAGATTGAACTATTTTTCAATTTACCGGAATATTATCAAATTTTGAGTGTATACCACACACAGTTTATTGATGGCAGGTATAAAACAGGAGGCGATCATGTTTACAGAAATATATAAGTTTCGCGGACATTTCATTTCTGTGAACTGAGGTCAGGGAAATGCCTTTGTTTTAATTTTTTTTAATTTATATTAGTGTTGTTCCAGATATCCGTATCCGTATCCGCGGATATCCGCCGGGGAAAAAATATCCGTATCCGTTACCTTTTTTGGACATAATTCTATTTAAGTGATTAGTTATAAGAAATTTCAATTCAGTTATTTATTATTTGTAGAAATCAAATATTTGGCATCTTTATTTTTTGCAAACTTTTATCGTACTGAGTTAACGTACCAGCAATAACGGTACCAGCGAAGCAGTGCCGGATTAAGCAAGCGCGGGGCTCGTAGCAAATTCTTTCAAAAAGCCCTTGGTCTGCTATTTATATTTAAGTACAAATTGGTCGCACGGGGCCCGTAGCAATTGCTACTTTAGCTATGTGATAAATCGGGCATTAAAGGAACTAAATCAATTATTATCCAAAAAATATTTAAACACTTACTATATTATTTATTTGAAAACTTCATGCACAAAAAAACAGATCTTTCAAATAATTGGCAATGTTCTTATCTAACAATAATTGGTTTGTCCTTAGTACTTATTGTAGTTGCTGTGATATTTACTTCTTAAAGCCGTACGTAATTTTTCTTTTATTCCTTGTATGAGAAAATCACTAAAGAATTTACCTTTGACCTTAGTTCTCACAATGTCTACTTGAAACAATTTTTTTAATCAATTTCTGATTTTCCTGAATATAAAGTTAATATCCGTATCCGCGGATCTACAATTTTAATGATCCGGAACATCACTAATTTATATACATATGACAATAGTAAATATTCTAAGGAGAAAGTTACGAAACTAAACTAAAATTATGGTTGTGGGCAAAGTACGAGTTCATCAATGGATACGATAATATAAAAGAATTTATGCATCTTGATTCGTGATTAAGGTTGCACCGCTCAATATCTGGTTTTCGCGTTTCGTCTGGTGAGGTAGCCGGAGCCCAATTTTCAAAAGGTTGTCAACGCATCTGTAACCCTCGAGTGTAGCAGATGTCCATGGGCGGCGGTATTCACTTAACATCAGGTGAACCGTCTGCTCGTTTGACAACTTTTCGCATAAAAAAAAAAAAAAAAATATCCGCGTACATCTGGAATGGCTAACTATAGCAAATTTTGGAAGACAGAGGTATCCGCCGTACAAATAAAATGTGCTCTGTTCGACCTCGGGTATTTTCGATTTTGATGTACGGTGCCGAAACATGGGACTCTAAGAAGTCAGCTGTAAGAGGTTCCTCCGTACAGAAGTTTCATAAAAACACGGCTCTGATTTATATGCTGGCGACGGGCCCCCGGTTTTTGGATACATCAAGGCTCTGCCTGGAGCCATTGTTTAAGGCCAATTGATTGGCAGGCATAATCATGCCTGCATGGTCTATGGAACGCACCGGTGTCCCTCGGTATTACGCCTGAGCACGCCTCGGAGAAGGATAAACCTTCTCCGATTCCCTCACACTTTTGCAGTAGCATGAGACCATATCGTGCCTCGTGCCCATCCGTATCCCCTTTTAGTCGCCTTTTACAACAGGCAGGGGATACCTTAGCCCTATTCTAGAAGCCCGGGACTGCAGGGCGGACGGAGCGGCTCGTCCGTTTCTACCGCCCCGGCGCCTTCGTCTCCGAGCGGGGTCGACCCTCTCCCGTTTCGGCGGTCTCCTTCTGGAGCATAACTGCTTCGCAGAAGGAGACCAGTGCCGTCCAAGCACATGTCTCTATCAGTGCAGCCACCACCGCAACTGGTGGAGAAAGATCCTCCCGATCTTTTGGACCAGGCTCCGACGCTCTGACTACCAAGCGGGGCACTCTGCAAGAGTGTGTTGCGCGGAGTCCCGGTCCCCACCACAACGGTAGCATTGCGTTGTCGGTTCGCGTCCAATTCTACTTAGGTACTCACCAAAACATCCGTGCCCGGTGAGCACCTGCGTTAACCGAAAGGTGACGTGCGCGAATCCCCTCGCACTTAGCCTGGCTTCGAAGCTCGGCAGGAACGCAGTGACGATTCGTTGACGCGAGTTCCGAGTTTCTCTCAAGCGCTCGCGCCAAATCTCCAATCTCCGTGTGCCCTGAAGATGCCTACGTTGCGATCGGACGGAAAGAAGGACGACAGCAGGTTGCTCCATTCCTTAGCGGCACGGATGATAAATGACGAAGCGAATCGCATTGTTCTTGTGCGCCTAGTTGTCCGATGATGGAAAGGGGCAGGAGGAATCAGAACAACTCCAACACACACTCTCCATCTCCAAAATGCATCATGTAGAATACCGAAAGGCTGCCTACTCTGCGCCTGTGCTCAAGGCTAGTGAGATGGATTTTAACCAAGTTATGGTCACCAACATGCCTTTCCTCACGCCTCTCCATCGATCCAAGGCAGCCAGATGGCATTTTGCAGCCCCAGCCCAGATATGACAACAGTACTCCACACACGATCGGACTTGATGTACAGTGTAAGCTGTTCCGGCGTGAAGTACCTTTGCAAGGACGCCTAACTTCCTTGCAGGTGCTCTGGCTTTAGATTCAATGAACTGCCCAAAGTTGAGATTTGAGGATATTTCGACTCCCTAACAAAAGGTGGTCGGTATACTCTAAGGACACATTCCGAAAAGTAGGACCCAAGGTAATGGGGACTTTTTGCGGAACAAAGACACGGCTGCAATTTGGACGCGTTGAATCTTATAAGATTAGCATCACCCATTCAGAGATTGCCTGTAATGTAAGATTCAAATGCTCTACCATGGCCTCTCTTTCGGATTGGATGTGATCTCTACTGACCCGAAGACTCGGTTGTTATTTATCCACAACTGTGCTGTCGTCTGCGTACCGATAGACACCGGGCATGAGCAGATCGTTGATATGTTGAAAGAAAAAAGTTGCAGAAAGGACGGACTCCTGAGGGCCTACGATAACGGAGAGACCGCCCACTCAGAAAGTCCTTTATCCAACCGATTAGGCCAGGAGATATGCCGTACACTGGAAGCTTGCTGATGAGGCTGGATGCCAGACCTGTCAAAGGCCTTCGAGATATCTAGGGAAACTGATCCTTTGTTCTCGAGGGCCTCGCCCCAACTAGAAGATACACAGTTGACTGAGAATGTCGTTGTGTTCTAGGTCGCCACGAGACAGGCGTTCAATATACGCTCCATAGTCCTACAAAGTATGGAGGTAACACAGGTTGGTAGGATCGGCACGACTACCCCTTTGTTGGAATGGGCTGCACATTCGCCAGCTTCCAGGACCTAGGGACTTCTCCAGTCTCAAGACGTGTCAGAATAGGAGATAATTCGGATGCACAACCCTAGGACTTAACGGCCCGGTTAAAGGCTTTCTTCTTCAGGCTAATGTCCGGAGCTTTACGGTGTCGAGCTTCAACCCAGGATAAGTACGCCTAATGCTGTGTGACCGTCCACATCTGGCACCCTGGTCGATTGCTGCCCCAGCTGTGAGATACCAAGAAAGGTAGCAAAGTTGCACGCTTCGCTTCGGGCATGGTCAGTCCTCTGGTATGGGAATAACCAGTCCTGGTGATAGACTGTAAATTCCCCCAGAAACACAAACTGTGCCGTAGGATACCGTTGGATTGCCACATACGCGGCCTCGCTAATACGAGCGAATAAACGAGCTGTCTCCTGGTCACCGCTGTGCGATCGATAGATTCGGGAATAGATGATTTTTTACATTCCTGTATCAACTAACACCCAAAGGGTTGAGACACTGGCGTCTTCAAGGTGACGGAGATGCTGATAACAGATATCAATTCGGGCGTATACACAGACTCCTGCAAGCTGGTGGAAGTGGTGCTCCAAAAAACTAAATAGTATGTCTATTGACATCTACAGATGCGGCTTACTCGAACCAGGTTCGAGTAAGCCGCATCTGTAGATGTCAATAGACATACTATTTGCGTCTCCGTCAAGAAAAAGAGATGCGGTTTGTCAGTCTCAAGATGGTGGTGGACAGAACAGAGATTAGAGTGCAGACCTCGAATGCCAGAGAGACGCAATTGTAAATAGAGGAAGTGCATCCGCTGTGTAGCTACTTTTCTTTTTCTAACTTTTCATTTAATGTTTATGGAGTGAAGAGGATGGAGGATGGCACTTGAACGAGGTCTTGCGATGTTAATCAACAATGCAACCGGAGGCACAGCACCACAGGGGCTTGATCTGGAGACTGCGGGGACGCCCGAACCGGGGAGGTCGTCATCGGGTCCTCTCACCTGGTCGCCAACCGGCACGATGGGGCAACCCTGGGATTATGCACAGTTGGCGGGACAGCTTTTTGTGCGTGGTGGCTGGTACACTACTTAGGCCCCTACTAACTGCGAGCGGCCAACGGAGCACCGTTTTTGGGATCCCGCTACCCTCCGCGAGCTAGCACCCGATATTGAAAAACTGGCGCATCATACCCGGCAATCGTCACAAGGCAACTGTACAGACCCATCCTCCATACGACTTCATCAGACATCGTGCTGGAACACGACGTATCGCTTGGCAGCAACACTTTGTCTGAGACACGTGTAGGGTATCATTATTCAAGTACGCTCCAACGGATGCGAACAGCTTCATCCTCCTATAAAATATAGAACAAAGGTTTCCTAAACTGGATATTATACAGGATGATTTTTTAGACGACGTATATACTTTGACGTAATGTAAATAGAGGATTCCACAATAAAAAAAAGAAAATTAAGATTTTATTTTGACAAGAAATAACTAGAAAAATATCAATTCAAACATTGTTTGTTTATCCCGTTAAGAGTGGTCACCCTTTGATAAGCGGTTTCGTAATTATGCGTCAGCGAAAGTTTTACTACTCGTTAATAGGTTATTGTATTGAGACATTATATCGATAGGGCAGGAATTTCTTAAGGTGTTCATAATGTTTGAAAAAATTAAAAATAATCTTTTAAAAAAAATGAGGTCACAAGTACTTAACAGATTCAATTTAGAATCAAATTCTGCATATGCTCTGTTACTATGCCCATCATCTATAAAATCACCCTGTTTATTTTTAAAACTGATAAAAAATTGAGTACTTCAATTAGACTACTGCAATTAAAATAATCTTTATTATAACAACTTGTCACTAATGTTTTGTCTTAGCACAATCAAAAACCAGTAATTACTCAATACCCATCTGCACACATGAAATTTAATTTGATTATACAAAATTGTTTATCTATTCAAGATGGAATTTAAAATTACATATAAAAAAAGTGCTGATTTTATGAAACCAAAGGCATATAGAATGAAAACTTTGATAAAAACTGTGAACTCGAAATGCAGTCATATGAAAAGTTAAAAAAAATCAAGATATTTAAATTTTTGAGGGGCCATACTCTAAGTCTAGGGGAGGGTATTACCAAGGTTATTACCAATGGATATGAGGAAGTTTTGCCAAGCAAACTGAGACAGTTTCGCTGATGTCATTATGCAATAAAATATATTTTTAATCATCAATTTTATTTTTAATCTGTTGCATGAATACATCTAACGGATCACAAGTCTCAAGACCATCAGATGATGGTTTTTTACCATATTCCTCAACTAGCTTCATATGCTCTTCTAGATTATTGACATCATTTAACTCATCATCAAAGTATTTGTCTTCAGCATCCTGTGAAATTTGTTGTAGATCATCATACTGATCATTATTATCTATAGAATTATAGTCTATTTCTTCATCTCTCCCATCAAGAAAGCTACTATACATTTCTTGAACAAATTCTTCTCTAAGCAACACTCTTTCACGACTGTTCACAGTTTGTTCTACAGCATAGCTTTCAAATTGGGGCTCAGGTCTTGTGTCAGGTTCATCAAATTCACCCCACATTTTCTTCTTTGGTTTACTTTCTTTCTCAACTTTTTTAGTTTGCTCTGCTAATACCTCTGTTTCCATAGATTCTTGAAGCATTTGCTTGTGTTTCATCTCTTTCATCTCATTCATTTCTACAGTATTTAAAATAACATTTAAAAAAGAAATGTTGGTACTATCACCACCATCCCGCTTTATAACATCATCCTCATTTAAATATTGACCAATTAACTGTTCATAAAGAAGAGGATTGCGGAACATCATCTGTTTTTCACTAAAATAATCGGTTTCTTCTTGCATCTTTTGTAAAGCTCTGTATCGTCTATTTCTAACTCTTTTGTGCCTACTTCTATCAGAATGGTATTCCTTTAAATAGTTAAGGCACTCAATGTAAGCAGGGCATTTATATTTAATATCATTTTGTAAATTTTCGAAGTAAGGTAAGTGATTGGGAGATAAATATTTACCAAATTGTTTTAAAAAATACGTAGGTGTTTTTGTGAAAAGTCTGTATGCTAATTCTATTTTATCAGCTGTTCTCACATGGTCCTCATCTACGTGAGAAGTTTTAAAGGATATATTAGCACATCTAACTAAGTAGTCAATAATATCATGTATTGGATCAATTGCATCTCCGTTTACTCCCTTTGTATGGTTTGTAGTTTCTTCATCCATGAGTGAAGCGTTGAGCACTACTAAAAACTGTTTTGTTATAAATTTATATCTTTCTTACTATTACACCAAATCATTTATCGCTTAACAACCTAAATTATTATTTTTTTGAGCAGTTGCAAATATGTCACTGTCAACACAACAGTGTCAACTCACGACTGTCAAGAGTCAAGACTATTATTTATTAACTAAATCTCGGCTGGGAACGCCATCAATGGTCTATATCCAGATAAAATAATACAATTAATTTACAAAAAAAAAATAATGAACGAGAATAAATTAGTGATTTAAATCAACACAAGATTAACGGAAATAATCAATTCTCGGACATAGAGCATATTTGGATTTTGACGCATGTATAGCGAATCTCCGTTGTAATTTTGGTTAATCGGGGGATGCTCAGCAGACACTCGCAATACACTGGCGGAGACGCGATACACCCACTCGCGGAATCGCGTTTAAGTCGCAATATATGGAGTGACCGAGTGAACGTGTTTTATTATCCTTCTTTTTATATCTTAAATTAACGCTAGCTGTTCCTCGATGTATAATTATATAAACTACCTGCTGTTGCCATCTTTTGAAAAAGTGGGCCCCGGCTACCTCACACACCAAAAGAAACGTAGAAGTATGACACTTCCACTTCACGCCGGTTGTGAGGTCGTTTTACTTATCAGGACGGACCTATTATAGGTTGGGAGAACTAAATTGTTTAACGCGCCTTAACTCGGCATCGATCGTCTAAAACGGTTAAAAGATGGTGTCGTGGCGTCTCAGTCTCAGATGTACGTTCCGAGTGGATGTGGGATAGATATCAAAAGTTCCCTCTAACGAAGTTTAATAACTATTTATTCGTTTGAAGTGTCATATCGACGTTACTTAAAAAAAGGTGGAAAAGGTAGCAATTAAATATCGCTATGCTATTCAGCGTTCTGTATGTACAAAAGGACGCCGGTAGTGTGACCAAGAAATCTGTTTTGTATCACTTGAAGTGGTTCCAAGAGGTTGTATGTCTAAAACTTTTTTTTAAATGTATTTTACTGTCAGCATAGCAGCTTGGATAGCTTCGTTGTAAGAGGTTCGCAGGCAGATGGCTCGCGACTGAAGAGAACAAAGTAGTTGGCGAGGGACAAGATAACAACATTGCGTAAGTGATTAAAAACTGACATGGCATACGATTAGATCTCACGTACACTGCCGACAAACGCACTGTGTCGTGTGAATTTTTGAGGGTGAATTCAATAGTAAATACACAAATAGTCTGTACGAAGAAATCCCCATTATTTACATTTCTTTTGACAGTGACATGTTTGTTTCTGTCATTTTATGAAATAATGATATGAGTTTGAGTCAGTAATTCTAACACATTATGCATAATTTTGTCTTTGAATGCTTTAAAATCAAGGTCCTTAAAAAGTATTTCTAAAGACATATTAAAATTAAACATTTTCCTATTTATTATACACCACATCATATTTTTGTGTTAACTGAAAATGTATTAAAATTAAAAATTTTGAACTTATGATGGATTTCATTACAAAACTACAATGGAAATGGGAAGATATGTGCGGACCAGATGGTTTTCAACCGTGGATAGACGAAAGAAAGGATTTTGGACAATGTTTTCAAGAATTGTGCTTACAAATACCTGTTTTCTTTATTGCTGCAATGGTATCAGGATATTACGTTGGTTACAGAACAGACTGGGTAATACGTGAAAAAACACAAGAACGAGCTATTGTTTTGCGTAGTTTTGTAGTTTTAGCTCTAATGTTTATTCCAATCATAGAATTATATATTTTTATAACTAACAACAAATTTAATTTATTTCCTGTTGATTATTTCACTGCTGGAGCCTCTTGCCTGTCATGGTTGGTGCATTTTGGGTATATTTTGGCACTTAAACACAGACTTGGTCTCAGCAGTCGTGGACCATTCTTTCCACTAATTTTATGGACTGTAATAGTTTTGCTAAATCTTATTTCTCTCCGCACAAGAATTATTACTGGATCCATTATGGGATTTGACATTGCAAAACTATGCTGCCATGGAATTTACCTTCTTACTCTTCTGCCATCAAGTAACTCGAGGCCTACATTTTATTCACAACATCTTGTTGGCTCTCAACATTCGAGTGTAAGTAGTATATAGTAACTTTGAATAAGAAATCTTAGTTATAAACATGTTATTTAAAAAAGTATTATAACTAAATACTAATTTTAGAGTGAATATACACCTCTTCTACCCCATATGGATGAGGGTATTCTAGGGACTGCTATGCAAGGCACAAACTGGTTCTCAAAATTAATTTTCTTGTGGGTTAATCCACTTCTAGAAAAAGGTATGTTAGTAATACATAACTATATATTTTTAATATGTAATATTTTTAATTAATACACATTTTATTAAAAAAATTGTGAATTAATTTTATATAAATTAAAGGTTTAGAAAACAAACTTCAGGATGCTGAAGAATTGTATGATATACCAGTTCATTATAGATGTTCTTATGTTGGAGCTAAAATGGATAAAGCATTGATTGGAAATGTTGACCAATTTCAGCAATATGCTGAAGTACCTCATGAACCATTTATTGGAACTGGTAACATTTAAATCTTGTTATTTATTTTGTTATGATTATGCAATTCAAAATTTAAAGTGATCAATAATTACAGGGTATGGTTCATTGGGAGAAAGTCAGCCACAAGTATCCACTCCTGTAACTCCTACTTCAAGAGTTTTATTAAGGCCACAGAGGCGCCAAAATGTTTCTTTATTCCGGGCATTACATACATGTTTTGCGCTTCAATTTTATAGCATTGGATTGCTAAAGCTTATATCAGACATGGCAGGTTTTGCAGGACCAATATTACTAAATAAATTGGTTACATTCGTGGAAGATGAAACTATTGATCAACATTTAGGGTAGGTTATCATTAAGTTGATATGTTATGATAATAATAAATGGTATTTAACTTTACACCTTACTATCAAATTGAACTGTGATAATATTAGGTCCTTACATATGAAATTAGTGTCTTGTAGTACTGACCACTTTGATCTGAAATAGGAGATATTTGGGCAAGAATTCCAAATTCAAATTTATAAATTCATTTAGCTGGTACGTTTGAGTTTTGAAAACAGTCATTAATTTGTTTTTTCCTAATTATTTTATTCTTGGCATTGCTTATTACCCCACAATGGAGAACATGAAATATCGGTATATTTACGAGTATGAGTTCTACCTTGGAAACAGTGCTGCAGAAACAGCTCGAAGGAGTAATGATGTGTACGGCACTGGTGTCGCAAAAGAAAGCATGGTACGTTTTTGGTTTCAATGTTTTCGTTCTTGAAATTTCGACCTTCAGAACCAACCCCATGGACGGCCAGAGACCAAAGAGGAAAATAAAGAATTAAAGGCTAGTGTGGCGGATCTACCACAAAAAACTTCAGAGATAGCTGGAGGCTTCAGGGTAAGTGATGAAACTGTATTAATCCACTTGAAGCAAATCGGGAAAGTAAAAAAACTTGAACGATGGGTACCACATGAATTGAGTGAATCGAAGTTGCAAACACGCGTCGACTGCTGTGTTACTTTGCTCAACCGACACAATAATGAAGGGATTTTAAATTGAATCATTACTTGTGATTATTATTACAAAAATGGATACTGTACGATAATCGGAAGCGCTCATCGCATTGGCTGTACTCTGGAGACCCAGCCAAATCCTGCCCTAAACGAAAATTTACTCAGAAAAAGTTACTTGTGAGTGTTTGGTGGACTAGTGCCTGTGTTGTTCACTACAGCTTTCAAAAAACTGGCCAAACGATTATGGCAGATATCTATTGTCACCAACTGCAAATCATGAAGGAAGAACTAGCTGCTAAACAATCGAGATTTAAAAATCGCTTTAGGCCACTGCTGCTTCACGACCACACATTGCACAACAAACAACCACTAAGTTAGATGAGCTACAATTGGAATGTCTGCGACATCCACCGTTCTCGCCGGACCTTGCTCTAACAGATTACTATTTTTCCGGAATTTAGACAACTACTGAAAAGGAAAAAAATTCAACTCCGATGCGGCAGTCCAAACCGCCTTCAAAGAGTTTATTGATTCTCACCCCCATGTTTTTTTTTAGTAAAGGAATCAATGAACTACCTATGAGATGCCAAAAGTGCATAATAAACAATGGTGCATACATTGATTAATGAAATATATTTTACAAAAAAAAATTACTTTATATTCCTCCCGTACAAAACGCCAATTTCATATGTAAGGACCTAATATAAGTAAACTAAGTAAAGTAGTCTTTATAATCCCAACACTAAAATTGTCAAAGATATTAATTACATCTGTTAAAAGTCGGAATCTATAGCTGAAAATTTGGCATACAAGTATATTCTACACGATCAACTTTAATGGATCATACACTATTTTAAAGTTTATGTTTTCCGCTTCTGATAAAAAATAGAAAAATAAAACTGAGTTTTCATAAAAACAATTTTGTTTAAAAACTTCTTATAAATAATGAAAAATTCATCTATTGACAATTATCTTTAATAAAAGATAGCAAAATAGATTGAATTTCACAGTTACCCTTCAAAATTATTATACAGCGTGTCGTTACAACCGCGACAATAAATGAACACACATATAGATGATAACTTTTTCAATTGTATTAAGCATTTACATTCTTTAAACATCAATATTTACCGAGTAATTAAATTTTACAAAACAAACATTTTTAGAACACCCTTACGTATAAAACTGTAACGTAAAGTTCATTTGTAAAGGTCACAAAGCATATGAATGGGTTGAATGAATTTAAAAAACATAGAACATACTGTTAGAAGGAGAGACTTGTAATGCGACGTTGTGGCAACGAATGGAAAAGTCTCTGAATGTATGAATCGGTCAGTTTTAGTTGTATAGGATGTTACAAATTCTGTTTCTTTTTTAATTAATTAGTTTGTTTGAAAAATGTTTTTTTTTTAATTATGGATTTTTTCAACGTTTTATATTTTTTTATGATTATCGGCAAGTAGCGTTAGACGTGTGTTCATTTATTGTCGCGGTTGTAACGACACGCTGTATACATACTTCTATTCAAAGACTGATCTTAGTGCTTATTGTATGAAAACGTAACACGGGTCATCTAGTTATTTATATTTTAGACAAATTTTGCTATAATCGTGTTAAGTTAGGAATTTAATCTCTGATTTTAAATTTGTCTTATTATCTGTCTACTGAGCCCAATCAATAATAAATTTAAAAGGATTTGTATTAAAAACCAAATGTCTGTGAAGTCTTTGAAAAACAAGTTAATAGAATTATTACTGTTAAGTATACTATACAACACTTTTGTATTTCTAGGTATGCATATGCAGCTGGCCTTCTATCTGCTACAATTGTGGGTTCTGTATTCAATGTTCATTTTAATTGGCTTATGTCTCTAATAGGAATTAAAATGCGTGGTGCAATGGTTTCAATAATTCTAAGAAAAACTCTTAGTGTGACTTCTACAGAACTTACTAAGTCGTTTTCTATAGGGGAAATAACCAATTTTATGTCAACTGACACTGACAGGATTGTTAACTCATGTCCAAGTTTTCATGCACTTTGGAGTATACCATTACAGGTTTGTATGGCATTATTTATATGGCATCATACTATGCATAAAGTTAACTAAATAGTGAAACAAGAATAATGTTGATGGTTTATGATATATATTTCCATAATACTAATATACTTATATTTTAAAAACTTCCAATCTATTAGAGGGACAAAGTTTCAATCCATTTGCTCCTCAATAATAAACACTGTCTATTTACTAGAAAACTTTTGTTTTCCAGCTAGTAATAACACTTTTCCTGTTGTACCAACAAGTAGGAATATCATTTTTAGCTGGTGTTGCATTTTCAATCATTCTGATTCCTATAAACAAATTGATTGCCAACAAAATAGGACTACTGAGTACAGAGCTCATGAAACATAAGGACTCACGCGTTAGTTTGATCAGTGATATGCTCAAAGGTATCAGGACTATAAAGACTCATGTTTGGGAGGATTACTTCATAGGCAGAGTATCAGGTAAGTCAATGAAAAAAGGAATTATTAAAAGTAATTACTACCATCCTAAGGAAAAGCGGCTGCCCTTAGGAATATTTATTTTATTTTATTAAGAATAGATATCGACTTGTATCAATGTGAATATGAAATCTTGGATATGTTTCAATATAATATGTTTGTAAATCGTTTTTGTCATTTATCTTTAATATATAAAATTCTCGTGTCACGGGGTTCGAACTTGAACTCCTCCGAAACGGCTCGACCGATTTTTACCAAATTTTATATGCGTATTCAGTAGGCCTGAGAATCGGCCAACATCTATTTTTCATCCCCCTAAATGTTAAGGGGGTAGTCCACCCCTAAATTTTTTTTAATTTTTTAGGCAAATTTTTTTGGTTTTATTTTTTTATGACACTGCATACAAAAATACATACAACCCTAAATTTTCACCCCTCTACGCAGACGTATTCGCGGGCAGCAGCTAGTTCATTTATAAATATTTATCAGTGTGATATACAGCGTGTCGTTACCATCGCGACAATAAATGAACACACATATAGGGGATAAGTTTTTAAAGTTGTATTAAACATTTAAATTCTTTAAATATCAATATTTACAGAGTTATTAAATTTTCCAAAACAAAGAATTTTAGAACACCCTTACCTATAAAAGCGTAACGTAAAGTTCATTTGTAAAGGTCACAAAGCATATAAATGGGTTGAATGAATTTAAAAGAGACAAAACATACTGTTCGAAGGAGAGGCTTGTAATACGACGCAGTGGCGCGTGTTGTATAGGATGTTACAAATTTTGTTTCTTTTGTACTTAATTAGTTTGAAAAAAATTTTTTTTTTAATTATGGACTTTGTTTACCGTTAATATTTGTTTATGATTATTGGCACGTAGTGTTAGACGTGTGTTCATTTATTGTTGCGATGGTAACGACACGCTGTATACATATATACAGCGTGTCGTCACCACCGCGACAATAAATGAACACACACATAGAGGATAACTTTTTAAAATTGTATTAAACATTTACATTCTTTAAACATCAATATTTACCGAGTTATTAAATTTTCCAAAACAAACAATTTTAGAACACCCTTACGTATAAAACTGTAACGTAAAGTTCATTTGTAAAGGTCACAAAGCATATGAATGGGTTGAATGAATTTAAAAGAGACAAAGCATACTGTTAGAAGGAGAGGCTTGTAATGCGACGCTGTGGCGCGAGTTGTATAGGATGTTACAAATGTTTGTTTCTTTTTTACTTAATTAATTTGTTTGAAAAATAGTTTTTTTAATTATGATTTTTAATTATTTGTTTAACGTTAATATTTTTTTATGATTATTGGCAAGTAGCGTTAGACGTATTGTCGCGATGGTAACGACACGCTGTATATGAGAGCCGTCTTCAATTCAATAGCCTTTAGATCCTCGCCTTTAATTCAATATACTCGAGCAACCTGAGTTCGATCCCCGGTGCCGGCACCAATGAAGTTTTTAACTTTAAGTGCTGACTTATCACGTGCTCCGCATAAACCTGCATATTTTCGAAATATTATTTATAAATATTATTTATACAAAAAAAATATTTTTCGAAGATATGTGAAGTCCGCCAATCCGCAGTGGGGCTGCGTGGTGCACTGTGCCCTAATACCCTATGTATTGAGGAAGTCCATGTATGGGCTGTTACTATACTATAAATATTTATCAGCAGTTTATGTATGCCAGTAGTAATAACGATGTATTTAAATGTATAAAACTAAACAACAGTAATAAAAGAAAAATTCATTTCGAAAATCCAATTCGAAAAAAAGGGTTGAGAACTAAATTTTTATGTCTACCATGTTATTAATCCACGGCGTAAAGTGTATGTGGCATTTTGGCTTCTAACAAATGGTACTTTATTTTTTGTTTGAACGCCGACATGATTGAGTTAGTTCTTAGTTATAATTTAAGTTTTTTCTGTGTCAGGGGGGATTAATGAAAATTTATAATTTCATACTATTTTCAAAAAATTTAACGATTCGTATTTTATGTCATAGAGTCTCGTTCGAAGGAATTGTACTATCTGCGCGGACGCAAATACCTCGACGCAATTTGTGTTGTTCTTTGGGCGACAACGCCCGTTTTGGTGGCGGCTTTGACCCTTGGTACGCACGCTTTGCGAGGGCAAGAGCTGGACGCGCCAACGGTGGGTGTTCTTATTGGACATTTCTATTAAATAAACGTTTGTGTACTGATATAGGTACACACGTAAGATTATATGATTAGTATGGTTTGTGTTTGTGGCCCTCCTGTGAACATTAGGAGTCAGGAACTGGGAGGGCCCAAGTTCGCAACCAAGGAAGCCCTGACTCTTAGCCCTTTATCGACTGTTATTTTCGTTAGCGTTGTTTGTTTTGAAGGAGGCTATCTAGCTCAAATGGAGGACTACAATAGATCTTCTAGGTCGCAATGGTCGCAGTGGTAATAAGTCTATTACCCAACCCCTCCCACAATCTCCACTAAATACAATAAGAGGCATCATTGGTACCATATTTCAGGTGTTCACTACGGTGGCGTTGATCAACATGCTCATTGCGCCATTGAACGCGTTCCCGTGGGTCCTAAATGGGCTCACAGAAGCGTGGGTCTCCATCAAGAGGATACAAAAGCTGCTAGATGTAAGAAAGTCCGTATAATGGTGATATTAAACAAAAAAAAATATTTTGTTACCTAAAGTTTTCTTTCAGCTCACCGATATGGACTCCGACCGCTATTACGACAGGGTCAACAGGAACCGCGACGAAGATAAAATAATCATATTCAAGAACGCCTCATTCGCCTGGGTCAAGCCGTCGAAAAGGAAACCCCTGGTCAAGACCAAAAAGAACAAAGGGAAATCCAAAAAGAGTTTGTCGAAGAGGAAGACTCAACGCGACGACTCCACATCGTCTTCCGATAACCAAACTCAAGAGCCATTCATGTTGAAAGAAATCTCACTGGAGATCGCTAAAGGCGAGCTCCTTGGCATAGCTGGAAACGTAGGCAGCGGTAAAACATCCTTATTGCACGCAATCCTCGGGGAAATGTTAAAGACCAATGGCGATCTCCAGATACCCGAGAATTTGAATAGTAAGTTTAGTTTTGTGACCGCTCAGAATTCGAAAGGGATGCAAAGGGAATTTTCATGTTCTAAATTGAACCATTTCAGTTCGTAATTACTAAATAAATTTCAGGCAATAATTTTCTTCTAAAATATACGAAATTAGTGTGTATTTTCAGAAATTGTGGTTGGTTATGACTAAAGAATTGCTATCATTAGTGTTCGATAAGGGAACAAAATGTAAACACTATTTACGTGTTTGTAAAATTTGTAATATGGTTTTTATAATATATTTGTTAAATCGATGCTTTTAATAATACTGAAAATTTTGAACTGATCTTATATGACAAGACAAAACTGAATCTATAGTCGAATTTAAAAAAGCAAGAAAACTGATAGATGAAAAGTTAAATTTATAAATTATAGCAAAAATATAGGTTATATATAAAGCAAACGGCCCAAACAATTTGTATTTTGAGCTCTCATATTCGTACTTGACTGTTAAATTTTGTTAAGTTTATACCGAAATCGAGAAAAACCTTACATTTTAATTTATTTTTATATTGTTTTTCTATACGTTTCTTGATTATTAATTTTTCATGTAATGATTTTAAATGAAAACTCATCAGCAAATAAATTTTATGTAGTCCCGATATAGTACCTATATGAGATGATAATCAACTAATTTTACTAATAGTTTAACAACTTTCAGTAGTTATAAATATGAGAAAGGGCTATAGACAAAATTTCTAATTCTTTTATAATTTTTTTTATTTGCAATGCAGGTTTCGGATACGTATCGCAGCAGTCGTGGTTAGTTCGTGGTACGATACGCGATAACATCCTCTTCGGAAAACCGTACGATGAAGTCAAATTCCGATCGGTCGTCGACGCTTGCGCCCTCACAGGTAAAGAAATATTTCTTTACTTTTAGTCCTCAATATATCTCATCCAAATTCAGTGTGTATTTTAAACTCGTTTTTAGCTCGTTCTAGCAACATGTTAAAAAATCTTTATTATATTACTAGGCGAAGATATTTCGAAGTTTTGACTATAACCTTGGATATTTCCTTGGATATAACGAAACAACAGCAAGTTTCACCAATAATATCTACATAATATATTTAAATCTGGTGTCGTTGTCTTGTTTCAGAGGACCTTAACATTCTCGGATGGAATGCCTATATCGGGGAGGGCGGGTGCACGTTGAGTGGCGGACAACGCACCCGTATTGCGTTAGCTAGAGCTGTATACCAAGAGAAACAAGGTAATTTACCTTGTTTCTTTGATTGAATATTGTTTTTAATTATAAATTCTGTCACTAACACCATCAACACAATCATTACTGGAGTCAAGATTAGTTTGTATATTTAACAAGCGAAATAATTACTGTTTTATTAAAATTGTTGTGCCTTTATATACGCGGTATTTCAAGTGTTGTAACGTTTCTAGCATTGAAAAAAGAATATCGCTGATGTCATTCAGCATAAATATTCAACATCCTAGAATCTCTACTTGGGTCACAGCAGTGATAATACACGCCATTTCTGTTATAAACGCCATAATCTTGCAAATTAAAATGTTATTAATAAATAAATAAAAATATTATAAATATTAAGTACTTTTACGGTGGTAGAGCCACCCAGCAGCCTCGGCTGTTGCACGAATGGGCAGGCTCGTCCGGGTAAGTACCACGACCTCCCAGAAGACCGGCGTTAAGTAGAAGTAATACTTACTACTAGAACAAATACTTTCGCGTTTCGTCTGGTGAGAGAGGTACCCGGAGCCCAATTTCCAAAAAGGTTGTCAACGCATCTGCAAACCCTCGGATGTAGCAGATGTCTATGGGTGGCGGTATTCGCTTAACATCAGGCGAAACGTCTGCTCGTTTGGCAACTTTTCACATAAAAAATAAATAAAATAATATATAATTTTACAGGATTAAAAAAATGTGTAGATCTGAGTGAGACAAGGAAAATTATTGTGCCGTGATAATGTTACAAATACTCTTCACACAACAAAAAAAAACAGAGAGCTACAATAGATAGACTAGATAGACGATCCAATTGGTGTGGGTTTTTTTTTCAGTATTAGGGGCATGTGTTCGACCACCACTACCGGGAAAAAAACTCTTTTATAATTATAGCATTTTTCTAATGTCGGGGTGCTTATACATATATCATGATGGGCTCCGCTTGCAGTGTACTTGCTGGACGACGTTCTGTCTGGGGTGGACGCGCGCGTCGCTGCGCACATAATGCAGCGCTGCGTGCTCGGGCTGATGCGGCACAGCACGCGGCTATTGGTCGCGCACTCGCCGCGCCATCTGGCGCGTGCGCACCGCGTCCTCCTATTGGCTGACGGACGCGTCCACGCGCACGGTAACCGCCGCCATCTTGCCTTTGGAGTGGAAATCAGTGACCGCGATATTAAGCTTTTGGGATACGTCCTGCTTTTTATTCTTGACTAATTGAATGCGGCACAGCACGCGGCTGCCAGTTGCGCACTAGCCGCGCCATCTAGCGCGCGTGGTAATTCTATTGGCCGACGGACGCGTGCACGCGCACGGTAATCGCCATCTTGCTTTTGTTCTATGGCTTTATATTTATTAGCATAGTGAGATAGGTTATAATGAATAATCTACCTATAATGAATAATTGATGTAGCAGAAGTAGTTAATGTAGTCACTGCTGAAAGTATAAATATGAAAGATTTCTGTTAGTACCACTTTTGCTGCGCCATACTATGGAAAAAACTGTATTTTCGTAGACCTTGTATCAATGAAACTGCATATTCTTACCTTACCTCACCTTACTGATGTGTTACTGTGTATTTGATGATTTACTGTATATTGATATACTGCCTTGTAACCAATGTTACGAGGTTCAGCGCAACTGGAGCAATTAAATCGGTACAATAATTGAATAGATGCCCTGAAATCTTAATTGAAACAGTAGTTATTTATTACATAACATTTGAGAACACTATAAGTTCGCTCATTTTTTCGGGAATCTTATAAAGGAGTGGGTTATCAGGTCGTGTCCTTAGGGAAGGTAATAAAAAAGTATTACAATACATCAAGATATTTGTATATTTTATGTAGACCCAACACCAAGCAACACAGTACCCATCATTCCTGTTAAATTACTAGTATGAATTTGGACTTGCAGGGCCTCCGGAGCTGGTACTGAACGAAATAGAGGAATTTTTACCTAGTGAAACGGAGTCTCTAGGGGAAGAACCGATCACGGAACGTGAGCAACGTCCCATTGAAGACTCGTTGGATAATATTAGCAAACAAAGTGTGGACAATGAGGTACAAAACTTACAAAATCTTTTATAAAGGTTTGAAATCGATAAATAAACATTGAAACTCGTAACAAGTCTCTATGCTTGTTACAATATACCTACATTTTATTAACGACTAGCGACCCGCCCCGGCTTCGCACGGGTGCTATGTATAATACATACATTTAAACCTTACTCTTGAATCACTCTACATAGTAAAAAAACCGCATCAAGATCCGTTGCGTAATTTTAAAGATCTAAGCATACATAGGGACAGACAGACAGCAGCGGGACGACTTTGTTTTTTAATATGTAGTGATACGTGTAAAATTAAAGTATCAGCATACACATGTCCCACTGCTGGGCAAAGGCCTCCTCTGTACAGACAGTATCAGGGCATAGTCCACCACGCGGCCCCACTGCAGATTGACCACATATTTTCGAAATATTTTTTTGTTATTATTTCGAAAATATGCAGGTTTCCTTACGATGTTTTCCTTCATCGCTGAGCACGTGATAATTCGTCACTTAAAATTAACAATTTCATTGGTGATACGTGTGTTATAATTATTATAAAAATGGTATTAAGGCAAAACGCTCTCCCTTCAGATCGTGTGAAATAAATTGACGCTCTTGAATACATGCTGTCAGAAATCATTGTGCTCTTTTTGGGGGCAGTTCTCTCATGATAATTAACTTTGCAGCTTCTTTAATAGTTTGCATCACATATATTGTTGAATTTTCATTATTCACAGGAAGCAATGTCGACGGGAACGGTAGGCTGGTGGGTGATATTTTTATATCTGCGTTCCGTCGGCGTCCTCCTGTCTGTCTCCATTGTTATATCACTCATATTAATGCAGTTATCCCAAAACTACACGTTCCTTTGGCTTACGTTCTGGATCAAGAACAGGGCTAAGAACGCCACGGGCCTGAACGTAGAAATACTGCTCAGCGAAAGCCCCCACGAAACACAAACAGTTCTGGACCACGGCTTCGACGTGATAGACAATCTAGTTCACGGCATCGTCAACACTTCGTTGTCTGTGGTGCACAATTTTGGCGGGAATCTGAGTGCAGCGTCGAGTTCGCCATTGGGTGATTGGAAAGTTTCACAAGCCGAGGCAGTGTACAGTGACAATTACTATTTGGAGATGTACTTCGCGCTGGCCGGCCTGAATTTGGTATTCACCATTATGAGGGCATTTCTGTTTGCGTACGGAGGGGTTAAGGCCGCTGGAAAGATTCACAAGATTCTCGTTAAAGTTGTCGTCGAAGTAAGTTATACATTAATTACTTAATTTTAAATAACTGCTTGATTATGAATAAATACACCATCTCTCATTGGTTAATACAACGTCAGTGCTTCGTTTTTTTTAACTTAAATATTGTCAAGTGAGCAGGCAGTTCACCTGGCGTTAAGTGATGACTGCCGAGCATGGACATCTGCAACGACTGTGGGTTGTAGATGCGATGCCAAACTTTACGATAGTGGGCCCCGGTTACCTCACTCAACGGACGAAGCGAAAGTATAAATAATTTAAACTTCTAGCCAGTCTTCTCTGAGGCCGTGGTACTTCCTCGGACGAGCCTGCCCAATTTTGGAACAGCAATAGCTGCTGCGAAGGCGACGGTAATCATAACACAAATAAAAATCAATTAATCATGAACGAAAAATATATTTTGTTAAGCGCTTTGATAAATCTTATAACTATTAAAATGAGAGTTATCTTTATTGTGGTAATACTAAAAATTATAATAAATTTTCAGGCAAAAGTGAAGTTTTTCGACGTAACACCTACCGGTCGTATTATAAATCGATTTTCGTCTGACACTTACACTGTGGACGATTCGCTGCCATTCATCCTAAACATCTTTCTGGCACAGGTGTTCTCTTTGATCGGTGAGATTCTATATATACGTACAACATACTATAGACAATTTATCCATATAAATCCTTAATCAGAGTCTTATTTAAATTTACTCCAACAATTTCAATTTATATTCTGGCAACCATCTTTAGGCACCACATGACAAACCAAATGTTGCAAACACCCAAAGATCCAAAGCAATTGTTATTATCTTTGGGTCATATAAATGCTTGCCCCTTGTGGGAAACAAACCTACGACCCTAGGTGCCGAAGCCATTGGTTATTAAAATCGCCCACGAACCACTCTGACAACAAAAAAAATGACAAAAATTTCTAAATAAGGAGAATACACTGTTACAATAAAACTAAAACAATCTCACTTAAAGAGTAAGAGGTTAAGACAGTTGTATATTAGATTCGTTTTGGATAAAGTGATTAAAATTACACTTTAGGATCAAGAATTAAGGTACATATTTCTATACACAGGGGCCGTTGCCGTGACGGTGTACGGTCTACCATGGCTGCTCGTAGGTGTACTGCCAATGTCTTTCATCTACTACCACCTTCAGAGACGGTACCGCGTCACTTCGCGTCAGCTGAAGCGCCTACAGAGTGTCGCCCTCTCGCCTATATACGTGCACTTCAACGATACCCTCGAAGGTAACAACAGTTATAACGCATTCTATTATTCAATTCTATCTTATTTTACAAGTTTAAATTCACAGCTTTAACACGAAATTAAAAAAAAATTTAAGGCGAAGTTTTAAACAGAGTCTCAGATGTTCAACTAAAGTCAAAGTCAAAATTTCCTTATTAAATATCGACATAATTTAAGATGTTATTGAACGTCAAAAAAAAAAACTACAACCGGTTCACTCAGTTAGACCTGATCAGAGAAGAACCGGCAAGAAACTCGGCGGTCTTGTTTTCTCTTTTTTTTAAATTATACAATTTTACAAACTTATTTAAGTATAAAATCAGCAGCACCCATTTGCAAGTGCAGAGCAAGAGTCATTTCCACACATCTTTGTCCTCAAAGTTAATCAATATTTTTTCAACATCCCTAATGTTGAAACAATACTGATATACCGATATTTTTGATTTTATATATCGATATTTTCAGCCGATATATAAGAATCCGATATATCGATATACGATAAAAAATATTCAATATCAAAAACTATATTCTTTCATTCTTTCATTCAAAGAGTCCGTAGGGTGTCAAATATTTAATACTTGACGTACCTTTTTTTGGACAACGGGTAACTAGGGCCTTAAGAGAAAATATCGATATATATATATTTTCTCTTCGATATATTGAACCCGATATTGATATTTTATAAATATCGATATATCGATATATTTCTTTTTATTATCGATATATCCCAGGCCTGACGACGATCCGCGCGCTCGACGCGGGCGGCCGGTGGGCGGAGCGCGGCGACGAGCTGGTGGAGGTTTGGCAACGCGCGGCGCTGTGCGGAGCGGCAGCGGCGCAGTGGCTGGCGCTGAGGCTGCAGGCCGCCGCCGGTGCCGCTGTGGCGGCCGCGGCGCTGCTCGCGGTGCTGCAGCGCGCCCTGCACGCGGCAGACCCGGGTACTTAGAGTCCCGTTCCCTAAGGGTAAAACGGGACGCTACCTTTTTTCAAATTAATTTTTAATCTTTAGTACTAATCTCTGCATCTGAACGCAAGATGAAACTTTAAATTGTGATTTTTTTGTAGATAAATGAGGAAAAAAATTAATCTTAAAATTTTAAGAAGGTGACATCTCATATATGTTCTTTGTGAGGTGTTGCATGCTGTTCGGAGTGCATCGTTCCAATAATTACTTTTTTATTAATAACATTATAATATTATTTTTATTTTACAAAATTCGTAATATACTATGCGAATACAGTGATTTGCTCTATATTCCCCTGTGTGCAGAGAACAAACAGTCCTTTGCCCAACAGTGGATCATATTTGGACTGTTACTTATGTTCGAGGTTAACTTGTTTAAATAATCTACACTAATATAGGATATTGATTATTCGCTGTACTTAATGTATTTACTCCGATAGGTCTCGTCGGCTTGGCAATATCGTACGCGCTATCGATGACGTCAATGCTCAGTAACGTGCTAAACGCATTCACTGAGACAGAACGGGAAATGATCGCTGTCGAACGCGTTGGGGAATACATAACGCAGGTTTGTTAATCATATACGGGCTTCATTGTAATCATTTAGGTATAGGTTAAACATTGCCGGCTTTATTTTTGTTGACGTGGGGGAAATGCCTCCGCATACCCGCCCTCGCGGGGGCAAGAGCGGTTTATGTCGGACTCGCACCGACTAAAACCCCCACGATGTTACACCTTGGCGCATATCAGCAGGGTCACGGGAACGCTTTCGCACACTTCCGCGACCCTGCCAGCGCTGGCCGCCTTAGCAGCCTCCTCACGGGCAGCGGAGCAACGCCCCTCTCCTCCAGGTAAGGCGCGCTGGAACATTCACCGCGCCTTCCTACTCGGCCCCATTTTCACGGCCAACGAACTCCCCCGAGTTCGCTGACTGGGGCCATGGAAGCCAGGAGAGCCAGTGCTAATAAGCAGCAAGCCTCCCAGGCCCTAGCGGCGGACCTAGTCTGTGGCTCCGCCGCTCACCACGTTTCGACCGCGGAGGATAGGGAGAACGGCGCACCGCAATACCGACACTCCCCTCCCCCCGCGGCCCCACCACCACTGCATCAGCGGTGCAGCCCCGCCGAGTCGCGGAGGATAGGGAGCACGGCCAACGCAATACCGACACTTCTCTTCCCCCACGACTCCTCCTCGGTAGCAGAAGACAGGGAGAGTGGCTTCACCTCTACCACCCTCGACCTGTTGTCCCCTGCAGCACGCATCCAGAGAGGGCTCAATGAGCCCACTCGGAGCGGCCCTTGCACCACAGGCCGGCCCAGTGTGGGTTCCTCTTAGCTTCGCCGTGGGGGACCAAGCCACGGCTACTAAGCCCCTCCGCCACGACACGGTCGGAGGGGAAAAATTGCCGGCTTGACCTAACTAATGAAAATAGAAATAGATAATATATGTCGCTTACCTGGCTATAAGTGTTAGCAGTATTTATGTAAATGTACAAGTGCCTTCTTCATATTTTACAGAGACTAGATTCAATGGTTGGCACACATCTTCTATAATGTGTTATATTATATTTTGTAAAATTTTGGGTTTCGTTTGTGAGATATATTATGCGAAAGTGTGTACTTCAATACTCGGCCAAAATTACATAATGGGGTGTAATATTTACATTTATGTATTGTATGTTATCACTGTCCACTACATAAGGTTTAAAAGATGTGGAAAAGTTTATTTTTGAACCCACTGTAAAGTGATAGTATGTTAGTGTTGTAAGATGATGTATAAACGAACGGACGAATATGTATATAACGTAATGTGATTTTTTTATACTCAGGTGGAAGGTGAAAAGCTGGACGGGGATCCCCCTCCATACGGCTGGCCCTCGCATGGAGTCATCAGTTTCGAAGATGTCTATCTTAATTACAAGTAAGATAGTTTTATATTACAATAGAAATGTTAGTGTAACATATGAGCTTGAGAACGCAGCTCCTGGGGCTTTATTACTCTTCAGTAAAAAAAATACATCCACATTTTGGACCTCCTCCTTTTTGATATCGCTTGCAAAGGTATGCCGCATGGTGGGTTTTTAATTGATTTCTCTTTCTTCGTCAGTCAGTGGGGGCATCTACGCTGCCCTAATGTCGGGTATCGAGGTCGGATACCATAACCCGAGCATCGTCGCATGGTGTGCACCGTACACCGTCCCCCGGTCATTGTGGCATAGTTAAAACATTGCCCTCGGGATAAAATTACTCTGTATTTTAAGGACGTTTTTTCTTTCTTCGTCTATTATATCCGTTTGTGGTATCGTATCGCGTATTTTGTATTTTTGTGTGAAAGGGGTTGGGTAAAAAGATCCATTGTATTCTTTCCTTCGAAAACGTTGCGCCATACTGTAGGACAACATTATCCTGTGTTGTAACTACGTTTTACATACATACATTTAACGTGGAAGAACACCCAGATCCGGAACAATAGTCTGTGTGTTGTTAAAAAATCTGTGTGTTGTCAAATAGTTGTTCCGTGTGGGAATCGAACACACGACCCCCGCGGCGGGGAAGCCAATACCATTGCAACTGCGCCACGGATTCATCTACGATCGCTGATTGAGTGTGACGAGATGTCGTTGGGCGCAGCGGGGAGCGCACGTCGGCGGCGCTGTGCGGCGTGCGGTTCGCGTGCCGGCCGGGCGAGCGGCTGGCCGTGGCGGGGCGAACTGGCGCCGGCAAGAGCTCGCTGCTGCGCGCGCTGCTGCGGCTCGCCGCCCCCGCCAGCGGCAGGGTGCTCGTGGACGGCGTAGACATCGCCACGCTGCACCTGCAGCGCCCTCAGGTGGGAAAATTGCTACACCTCATCGCTCAATCGCCCCGCCAGTGGTAGGGGTGCTCGTACGCTGCACCTGTGCGCCCTTAGGTGGGCAGATTGTTATACCTTATCGCTCAATCGCCTCGCCAGTGGTAGAGTGATCGTACGCTGCACCTGCGCGCCCTCAGGTGGGCAAAATGTGTATAACATCTGTATAATAGTTATTGGTCGGTAATATCTGTATAATAGTTATCGGTCGCTGTTCACATGACATTTTAATTGACGAAAAAATAAAACCACTTTTTATGTGAGAAGGGGGCAAGCGAGCTGGCGGTTAACCTGATGTTAAGTGGTAACCGCTGCCCATTGACATTTGCAACACGTGTAGGGTTGCTGATGCGTTGTCCTTGACCTTATAACAAAATTAGGCCTCGGCTACCTCACTTACTACATGAAACACGCAGAGGTTAAACACTTCCACTTCACGCCGGTCTGCTATGAGGTCGTGGTACTTACCCGGACGGACCTTCCCATTCGTGCATCAGCGAGGACTGTTACGTGGCCCTACCACAGTTAAATTACATGTACCTCCCGATGTACCTCCAAGGAGTCCAAGGTCCATTCGCAATGAATTTAATGTTGGACCACATTTACGCTGTTAGCAAACAGAATGCAATCTTCTTGCGACGAACATAATGAAGCCTTTTCGATCGGCGCGATCTAACGGCGGCGGACGGCGCAGGTCGCGCATGGGCGTGATCCCGCAGGAGCCGTTCATCTTCGCGGGCAGCGTGCGCGAGAACGTGGACCCGCTGCGGCAGTACGGCGACGCGGAGGTGTGGCGCGCGCTCGAGGCGTGCGGCGCGCGCGGCGCGGTCGAGGCGCGCGGCGGGCTGCGCGCCGAAGCGACGCACCTCGCGCGCGGACAGGCGCAGCTGCTGTGCCTCGCGCGCGCGCTGCTGCAACGCGCCAAGGTACACTCGCGCTGTTGCGTTTCTATTTAACTCCGAATCGGGACGCACGAGCGCTGTCGCTACGCGCCAAGGTACACTCGCGCTGTTGCGTTTCTATTTAACTCCGAATCGGGACGCACGAGCGCTGTCGCTACGCGCCAAGGTACACTCGCGCTATTGCGTTTTTGTTTAATTCCTAATCGGGCCGGACGAGCGCTGTCGCTACGCGCCAAGGTACACTCGCGCTGTTATGTTTCACTTAATTCCTAATAGGACCGGACGAGCGCTGTTGCTACGCGCCAAGGTACACTCGCGCTGTTACATTTCTATTTAATTCCTAATCGCCAAGGTACACTCGCGCTGTTATGTTTCCAGTTAATTCCTAATAGGACCGGACGAGCGCTGTTGCTACGCGCCGAGGTACACTCGAGCTGTTACGTTTCCACTTAATTCCTAATAGGACCGGACGAGCGCTGTTGCTACGCGCCAAGGTACACTCGCGCTGTTACATTTCTATTTAATTCCTAATCGCCAAGGTACACTCGCGCTGTTATGTTTCCACTTAATTCCTAATAGGACCGGACGAGCGCTGTTGCTACGCGCCGAGGTACACTCGCGCTGTTACGTTTCCACTTAGTTCCTAATCGGGCCGGACGAGCGCTGTTGCAAGGCACCAAGGTACTCTCGTGCTGTTACGTTTCTATTTAATTCCTAATCGGGCCGTACGAGCGCTGTTGCTACGTGCCAGGGTACACTCGAGCTGTTACGTTTCCACTTAATTCCTAATCGGGCCGCACGAGCGCTGTTGTTACGCGCCAAGGTACAGCCGCGCTGTTATGCTTCTACTTAATTCCTAATCGGGCCGGAAGAGCGCTGTTGCTACGCGCCAAGGTACAGTCGCGTTGTTACATTTCTAGGCGCGATTATCGAATGATTTGTCCCGAGTCGCGCCTGAAGCGCGTTACTGCAAAGCGCCTAGGTACACTTGCGCTGTTACGTTTTTACGCGCGGTTGTCTTGTGTCTAATCCCTGATCGGGCCTGATGAGCGCTGCTGCGGCGCGCCAAGATACAGTCGCGTAGTTATGTTTAAGGTTCGATTATCTTACGCTTTATCCCTAACCGTGCCTAACGCACGTTTATCAGGATCTGCCCTAATCTATAAGCCCGAGACTACAAGGCTGACCATCACAGATCCTGCTGGTGGACGAGGCGACAGCGAACCTGGACCAGGAGGCGGAGCGGCTCATCCTGGACACGATCCGGTGCTCCTTCAGCGGCAGCACCGTGTTGTTCATCGCGCACCGATTGGCCGGTGTGCTGGAGTGCGACCGCGTCCTGGTGATGGGCGGCGGCCGCACCCTGGAACTGCGCGAGCCCGAGGAGGCCCTGGCGGACCCCACCTCCCATCTGTTCAGACTCCTCAACCCCGACCAGGACTGAACGGCCCGCCGCCACGAAGCGGAGCTATTCTCTATTTCTAGTTTTCACGTGAACGGTATCGCATTCGCAATATCAGCGCTGCAGATGCATGGACGAACTCACCACATCATCCCAATGATAAACGACGCGGAAGTTCTTTATATGTTCAACTTTATTTAAAGGTGGCACAACGCATCTGCAACCCTATGGGTGTTGCAGTAGTTCGTGTGCGGCGGTTGTCACTTGACATCATGTGAGCTCGTTAACCACCTTCTCACATAAAATTTTTTTCACATATGTGAAGGGTGCAGCAATATCAGCGCTGCAGACGCATCCGGTGGACGAACGCACAGTATGTTTCCCATTAAGAATGTACGTGTGAGAGAGTCGGATCTAGTAGGTCGTATCGAGCTACAGTGGAAACCGCAACTTGGCTCCACCATATCTGGCATGTATCTGGCATAGTATCTATCTTTGGCTGTGCCTTGTTAATACAGATCAATGTGAGCAGTTATAAAAGGCGCTGCAATGTTTATCAAAACATATAAAGATCATAAAGTAAAAAATATATCAATGGGCATTTCACTGGATTGTGTTAATTTTTACTGTCAACTTTTCGATGTTTCCGCTTTTAACCCAGTGTGCGGCCAAGGTCAACGGATAGGTCAGTTTATTCCCCCGAGTTGGACATTAACATTTTAATGTGACGAAAATATTATTGCGTCAAACACAGGTTGCGTTTTTTTTTTTAAATTATTTTTAATCAAATGTAATATTTATAGGTGCTCTTACACACAATTATGACAATTCAGCGGTGCTAATTTTCTTATATTAGGAGTATAATACGCCCCACCCCTTGTTTCCCCGGGGAGGCAAAAGCAATAGCACCACATTGCTCAATTCTTACAGATCTCTTTCTGCCTTATTCAATTTTCTTTCAATCAAATTTTTAATGTAGAACCTTGCCTATTTCCTTATGTCGCATATTATATTTGTTTCTTATTAATCCTGTGAAATGGCGACGTAGTTCACAATTTTACGTTTAAGAAATGTACCCAACAATTTTTATAATCTACGATATGTTCACAACTTTTAACTAGTATCCTAATATAAACGCTCTACTCCGCTCTCAAATGGACTAAGCTTTTTTCTTACGAAACAAGTAAGCTTTCGTCTTTAGTTATAGAATCGAGAATTTTAGAAATCGTATGTAATCTCAATGTTTTATATCATTCATATTCGTAGTCTTAATCATGGCTTTGTTTTCTAATATTTGACTCAGTGATAGCCTTTTTTCGTATAAATAAGTTTTGTTAAATATAAAGAAAAGAAAGACATTATTCCTACCTCTATATTTAATGAAATTTTATGTAAATGTAACCTATACCTCATGAACTGTCCAAAGAAAGGTATCTTAACCCAAATAAAAAAACCAGAAGCATAAAGATTTCTATTTATAAGGTTACTTTTCATTAATTAAGCCTAATTATTTCAGTAAAAAAACATTGTTTGTACTCTAATATGAAGTAATATTAGTATCTGTAGCTTATTTATCAAATAATTTCACGCAGTATTAAGGTAACTTGCTAAATACATACTAAAATGACTTCCAGGAGTATAACCATATATTATGTATATACATGTTATCAACTCAGTTATTATGCGATAATCTTGTTATATTTTCGGAAGCAATCCACCAATTATAAAAAAAAACATTACATATCATTCGTATCATTGCGATGCCATTATTTGGTCAATTTTGCTATAGAATACATTTCAATAAATAACCACTATATATTGAAAATTTTTCGTATAAAACGATATTATAAAAAAAACACCTACATATTAAAAAGATTATGCAATCGTAGAATTTTTCTATTAGCTAGTTTGCTCTAGTCATTAAATTATCCTTAGTTCGAAGATAAAGCTTTTTTCCTTTTTAAAAACTTTCGTAACAGACTAATGATTGTATAGCGGTGAGCAAACCTCAGTGCGTTTTTTATTTGTTTATAACGAATTTTCTTTATAATATGTTCAAGATGAATGTACAAGAATATTATTGACCTGATGATGTGGATGGACCCTTTGACTCGGTTTAGTTAAACTTAGATTTAGTGTTAAGGGGCGTTCAAGCATTACGAAATCTAACTGTTTGTGTTTTAAGACCCTACCCCCACTGTATAATAAAATTCGTAACTCCCTCCTCCCATAACGACAACAAAAGTAATAATTTTTCAAGACTTGTAATAAATATCGAAGTTTAAATTTGAAGTTTAACTTATTCGTGTTTTAAATTAACTGACACGATATCATTTGTCCATGGAATTAAAATTAAACGTCAATAGGTGGTGGGTTTATCTTAACAGAATTATCTTACGTAAGATTTATATTGACCTTTGCCAGCAAAATTTAGGTATTAACACTTCCCCCACCCGTTGCTTACGTAATACTTAAACATCCCTTTAAAATTACATACAACCACTAGCTAAAGTTAGTATACAGATTTTGAGCCCCGTTGTAATAATATGCTTTTTTCTTTGAATTTATGTGTAAAGTTAGTCATATACAGGTAATATCCATTATTTTTCATCATTATAATTATTTAGTAATAAACAACCTGTATATTAAGTAATTGTTCATCTTTTCAACTTTTGAATTACGTATTTTTTATTATTGTTATGAACATAATGATGCCTATTACATATTGATTTATTATGATTATGATTTTATTATGATACATTTAAGTCTTGTGATATAAGATATTGGAGTTTATTTTGTTTTAATGTAAACAATAAAATTGACTACTGTATGTTTCTATTTTTTGAAAATACCAATGCCTACAAGTTGCGCTCTTCAGGTTTTTTGTAAGGGTATTCAATATAGTCAAAAATGTCTTCCTCGGAAGTTATTGGCACTGGTTCACCGGGAACACCTGTTTGAAACAAAGAGATGAGTTGGATAATTATACACATTTATTTCCTGATCACAACCCAACTGGCCGCATAAAAGTGTATAAAATAACATCTAGACACGCACTCACATCACTTAGAATAATGGGAATAGTTAAAATTTTGCACGCTCTATCCAAGTTTTTAGCGCAATTGAGGGTGCATTAAATCTCGACAAACAGCTATAAAATATGCAGAACAAAACTCAAAACATTTTACTTTAAATAACATGCACTTGTGGTAATAAATAACAGCATAAAATTTGCATACAGCACCCGAAACAAAATAAACCAGTTTTTTGTACACGCATAAGCAAGAAGTTGTGAATTTGTATGACCCGTGAGATTGATCGGAATGAATGCAATAAAACCAAAGCTAGCCAATATAATATAGATACATAATTATACAAAACTATATCGACCGTAACGTAAGCTACATGATGAAGTCTTACCCGTTGCCCCCATCGGTCTTAATGCATATTCGTTTAGCGTAAAACCCTTCTCTAGAGCATGTGTTCGCATTGTCTTGTTAAATACGTCACTGCCCGTGAAATAAAGTACGGCACAGTAGAACTGATCGCAGGGAACCAGCCTTATATCCAAACGTCGCGCAGGCAATTCCGCGGACTGCCGACATACTCCCTTTAAAACATATGAACATAAATCATATTTCGTTTTTTTGAAAATGAAAAGGAGAAAGTATGTAGGCCAATAAAATATTTTGAAATATGGCTAATAAAATATTTTTTCCTACGCACGACTAAAGTGAAAAATAAATCATTTCGGGACATATTTTTAAACAACTTTATCTAGTCCCAAACTAAGCGAAGCTTTTGCTACGTGTACTAGGTAAATAAACTTAAAGGTATTTTTCTTTTGTAAATAAATTCATATTATAGATATATAAACACCCATATACTAAAAAAAGACTATGTTCATCACAATATTTTCCACTAGTGAGGATCGAACCTACATCCCCTGGTGCAAGAGACAGGTTCTTTATCGCGCTCACTATCAACGCTAATTGGGTCGTCAAAAATCTACAATCATATTAACTTAACTGGTCGCCCTGTGGCACATCTCTTGCGTCTTAAATTAAAAAAAACCGGCCACGTGCGAGTTGGACTCGTGCACTAAGGGCTCCGTACTGTTTTCTATAAAAACGGCAAACAAATCATGTCTGTTGCATGGGAGCCCTATTTAAATATTTTTTACTTTTTTTTTTCTTATTTGTTATAGCGGCAACAGAAATACATCATCTGTGAAAATTTCAACTGTCTAACTATAACGGTTCATGGGTTAGAGCTTGGTGACAGACGAACAGACAGACAGACAGCGGAGTCTTAGTAATAGAGTCCTGTTTTACCTTTGGGTACGGAACCCTAAAAAGGAATTTTTTACCACCTAAATTTACCATAAATTTTGTATCACCCATGGAAATAGTATCGATAACAAGCCCTTTTAATTTTTCTACTATTTTTTGCAGCATAGTTTCTCCACGTGATTTTTTTGGCTCGCCGGCTTTCAATGAAGGGTGCGTTACTAAAGCATCTATGTCACCGCTCTCTGATTTTCCACGTCTAAAATAAAAAAAATCAAGCATTAACGAAGTAACGGACAGAGAACTTTCTTTCTGCATCACTAGATAAATACATCCTAGTGATACAGAATTCATATAAAATATATTAATCATTATAATAAGCCACAAATCTCATAATGTTTTAAAGTAAAGTAGAAATTTTCGTTTTCAGGATTCTTTTGTCTTAATTTTATAGGACTTCGGGCTAAACTGGCGTGTATAGAAATTTTGGTAGGGGCAAAAAATCAATCAAATTGTGTCGCAAAATCGTCACAGCTTCGAAATATTTAGCGATACTTAGTTTTCGATATGCAGCAACTAAATGCTGGAATAACATACCGCCGCCTATTACGAACACTCAAATGAATGTCGAATTCCTAAAAAAACGGGAAAGATTAAGAGGCACAGAATAGACGACAATTTAGAGAAGGAACGGAAAATTATGCTATGCACTAGGTAAAAAAGTCAATAATAATGATAAGCGTTAACGATTAAGAACCCGCGTCAACTCGATATAGCAGTTGTTAGCTAAAGCTAGCACTTCGCGTGCAATAGTTGTAGTTTTGTAACTGACTCGATCGACCGTTTAAAAGTTGTTTAGAAACTTTGAAAACTATAAGTTTATTACTACAACGGATATTTTGGATGCCCATGGACGGCGGTTAGCACGTTACATTGAATGTTATTTTCTTTTTTCCACTTACTCGTATATAAAATTGTAATTGTCAGGCCTGATGTATATGTCTTATATACATCAGGCCTAGCCGTCACCGTACACTTCGACCTTCGTTTACTTCAATCAAAAGTGCTTTGAGTACCTTAAAACAATACATATGAGCGCGAGGCTTATGTTTAAAACTATTAATAGATGTTACAAAATAAAATATGTACCTGAAACTCCCACATATTGTTAACGTGAAACTATTGTCGAAGTCGCATAACAATGTTTTCATTTCGTTTTCTATAGCTTGTATTTCAGACCGCGGTATTTTTTTCTCAAAATCTTCGAAATATCTGTTGACAATCATTAAATTTATTTATAGCGTTTCCTGTTCAAGTTTGTAATTAGCTGATATGGGATTATAAAGACAAGACAAATATCCCCTTTTACTTACTTCAAACCTAAAAGTTGATGATGATTGAGTAAATGTTTATTTTCATACAGTTGTTTAATAGTTTTGATACCGCTATTTACCATTACGGCAGCCTTTACTGGGCCAATACCAGATATTTTTGTTAGTATATTTACTGCCTGAGCTTTTTCATCATTATGAATATTCTCAATTTTTTTCAACTTTCCGGTATTAATAAACTCGTCAATTTTTTGAGATATTTTTTCTCCTATTCCATTTAGTTTCTTCGCTTCTTCGCCAGATTGAACTCTTTTGGGTAGTGCTGCTAGTACTCCCGCTGCTTTTCTATATGCGTTATATTTATGTAAGTTTCTGCATACATTTTTCTCATAATCTGCCAATTCCATGAGAAATTCACAAAAGTCTGCATTTAAGTTATCTGATTCACATGGGTTTTTACGTTTACTCATAATGCAAATAATATGATATGCACCAATAATCTGTGTGTAAATTAAAATGGTGATAAAGGTTAAGACACTATGTACTTATTTTAATGTATTTAAAAATAATATTAAAATAATTTATGCTACATCTACAGAATATCTTGCTGTTTCTTTTGTAAACATACAGCGTACATTATTAGCATAGTTAGTGATGTTGGCTATACTGTAAATCTGACATTAGCATAAAATTAGATCTGTGCTCCAAAATGTCAAAGTTGTAAAATTTAAAATAATGTATTTGAGGTTGTTTTAATGTTATTGTTAGAAATTTTATGCTTGGAATTTTATGAACGAAACGTTATGTTTTACAATAGTTACATATCTCGTGTTTTTATTAATTATAATGAAGAAGAAATACCTGTAAGTTTGCAGTGACGAAAAGTTCGTAATGGATAACGTAACAGAAAAACTATTAGAATGTTTTGGACATCGCAAGTTTAAAAGTGAGCTTCAAGAAAGAGCCATTCGAGCAATCGCTAGAGGTAAGAACATTATTTTACAAGATTGCGAATAATTCTATATATATATAATTTCTTTCTTAAAATTTATAATGACCGAATTAAATGGTACGCAAAAATATATGCGTCTTTGACAACTGAGTGATGTTTTTAACTTGGCTTCATAATGTAGTGCTACCAATCTTGCGGTTTGATTGCATTAGATGAAATAAACAGTATTTATAAAAAAATATTATTTAGACTTAAATCTTTATTGTTTTAATAAACAATATTTCACATTTTTATACAGGTACTTAAACTATACTCCGAATATTATCGAAAACAGTAATTTTGTTACATGTATTATCCCTGGGTTGGAATTAGTTAATAGTTAAGAAAATGTACATGACACATTTTGTATTACTAAAAGAAAAATAATTTCATGTAATAATTTTCAGGTGTCCATGATGTTTATGTTTCAATGCCTACAGGTTCTGGAAAGTCTTTGTGCTTCCAGTTACCTGCCATGTTGCAAAATGACAAAGTGGCTATTGTGTTTTCACCCCTACTGGCCCTTATCAAAGATCAAATTGATCATTTGACAAAATTAAAAATTCAAGCTGAATCAATAAACTCAAAAATGACCTCTAAAGACAGAGAAAGAGTAATTAATGACCTTAGAAGTATGAAACCTAATACAAGATTTCTGTATGTCACACCAGAACAAGCTGCAACAGGAACATTTAAAAATCTAATAGAGCATCTAGTCAAGTATAAGAAAGTCTCTTATGTAGTTGTAGATGAAGCACATTGTGTTAGTGAATGGGGGCACGACTTTAGGCCTGATTATTTAAAATTAGGCAACTTAAGGGAAACATATAAAAGTATACCATGGGTAGCGCTCACTGCAACTGCTAGTGCTGATGTTGCAAAAGATATACTTACAAACCTGAAATTATTGCAACCAGTTGCACAATATAAGACACCAAGTTTTAGAAAAAATCTCTTCTATGATGTTGTTTACCAGAATTGTATTGAGGATGAAATTGGTGATTTATGTGAGTTTTTAAAGAAAAGTTTAAAAGAAGATGAAAATGTTAAACAGGTAAAAATACTTTTTTAAGTTTATATTTTTCTGAGTTACATCTTTGTAATTGCTCATTTTTTACTAATTCGTTTTCAGAAAGACAAAAATGCTGTCATTGTCTATTGTAGAACTCGTGAACAAACTGAAGATTTAGCTCATATGTTGAACAAAAGGGGTCTCAAATCTTTAGCATATCATGGAGGTATCAATAATATTTTTATCTACTAAATAATTTTCCTTATATAATATTTATTGCACTTTGGTCTTCTTTTGGTTCACTGAGAAAATATTCTGGGCAATTGATTTATTACATGTGACAATGGCGACAAGAACTAGAGTTGACAGTTTTTAAATTAAAAAGCCATTCATAACATTGAACATAGACACTACAAAATAATCCAATGTATGAATAAAAAATTGCGTTTATGACTATAATTGTGCTTCCCAAATTATGAAAATGATATACTTTGCAATAGCAAGTACTTGCAAAATTAAAAAAGATTTCAAGTATTTTATTCTAAAATGTACCATATTAAATATATATTTCATATAGGTATTCCTAATGGAAATACATGGAATAGCCAATCTAATAAATTCAATAGGGCTCAAGTCTGCGGAGCGTATCTCGGTGCAGGAACAGTGGTCGGGCGGAGAGTGTCCATGTGTATGTGCTACAGTGTCCTTTGGAATGGGCGTGGACAAAGCCACGGTGCGCGCTGTGGCCCATTGGGGCATCGCGCAAAATGTTGCTGCCTATTACCAAGTAAACACCCCTTCTTTAAAAAAATGTTAATTAAATGCAGAAATTAAATTTATTTTCATTTTGCCTGGCAAATGATCCCATTGGTGTGACAGATTTCACATATCTTGGAAGAATTTTCTTATTATAACTTTAACAGATATTGAAATGGTGGCCAAAACAGATTTAAAAAAAATGTATTTTTACTTTTATTATAGGTATACTAAAAATAAAAATCTTAAAAATTAAACCTGTTTAAACTCATTTTTTTTGAAATGCCTAGTGGAGGCCTATGTTTTTCAGTGGATACTCACAAGCTGAAATGATGATCACTTTCAGGAGTCTGGTAGAGCTGGTCGTGATGGTAAACCGGCATATTGTCGCATTTATTACTGCCGTAACGAACGCAACGCGGTTGATTTCCTTCTCAAGTCCGAGGTTGCACGCGCCCGCACACCAGAGCAAAAGCAGCGCTGCAAGAATGCCTACAAAAGCTTCGAGATAATGGTCAAATACTGCGAGGATGTGAAGTAAGTAAATACTTAATTAGAGAATATACTAAAACAATAGCTTAGAATATTTCTGCACCATCAGTCAAATTGTGGTTATATTGATTTACACTTGATTATTTTTGTTACTAGTTTAATCTACTATATGACAACTCCCAATCATTTATTTGTACAACTGATTTTAAGCTTTCAGTCCTTAGACTATTTATTAGAGCTTCATCAAAGGAGAAGCGGTGGGCTAGCCAGAACCCACGGGTTTGAGGCCCTCCTCAGCGTGTAGAGCCGCGAATATATACATGCGTGCGTTAATTATGGCATGTCGCCTATGGGCCATCGAGGTTCGATGCAGACCGTGACCCCGATGGTCATTGACTGTGCTTGGTTAGTCGGTGGCTGGGGGCGTTGAGAACCGCCCTGGAACGCGGGTGTATCTAGTGTACGCGTTGTGTTGGTTTCCCCGTGCTCGAAGCCGAGGACGAACTACGGTGTTTGTTGATGTCCTAACTCAGTGTCTAGTGTTATTGGGTCGGACCCCCGACGTACTTAAGTCCCCTTCCTCGACCGGGTCGATGATTGGGGAGATCTTTAAAATGTTCGCGAATCGTCGGGAGTCTGCAGTCACTGTGCAGGTCGACGTCTGACGCACAATCAACTATGAGTCCTGGCAATGTTAGTCAATACTAAAGTGTCAGGCATTAAAATGAATTTTATAAATTTATTGGAAAATCTATGTCATAATATTTCTTATGATATTTAATTAGTTGAAATTGCTTAATAGTATTTTAAAACTAATGATAGTTCAGTTGATGATCAATGATACTGTAACAGTGCAATTGTATGAAAAAGTAACTATGTTCAATTGTTTTTAAGTTTTGTTTTGAGTCTTAAATATTTTGGTAATTTTTATTGTATATTTATATATTATATAATATTTTTTTGATAATTTAATTGCCGACTCAGTCTAAAGTGTTGATGAATTCATCATGACTTTAGTCTTTGTTATCCATAATATGTTGATTGATTCATAGACCCAAACGCATACAAATCCGACTCGATACAATAAATGACGATTAGTTTAAAAACGGTCCAAAATGTTTGCGTTACTCAATAATTTCGTTATAAATGCCCAATAAAACGTCCCCCCTGCGCAGGTGCCGGCACAAGGTGTTCGCGGAGTACTTCGGCGAGGAGCCGCCGCAGTGCGTGGGCCGGTGCGACGCGTGCGCGGACGAGCGGCGCGTGCGGCGCGCGCTCGACCAGCACCAGCGGCGCGCGATGAGCGCCTGCCTCGAGCGCAACGGCTTCGTGGCGCACGCGCACGCGGACACGCACGGCCTGTACGGCCGCGGCCGCGACGGGCTCAGGTGCGCGCCCCCTCGTATTACCCTCGCTTTCTTGAACGTGCAGCTCGCCAATTGACTCGCTCGCGTGCCACCTCGGGCACGTCTTGAAGTAAAACTCTTTTTTTTTTTTTTAGTTCTTTAATTCTCATCAATAAAAATGGTCACATTTTGGAAGGCAATAAACTGTATCTTGTAGGGATCTTTTGAAGTGAAAACTTCTTTAACGCTATTTTTAACTTAAAATAATGATTGCTTAACAATTATTTTATTTATAAATAAATATATTAATAATCCTCAAAGACTGCTCCGTGTTTATTTTTCATTTTAAAAACATTGTCCTTACTTTAGGATAATATTATCCTTTATTGTAAGCATGTTTTACAAACGCAAATTTCACGTTGATAAACACCCAGATGCGAAACAACTATCTGTGAGTCGTGAATCGAACCCACTAGAAACTGAGAACGTTACATACTTACGTTTCTGAATTTTGAAATAGGGGCTTAATATTGATTAAATCCAGTTGCTCTTTGATTATGTTCAAAGGGAAATGGAGTCGTATTATGCGGAGGACAGCGGTGAATCGGACGGTGAGAGCCGTCGCCGGGTCGCCGAGGAGACCAAATCTCTCATAATGAAGGAGTTCGCCGAGAGGAAGAAGCGCGTCACGGAAAACGACAGGAAGGCGAGCGACGCCGTGGCTGCTGTCAACTCTAAATGTAGAGCCGCCGAAAACACTGGCATTAAGGTAATGACAAATTTACGTAATATAGCCTGCTTGACAAGCAAAAAAAAAACGTCATTTAACGGAAAACCTTATTTCTTAGTAATGTCAATTCCCTTAAAAGCATAACGACCCTAATGGGAACGGAATATTTTCACAGAATTTACTTAATAGAAGGCTACAGTAGCGATAAATATATTGTCCAATTATTATTGTAGTCACAAAAATTAATGGGTGTGTGTGAAGGGGGCAAGCGAGCTGGTGGATCACCATGTTAGGTGATGACCGCCGCCCGTGGATGTTTACAACATCCGTAAGGTTGCAGATGCAGGGCCGCCTTTTAATAAAATGGGCCCTAACTATCTCACTCACGAGACGAAACACAGAAGTCAAGTCACTTCCATTTCACGCCGGTCTTCTGTGAGGTCGCGGTATTTACCCGGACGGGCCTGCCCATTCGTGCATCAATCGAAGGAGCGGCCCCACCACAGTAAGGAAATAATTAAAAAAAAACATATTTAGCAAAAAGGGAATTCACATTACTAAAAGAAATGGCAATGAAACAAAGTAAGTGAATTTATTTTAGGGGTGCGCTAAAAACTATCGGGAGTTGTCGCGAAATATTATAATTTTGAAGTTTCTAGATTAATCTTTTTAGGGAACCAGAACCGAAAGTTAGGTCTTTATGTTTTTAACCAACAGGTCAATGGCTTAACGGTAGCGAGTCGAGAGAGCTATCTGTCACTATTAATAGAAGCTCTGAATGCAAACTTGGCGAACATGAAGAACACCGACGAACCAGAAAGGCCTCTCAAGCGTAAAGACGTGGAGCAGTGCGCTATTGACTTAGAATATGAGGCATTTTCTAATAGCACTGTCATAAGCCTATATAGACGGGCAATGACAAAATTGGTAAGAGAAATTTCCAACACAAAAAAAAAACCTAATAATTTGTGTCTTTGACAAACAGCGATATTGTCATTTAATAATTTTAACGTTTTAGATAAGTTCGGTAAAAGCATGTACAGATCATTTATTCCCGCGATTGAAGACATTTGAACCAAGGATGGGAGAGACCTTGGGTGATTTCGTTCGTGATTTTGAGGCGAAGAAACAGGCCCCACATGGATTTATAACAGCTAGTCAACTAGAAAGCGGTAAGACATCCATTAATCCAAGACACGTCTGCATATTTCTTCAAACAATATTTTACAATCTAATTTGTATGATGTAATAGTTATTGGAAGTACTTATGTTATAATAATTTACTATTTGATGGCTGGTGACGAGTACTCATGACGCTAAGCGACTTCATATCACAGAGGCGTGCACAATGACTTATTCGTGATTAAAATGTCAAATAGTCTATTTTTTATACAAAACTAAAGATAAGGAAATATATATATATATAATATGTTTGTTATATAATATGTTTGCAGCCAACATGGAAGGTAAAAGCGAAAATAAACTGATGTCTAAAGCTGATAAAGACAGTAAAAGAAAAGCTAATTCTTTCAAACGAGACCTGCTGACTCAAACAAAGTTACAGAATTTTTTCTCATTGAAATCTTCAAACGAAATGTCAATGTCTCCAAGTGATGAAAGTGACCAAGATAATACTTTAATAATAGACGAAAATCCTAACAGTAACCATGACGACACAACACTCAAGATAGAACGACACGACGAAACGACTACTGTAGCAAATAACGATGATAATGATATTACGCCTCTAAACATAAATTCCAAACATCTTAATAAACCTCTCGCCAAAAGTTTATCAAAAACCTTTGTTATCAACATTACTTTAGAAGGTGTACCAAAAAAAGATATCACAAGTAAAGACAATTGCAGTGAAAAGGATAACTTTAAAAAGGGTTCCATTAAAGAAATTACCTCACCCAAAAAAATAAAACCGACTGCTAAAAGAAAAATTAAAGCACTATTTGGGGAATCATCGGATAGTGAAACAGAATTTATTGATAAAAGTTCTAGAGATATAAGAAAACATCATACAAAAGAAAAGCACAAAAATAACAAACCCTCTAAAGAGAAAAAACGCAAACTAAGCTCTGATAAATGTAGACAAGTTGAAAGAAAATCAAAATCCAACGATACTGCTCTTTTTGATAATTTATCTGATAGTGATTCTGAAAAAAAATTAGTTGTTGACGAAGGCACGGAATCTCAAAATGACATTGATTCAAATGAAACGATGGAAACTAATACTAATAAACTCTCACCAGAGATGCGACATAAAAATGATACTGATAATCATGAAAGCGTATGTAACAAAAATGGAACTGAAATCGGCCAAAATAGTTCTGGTTCTCTATTAAGTCTTGATGGCGACACAACTCTTGTAAAAGCCCACAAATTGAGCGTAGAGGCAGACAAAGTGTTACAAGCATTGAAACAATTTTCTGAAAACCCCCCAGAACCTGTGGTTATAGAAGTTGCTCCAAAAGAAATAGATATCAAAACGCATGAACCAAAATCACCACCGAAAGTCAAGCATAGATCAAGAGACCATCAACATAAAAGCAAACATGAATCAAGTTGCAACATAGAAAAGAAGTATAAACCTGAAGAAAAAATCAAACACGAAGAACACAAAAAAGATAAAGAAAAGAGAGAATTGTCTAGATCAGATGAACACAGAAGTTCAAAACATCAAGTCAAGGAATCAAAAAAAGCGGAAAAAGTTGATGTTGCGGGACTGGTTGTGAAACTACTCATGCCATATTATAAGAAAAAAAGAATTAGTAATAGAGATTTGTTTAAGATTACTGCGAGGCACATAGTACATCAACTGCTGGCAATTCAAGTCACTGGTGAGTAGAACACATGTAATTAGTAATTCTGACACAGATGTTATCAATTTAAGAGTCCTCATTGCCTTTAAATTATTCTGTTAGAATTTTATTCTTAGTCTAAGCGTTCTTGTGTACACATTAAGTACACACAAAATATATTTAAAAATTGTTTTAATTTATAGAGGAAGCAGCAATAAACATGTTACTCAAAAAGACTTTCACAAAGGAAGTGAAAATTGAAAAGGAAAGTGATCTACCAGTACAGATTGATTTAAGTAAGTGTTTTAATAGATAAGACTACTTTTTTGATTTTGTGTATTTATTTATTAATATATAAGTTTATTTTAATGTCATTTAATATTATTCTTATATGCTGTTCAATAAAATGTTGTTTTTAATTATTTTATTATTAGTCTTTATTTCTTAGTTAACTTTAATAGAAATTTGGATTCATTTATAAGGAAAATAAAAAAGTTGTATATAACATGTCTACTCCACACATGTTTATTTAAAATTACATAAAACTTTGACGAAATTAAATCCACATTAGTTTTACTAACGTTAATAAACTACATTTGGCACTCTATTAAACTAAATTATAAATTCCTACATTGATAGATAAAAGTCAGTCCGGGTAAGTACCACGACCTCACAGAAGACCGGCGTAAAGTAGAAGTGTTACACTTTTGCGTTTCGTCTGGTAAGTGAGGTAGCCGGGACAACTTTCTTTATAGGTGGCAACGCAATTGAACTCTACGGGTGAACTGGCGGTTCACCTAATGTTAACTCGCCACGCTCGTTTGCCGTTTTTTCACATTAAAAAAAGAGAACGCTTCGAAACCAAAATTAGCCGATTGCCTCTTGACAAAGGTCATTGTGTAATATTTATCGCAGTGCTGTGATTATTACAATTGTATTGTTTCTTAAAAAATTCAAATTATTGGCGTTAATGAAATATATTCATACATATGTACACACATACACACATATTCTCTCCCGGAACTTTTGCTAAAACAACAAGTACAGCAGAGTAAACGTACAATTTGCAGATTTTCAAACAAAGCCCCTGTATAGTTTGAGGATATACTATTTATATCAAATCTATCTACTATTTTTCTCTGTTTAGGTTCACCAACGATTAATTACACTAAAACAAAAACATTAAACACAATTATGCTTAAAAAGTCTAGTATGACAATCACTAAATATAAACCCAACTAGCATAAAATATCAAAATAAATTACTAACCTAACTGCTGTCAACTATTCATTATAATTTACAGAACGACTTTTAACTATTACGACTTATGATATACTACGTAAATATTTGAGGTCTAATCTAATTATGACATAAATATCATTCGTTATACGTTTGTAAACCGATACATAGTAATGGCTCGCCATACCTTCAATGTCTTTTTATTAGGAGATTGCCTTCGCAAACGAACTCTTTGAAAAGTTGAAAAGATGTAAGAATGATGTACAATCAGTTTTGTTAATTTTATGTTGTATAAAAACATAGCATCCAAAGGGACTCTACGAGTAGTTAAGGAAATCATCTTTTCATAATAGGAAGGGCTCTATTCATATCAATATTTGAGCGCAAGGTTACCCTTTCTATGCGTAGAGTGTGGCATAATGTACGTAGAGTGTGGCATAATGTAATCTCCAAACAATGCTAAAGCGAAATATTTTTTTTTTTAACGAAACCCAACATTTTGGACGTTCTTTTAACTATGAAACCTATGTATAAGTAAATGTAAGTTTTCGATCATCAATTATGATTCAATTTATGTTATCATTCTGTCGCAAGCCACCGGTCCTATAATATCCTAGAAGTAAGACATCCAGAAGAGTAAGTTTAAGCAAGTCCAATCTTATTAATGGAGATAAAAACATAATTTTTACGTAAACAACTCTTATATGGAATTATAAAATTTTTAAACCAATAAGACTATATTTTATAATAGATAACCAATAAGAGTATATTTTTTCCACGTGACAAGTAAGCGGGCCGTTCACTTCGCTAAGACAAGGTAAGTAAATTTTTATTTATATAATAATTTAACGTAACATCGTCCTTGACTGCAAAGAGTTGTAATATCCAATGTCCTCAAGTATTTTTTATTAATATGTAATTTTATATGAAGTTAAAATATGAATGTTAAAATCTGTATCCTAAAATACGGTCGATCGATTTAAATGATGTGTTGACTTGAGTTGCACATCGTAATTTTAAATTTAAGGCCGTTTATTAGGTACATACTTAATTTTTCTTTATTTTAGCCATACAAAATCTGCATAATGTGGTCGTATCCGAGTTTGATGACGACGAGCGCCTAAAAATCCAAAAAGCTGTCTGATGTAATAAACAAATATCTCACACAAAGCACACTTAACGAAGGAATATTAGCAACGGTATCTTTTCCAATCAAGTTAGTAAACTTAATTAATATTTTTAAAATAGAATAGGTAAAATTCGTGGTGATGAAATTATAGCAGTACCTACGGTTGTAGGAATTAGACAAGAATTTCACAAATACAGCCTTTCACATTACTTGAGACAGATCCCCATGTGGTTTGTGTAGTGCTAGATTCTAAAAAGAAAAATCAGCGCACTGAGTTGTGATGGAACACCAACCGACTTTAAGGTGGCTAACTAGCAAATGATTTCGATATTATCCCAATTTCCTCATTCAATATATAAGTAGCTTTTGCTTAGAATAAGGCATCAAACCTTATCTCTTGGAACAAGTCATCATCACTCATGCTCTAAGTGGTGATAAAAATGATGTCAAAAATTATAAGAAAATCTAAATCTCAACTTCTTCAAATCAAGTTTCAATAACAACACTAATCAAATATAATACTAGTTGGATAACTAGTTGAGCCATTTACGTAAGTTTAACATATTTTCATCATTACACAACGACATACGATCGCTCATTCATTTTCTTGCAATTAATGATGAAAAAAATGTTTAGGCAGGCCTATTGGCATGTGTGCAAAAAGATGTAGAGCTCTTATAATCGAGATGTGGCCATCTAAAGTACAAAAGCAAAATTCAAAACGAATCCCGCCACTGCTGCCGTTATTACGATATCGTTTGTAATTAGTTTGGTTAGTACGATATACTATTTTATATTTAATTTCCATGTAAATCGGTAAAAGTTGCATATTTTTTTAAGTGAAGCTTCTATGCGCGCAAGGGGTTAGAATTTCGAAATCATTAGTCAAAGCAAGTCCACTAAAACAGTTACTGTTACTTAGGAGAGAAAAAAAAAAGAAAGAAACGAAAATTGTAATCATAAATCCATTTATTTGTTCTTCTTCACACAAGTATGTTACTGATATAATATCCATAATATAGTATTTAATCCATATGAATAAAATATTATTTAAATATTTTATAAAAAAAATATATTAGTGTCGCAATAAGACAGGACTATTAAGAAAATTTTATATATATTGAAAGATTACCATCGCCGTTAATTTTGATCAACTAGATCGCTTTCTTATAGCCTATCCTATGACATTAATATTTTAAGAACATAGAAAATTGCTTAATTGTGTCACAAATTAATGAAGAAGAAGGAATTTCGTTGTTGACTATACAATATTATTAAAGGTTTTTAGAGACATTAGCACATTAGTTTGGGATTAAGTCCTTTACTAAATCAGAACTGATATAGGAAACAATCATAGCTATTAAAGGAAAGGCAACAAATTATTTAGACACTTATTCTAGATTTCATTTTTGCCATAAGCATATTCTTATTTATTATTGTTAAACAAATCGACATATTTCAAATTACAATAATACTTATATTATAAGGCATACTTGATACCCTACAAAATGTGTAGGGTTGTATGTTATTCTGGTTATATATGTTATTCTGGTTAATCCATGAGCTCTGCTCTCAAAGATTTGATAGTTTATCGATTATTAAAGCTTCATCATTATTAACTATTCACTGCAAATACAAGTTTAAAGCATTGTTTACAGACGCCTCGCCGTTTCAATATTTGTGTTCTCATGCATTACATTAATAATTTCCATGGACACAAGGGTTTGTCTTCTCAGCATCATTACAATATTAAACAGATTCTATGGCTTTTTTACAAGAAAACGCCGAAGTTTTGTATCAATAGTTTTAGTTATCATTAAAACACACAACAGTAACTTGACATCGAGATGGATAAAATTTTCATCTTTGGATATAATTTTCAAAAGAGAATTTACTTTTCTTCATAATTTCCCCTGTCCTTCTTTTTTGTTATTTCGTTCACTTATACATTTATCTTACATGTTTTTTTATTGCAATTATGTTCTGACATTTCACACAGAGTTACGAAGTGAAAATGTAAACCGTTGTGCATACAATAAATATTTGCCTCACTATTTAATATGTCAAAATAAGGGTATTAGTAACTTTTTTACCCTTTGGGTACGGAACCCTAAAAAGGTGTTATATTTTTTCATTATACCTATATTTGCAATTAAAAGTATATACAAAAATAAATACATGAAAATATGTAAACATAAAGTATGTCAGTTAGTTTTTCTACTTTTTGGTATACATAATTACTGTTGTTAAGTACGCTGGTTATGTCATGAGTGCGCGGGTATATCGATAGTTATCTACAGGCCTCTATTCGCCGCGAGAAACCCCTTTTTACCGAAACTACATAGATCTTCATGATCGCTGCGGTCGTTGACTCCTAGCGGGCTCATGCGCTCATCGGGCGGGTGCTGTGCATATTTTTTAAAACATTTCTCTTACTGTAGGATAACATTATCCTGCAAGAATATTTTACAAATTACTTTACGCGGACAAACACACAGATCCGAAACAATTAATTATCAGCGGGCCATACAAATAGTTGTCCCGTAGTGAGGGTCGTGGGACCCGAGAAGAGGCTGAATAATTTTTTTAACTTTTTTTTGTTAACGTCGGACAAACGCATACGGGGGTAAGGACGGGCTACGTCGGACTCGCACGGACTAAGACAACCACGACGTTCCACCCGGGCCATATCGTCAGGGCCACGGGAACGCTTTCGCACACTTCCATGACTGGCCTCCTTAGGAGCGCCTTCTCGGGGAGCAAATTCCGGCCTACTCCAAGTTAGGCACGCTGGAACATTCAGCGCGCTTTCCTTCTCGCCATGGCCAACGAACTTCGCGAAGTTCGGTGACCAGAGGCCATGACACTTCCGCGGCCCTGCCAGCGCTGGCCGCCTCAGCAGCCCCTTCTCGGGGAGCAACTGCACGTAAGGCACGCTGGCGCATTCAGCGCGCCTTCCTCCTCGACCTCCTGGCCATGGCAGACGAGCTCCCCCTCGTTCGGTGATCAGAGGCCACGATGGTCCTCCTTATCGGTCCCTTTTCGGGGAGCACCTTCCCTCACCTCCAGGGAGGGCATGCTGGCACATTCAGCGCGCCTTCCTCCTCGGCCTCCAGGCCATGGCCGACGAGCTCCCCTCGTTCGGTGACCAGAGGCCGCGACGGTCCGCCCTAGATCCTGAGCGGGCGCTTCCTGGGCGACTCGCGGCCGCCCCTGGGCGCGCGCCTGCGCTGTGCGCGCGGCGTGTCCGGGTCGGGGGGCGCCGAGGCGGTGACCAGGTTGCGCGCGTTCCCGAACGACGGCTCCAGCCCGATCGTCTGCTGGAAGTGCTGCACGCGCCGCACCAGCTCCTCGTCGTTGTCGATCAGCTCCTCGATCTGGGGGGCGGGCGTGCGAATAAGGAAACTGCTGGGCAAAGGCTGAGAATATGCCGCCATCTATAAAAAATTGCGGGCAGCTTCAAAGGTGTGACTTTTGTGTTACAGCTTAAAATTTGACTCTCATCATTTTTTCATAACGCGCCTAAAGTATAACTTCAAAAACGTTTGTGTGTACTCATGTACGCACATAGGAGTTGTATTACTTTAGTGTTAATTACTTTTTTTTTTTTTTTTTTTTTTATGTGAAAAGTTGCCAAACGAGCAAACGGTTCACCTGATGTTAAGTGAATACCGCCGCCCATGGACATCTGCTACACCCGATGGTTTGCAGATACGTTGACAACCTTTTTGGAAATTGGGCTCTTATTACTTAATTTTAAGTGTTAAAGGTAAGTATTTTAGCGGTAAAAGAAAAATAAAAAATATAAAAATGTTGTTATCGGTTGCCCTGCACAATGAAGTCGATGTAGCTTTTGGGTGGCGCGCATCGTAAAAATTCATTCCAAATTCACAACTACAACATACTACATATACAAAGAAATATAACTACAAAAACGTACTGACATGTGGTGCGAGGGAGAAAGAGGAAGATGAGCGAATCATAAATATTTTAGTAAGAAGGCCGCCCGTTATACACATCAATTTTATATTAATTTCTGATCTTTGTTCATTTTATATTTGGTGTGTGCGATAGTTTGTATGTATGCATGCATGTTTGTTACTCTTTTACGCAAAAACTACTGAATGGATTTTAATGAAACTTTACAATAATATTAGCTATACTATATTATTTACATCAGAATAACATATAGGCTACAATTAATAAAGATATTATGTGAAATTTCCAAAATATAACGATAAGTGTTAATTGATCGCGCGGGCGAAGCCGCGTTTAACAGCTAGTAAAGTTATTTATTTGTATATTAATTCATTAATTCACCTCCTGGCGGTAGTCGTTGAGGAGGTCGGTGGCGATTCGCACTAAATAAGCTGCTAGTTGGCCTCCGTGCGGGCGCATACGGGCGTAGAGCCGCAACACCGCCGGCACCAGCACCTCCGCCACGGTGCGTTTCATTTTCTAACGGGACGGAGAATAAACCATTACATATATATTCATAATATGAGCAGATATGAGCTAATGATTAGCAGTATATACTAGCAGACGACATAGCAGCAGAGGAACGAAAACGCACAATTCAAATTTACTCAATTAATCAACGGCGAAGACAAAACATTTTTTTTTTCAAGTAAGAGCAAAAGGACCCGTGGAAAAGTAAAAAGACTAATGATATTTATTAAATCGACGATGTCATACTGTCGATGACAGCTTTTGCAGTAAAAATGTGAGTCCGTGACCAGTTTGAATTTTAATTGATATCCACATAAAGCTATGTTTAACAGTAATTATTATTAATTAATAAAAAAATTGTAATGACTTACACCATATCCGAAATTGCAGAAATCCAGATAAATTAAATTTTGTAAATCGCAACTATGACACTGTCGATTATTTGTTTCTGAATATTCACGGATTTTATTCCTCTTTTTTATTTTAATTCAAGTTTTATACAGAAAATTAAAACCGGAAAAGAGTGATGGTCTAATTTACAAAGTGAAAACTCATCATCATCATCATCACATCAGAACATAGGCCTCCCCCTTATCGCCAACGAGCTAAGGGAGGGAGGTGTTTCAGTATCATGCAAATCTATTACTATAGTTCCTCCTTGGTATCGATAGGACAATATATAAGCTATTTTTTGCAAATATACTATTCTAATGGCAACAAATTTAATTCAGGAAACATAAATAAATACAAGCGTTTACAAGTGGATTTTGATCAGTAAAAAAAAAACAACTTTAAATTAAGAATACAACTAAAATATGTGTTAAAATTGTGGTAATACAATCAAAGCACTAATATGACGCTTATTCTAATGTTCTAATTAAGCATACACTAAGAAATATTTATACAAATAGTTCTTACTTTGCATTTGATACTATCCTCTGGTGGCTTAATGTTAAAGAAATGGGCTTATTATTATAATGTTAAATAAAAATATTTATGTACACTCATTAGAAGTTATACTTCTTTAGCGTAACCCCCCGTTAGTAGCGTTTTATCCCCTGTGCCAACTGCCAGTACCCTTTTTATTGTGAAAAAGACATTAGAAGCAATTGATTGACTGTATATTTATTTACACACATAAGAAGTAATACTTCTTTAGCGTAACAAAAGAAAAAAACTAATAATTTTGTCCCCTGTGCTAACTGCCAGTATCCTTTTTTTGTGAAAAAGACATTAAAAGCAATTGATAACAGTTTAATTAAATAACTTGGAATTATAGATAAACGTCGAAAGTTTTAATTGGTTGCCATCGTAATACCGTGAAGTCGGTCGAAGTCGGTCGCGTTGCAACTAACTTCATCGTGTCGCTTTTTGGCAGAAACTGGTAAAAAATCAATCAAAACCTTATCGTAGTAGAGGCAATGTTATTAATATTAACCTTCTGTATGAGAAAAAGTGTCAAACTAACAAGTATTTCACTTGATGTCAAATGACTTGCGCCGCTCATGCATGACCACAACATGCTCAGAGTTTCTGATGTTACCAATCTTTAAAGGTTCCTCATTCACCAGACGAAGCAAAAATTATAAAACTTCCCCTTGGTGCAATAGCAGAAGCTTCTACCTTGGTAGAAGTGTGTTCATATTTCACTCTCATAATACATATCGCAGTTTTGCATGGTATTGGCTTTTGCTCCGGGGACCACGATGAGTTCGATTCCCACACGGGAAAACTATTTGTGTGACACACAGATAATTGTTTCGGCTCTGGGGGTTTGTCCACGTGAAATTTATGTAAAAACGTCCTTAAAGCCGGATAATGTTAGTTTAAAAAAAAGAAGAAACTTACATGTGAAACGATGTTTGTAGTGACCCTCTCTTGTAAGTCATCTATGTCTGCCATATCACCTGTTGTTTGCGGCTTCTCTGTAAAGAAAGTTATATTTATGATGTGTACGCACCCACTGTGGGCAGTAATAAACGAGTGCTCTTACGCAACGGTTGTTTCTTTCCAAGTCTATACATATCATTGGCGACGAGGTCGGATTACCCGCAAGTAAAAAAAAAAAAATGGCGTACTTAGGAAATTTGCCTATTTTTGACCATAAGTCCTGTGAGTGGTCAATATTTAAAGCCAGATTGTCACAATTTTTAAAAATAAACAAAATAGAAGAAGGAGACAAGAGTGGAATACTGCTTACACAACTTAGCGAGGAGTCGTTTCGTTTAATACGAAACTTAGCGTACCCGCAGGAGCTGGAGTTGTTGAGTTTTGCGAGCCTCGTACAATTACTCGACAGCCATTTCAAGCCGAAGCAATGCTCGTATGTGGACAAGGCGAATTTTTATGGAGCGAACAGAGGGTCAGGCGAATCATTGGGAGAATGGGCGGCGCGACTAAGAGGTCTCGAAAGCTATTGCGATTTCGGCACCGCTCTGGAAACGACCTTAAGGGATCGTTTCGTTCTCGGCCTGGGCCCAGGTCCAGAACGCGACAAGTTGTTCGAGCAGAACCCGTCAACACTTACGCTGACACGTGCTATCGAGCTGGCTGAGCAGGCAGCTTGCGCCAAACAGGCGCTGGTGATGTGCAACAGTGAAGCTATCCCTGTTAAGGAGGAGCCGGTATACCGAGTGCGAAATCAAGGTCAACCCGGTCGGGTCAGTGGTGCTCGGCGGGCAGACGGCGGGTATGCTGCCTCATCGCGCTGCGCTGTTTGTGGGATGCAAAATCACCAAAGTGAGAAGTGTCGTTACAAAAGCTACAAATGTCAAAAGTGTGAGAAGAAGGGTCATCTAAAAAAAGTGTGCAACAAACCTAAGAACCAATGTGTATATCTTGTCAATTCGCACACCGAATCTGAACAAAATGAGGAATCAAATTGTGGGGAATGCCAAAATTTTAATTTAAGGTATGTGACTGACAGACCAATTCAAATTAATTTAAAATTAGGCTGCAAAAGTATGTCAATGGAGCTTGATTCAGGTTCTAGTAAATGTGTCATATCAGATGAAATGTATAAAGACTTCTTCTCTGAGTATCCGCCTCAACGCAGTTGTATAAAAATGTGTTTATACGATGGGCATAAAATAACGCCTATGGGATACTTTACGGTGGAAGCTAGCTATAATAATATTAAAAAGCTAATTAAAATTTTTGTTGTTAAAAATGGAGGCCCACCAATATTGGGTAGGGATTTTATGTGTGCATTCAACTTAATCATTACGACTAAAAATAATTTTATAAGTAGTGATAGTTCAGAATTACAGGAATTGTTAAATAAATATTCAAATTTATGGCGAGATGAATTGGGGACGTTTAATAAATTTAAAGTCAGCTTGCAATTAAAAGATAACTCCGTTCCAAAATTTTTTAAGCCACGTATAGTACCTTTTGCTCTCAGAGATAAAGTCGAACAAGAAATAAACCGTTTAGTTAGATTAGGGATCCTTGTACCTGTCAATTATTCTAAATATGCCACCCCTATAGTTCCCGTATTAAAAGAGACCGGCCAAGTTAAAATTGCTGGTGATTTTTCTGTCACATTAAATAGGGACCTTACAATTGAAAAATATCCACTGCCGCGAATTGAAGAGGTTTTTGCTAAAATTGGAGGGGGCGAGCGATATAGCAAAATTGACTTAAAAAACGCATATAATCAATTTCTTTTAGATGAACAATCACAAGAGCTTACAACAATTAACACACATAAAGGCCTTTTTAAATACGTTTAGTTTACGGTTAGTTTACGGTTTAGCTAACGCGCCAGCTATATTCCAAAAGAGCATGGAAACCCTTCTTTCAGGGATAGACGGAGTAAGCATATGGCTCGATGATATCTGTATTACAGGCCACGACAATAATTCGCATTTCAAAAGATTAAGTGAAGTTTTAGGTAGGCTGGATGAGGCGGGGTTGCGCCTACAAAGGGACAAGTGTGAGTTTTTTAAAGAAAGCGTAAAATATTTAGGTTATGTTATTAGTAAGTCGGGCCCAAGAACGTGCCTTGATAAAGTAAAAGCGATTATTAGAGCGCCGGAACCCACTAACATAACTGAAGTTAAAAGATTCTTAGGAGTAGTTAATTATTACAGAAATTTTATTCCAAACGCGTCGTCGTTATTAAGTCCCTTACACGAATTACTACGTAAAAATGCAACATGGGAATGGGGCGAGCGACAGCGGCGCAGTATTGCTAGGGTGCGACGCGAATTGGCGTCAGAACGTGTACTAGCTCATTTCGAACCTGGGGCGCAGCTAGTACTGGCCGTGGACGCTGGGCCAACTGGCCTGGGAGCTGTGCTCTCGCAGCGAGCGCACGACGGCTCCGAACGTCCTCTGGCATATGCATCTCGTTCACTAACGGTTAGCGAACGAAATTATAGCCAAATACAAAAAGAAGCGACGGCTATTATCTTTGGAGTGAAACATTTCCATCAGTATTTATACGGGTGTCAAAATCCATTTATTTTAAAAACCGATCATAGACCCCTAGTGTCTGCATTAAGACTACAGAGATATGCTATTATATTATCCGCTTATAACTATGTAGTGCAGTACACGTCCAGCGAAAACAACGTAGTCGCCGATTATTTTTCACGCGCGCCGTTAGAATGTAGTAACATCAATACGGAGTCGTCGGACGATTGTAAACAACGATACTATAGATAGTTATTATGCGGTTAAGTTTCTCGATGAGTCATCGCCGGCGATCTCTGTAAGCGACATTGTACAGGTGACTGAACGAGACAAAACACTTCACACCGTCATTAAGTATATGAAATATGGATGGCCGCGTAAATTAAATTGCAAATCAATTTTACCATATTTCTATTGTAAAACCGATTTACAATTAGAAAATGGTTGCCTATTTAGGGGGCACAGAATAGTTATACCATCGGCTTTGAAAGAGAAAATGTTACGTGAACTGCATGATTCACATTTAGGCATTATAAAAACAAAAAGTAATGCTAGAAGTAGAATGTGGTGGCCTAATATCGACCGTGACATCGAACGGTGGATCGGCTCGTGTACGACGTGCGCAAGCGTGCGTACGGCGCCGCCACGGGACCCCCCCGCACCCTGGCCCGCCGCCGCTGGCCCGTGGCAGCGCGTACATATCGACTATATGACTGTAGGGCAAAAGGTGTACCTAGTTATTGTAGATTCTTTTAGCAAATGGTTAGATTGTCTATACATGCAAAGCGGAACTTCGACACAAGCCTTAATCGGTAAATTAAAATTAATTTTTTCTAATTTTGGAATACCGAATACGTTAGTGTCAGACAATGATGTAAAAATTAACTCTTTAGGATTTAAGACATTCTGTTCTTCTAATGGAATTAAATTTATAACACCCATATATCATCCACCCAGTAACAGTCAAGCTGAGAACTCTGTAAGAACTTGTAAAAAAATGTTAAAATGTATAATTAAAGATAATTTACCGCACCAACAAATGCATGAAATATTATTAGGTTATCTGTTTAATTATAGGAATACTGTGCATTGTACCACTGGCGAAACGCCGGCTAAATTAATGTTCGGCAGAAATTTACGATGTCTTCTTGACTTAGTTTTACCTACATCAGCTAATCGCAGTTATTTGTCGACACCCGCGAAAAGACATTTTAACATTGGTGATACTGTTTGGACCCGATGGTACACTGCACGCAAGGAAACTTGGCAATTGGGTAGTATAAGTAATAAAATAGGGAACAAAATGTACCAAATTTTAATCCAAAGCTTAGGTGTTTCTTGCATAAGGCATGTTGATCAAATTCTAAAATATACAGGCTATGTGTCAGCTGTAATGACGTAGCTCACAGAACACACACAAGTGCATATTGTGCTCCTCCCAACACCACACAAGTTTCTCCACCTCAAAATACCGAAACCAATGTTGTTACAACCAACACTCAACAAAATATCGAACCATCAATAGACCTGCAGCCTACACTTTGCCCAAATGTTGAAAATAGGGTTGATATTGCCATTGGGGATGAACTAGGTCATAGCGAGGGCGCAGAGTGTAGTCGCAATAACACGGGCGTAATGTCCGCGCCGCTAACAGTCGGTGACGACACGGGGAGTAGCGAATTACCTACTAGGGCATCGTCACTTGCTAGTACACGACAGTTGCGGCCAAGGAAAAAAGTAGATTATAAGAAGTATTTTTAAGATCAATATGATGTATAAATGTATTAGTTTTAAGATTATTATTGTTTAAATTATTGTCAATTGTAAGTAAAATGTCATGTTTTTTTTACCAGATTTCAAAGATTAAGTGTGGAGGAGTGATGTGTACGCACCCACTGTGGGCAAGTAATAAACGAGTGCTCTTACGCAACGGTTGTTTCTTTCCAAGTCTATACATATCAGTTTACCATTTTCATACGCTTATTTATTGTTTACCTTATTTACAAATTTTAATTATGAGTAATAAAGGATTCCATATTATCACAAAGCACTGAAAGTTGCATTGTATTTTTAGTATTGAACAGTTTTTCTTGCCCGCGCATAGAACTCTGAAAAGAAGACTACATGTGTTTCAATTGGATGGATCAATATAGCTTTATTACAATATATTTTTGTAGAAAAAAATATATGTTAAATAGATATGGCAAGCGTAGCATATGGAATACATGTGACATCGCAAAGGTAGCACTGAACACGCGAAATAGCCGTATCACGAAACCCGTGAAAGCATGAGGGGGTACAAAATGTAGTTTTTCCTCAAGGGCGCGATCGGAATCTCTGGGCCACCGTAGAGTAGCGATGGTGTTATAAATGCGCACAGCACTGTTCACATTGGGACCGTATTGCTGTTGCCATCAGAGCCCGCAGAGTAACTGAATGGTAGTCGCTATCTACAATGACTGTAGCGGAGCAGGGGGTATGGGACTCACTGGGCAGCCGGATCCGGGCCCGAACAACATCGCGTTGGCATTATTAATAGGCACAGCATTGCTCGTTGGGATCGTATTACAGTTGCCATCAGGGCTCCCAGAGTAACGAATAGTAGTCACTACGTACAGCAACGCATTATGGGCCCGCACGCAGCAGCGCTCATTAAATTCGTTGGGTATCCGGATCCGGTTCTTAAAACAGCGCGACGGCATTATTAAGGAGCCCATTAGGGTCGCAATGCAGGGGTTTCGCATCCCGGGCCCGCACAGAGCGGGGGCCGTCAGACTCACTGGGCAGCCGCATCCGCGGCCCGCAGAGCAGCGTGATGGTGTCGAGCAGGGCAGCGTGCAGCGCGGGCGGCAGCTCGCCCTCGCCGCCCTTCTCGTCGGTGACGTCGGCCGCGTGCTCGAGCACCTCGCGCGCCAGCCGGCACTGCACGTTCAGCTTCTGCACCAGCGAGAGCCGCTGCAGCATCACGTCGTAGATCAGCTGCCGTGCGTCGAACGAAATCGGCTCCGCTGTGGCCAACCAAATCGAACATACGATAGACACGAGCACTACAATGTTTAAAAAAAACAATATTGAAGAATAAATATAGGCTACTACACACATAGGAACGGACACCTACGGAACTTCGCCCTACAAATATAAATTATCCTGCCTTTGCGTGGAGGGGCTAAGTGCCGAAGTAATGTTGGTATTGCGATGCGACCTTCTCCCTACTTGTAAGTACTGACTATCAAGTCCACATAACCCGTCCTTGCCCTCCTAAGGACGGGTATGCGTTCATATTCCCCCTACGTCAATAACAAAAGCGGTTCACTTGATATGATTACCGTCACCCATTGACATTACACTCTTTTGGGGTGGCAGGTGCAACCCTTTAGAACTTTCAAAATACTTGAAGGTTTTAAAAGCCCTACTGTTTCGACGGTATTATATAACCTGGGGTCAAAGGTATCAGTAAACCTCACCGTCCTCGCCGTTGTAGTGCAAGATGCAGTCAACGAAGTGGTGGTAGATGGAGTCGCTGGTGAGACAGCTGCTCACGTAGTACTCCGCCGGTTCACGAACGTCGTGGTCCTCGTCCGCTAGCAAGGCGCAGTATCTGGCGAAGAACGGAGACGTTTTTACACTTTGCAGAAAACAAGGATATCTAAGAAATTATTAAATAATCAAAAAAATCCCTGGTTGTCCCGTCTCCAATGAGGTAATGATTAGCCTCGGTGATGGAAAAGCGGATAGATGATAACAATGGCCATCAACAATTCGTTGGCGCCGGCATCGGGAATTGATCACGAAAATCGACTCGATTGCCATGGTTAATCGATTGGTCGCTATGCAGCCTACTTCATCATGTCGCTTTTTGGCTGTCGGTGTGCGCGCGCGTGATCTTTACTCTCGTAATTTTTTCCAAGGGCACCAAAAAAAGTATGACTTTAAAGTTAAGTAGTTAAGTAAGTTAAAGTAATAAATAGACGTAGCACCGGTAGTAAAGCGGCGTGCGTAGACGCAGGTAGCCGGCGAGCAGCAGACGTGTCAGAGCGCGAGCTGCCGCGCGCCTTAGGGGAGGCACAGTCTCCACATTCACGCACTGGCACACCGAGTCCAGGAGAGGCTCCACGATGCAAGTGTACCTGGAGCAAACGGTCGCTGGATTGGAGAAAAGTTCAAACCACACGAGCAAAGACGCAGATATCCACAGCAGAACAAAGATAAACGACATATCTCTGAAGATCAGAAGGGGAAGGCAGGATAAGACTGCGAATATCTGGATGTTGTAGCGTTAGAGTCGAAAGCTACCAGTGCTGAGCGGTAAATATTGTCGTCAATTGTCTCTTAATAACTTACTATAACGTAAAATATTTTCGTACCACAATGGTTCTAAAATTTACGTTTCTAACCGCAAATTATCTAATTATAATGTGTCACTAAACCTATTGAAACTACGATGCACCCCTTGGTTCTTCCCATGGACACGAAGAGATCCGTATATCATTTGGATTTAAAAAAACGGCGGACAAGACTAGCAGTATTTGAACGACGCAGACTTCGGAATCGAAATATCGATGTGTATCGATACTAGTGCTAAAAATCAAAGCGGTATCAAATACCGCTTTGATTTTTAGCCGCTACCGCTTTGACGGGCGACGAAACCGAAACCGTTTATGTAATAACGCTCATTTAGGTCTTTGATGGTGAATCAATGTTTTCACCATCGTATTCAAGGCAGCCTGTCTTCAATCCGCCCGATCAGAGCGGGTGTTCCTCAAGTTTCATGTCTCTCGCCTCTGCTTTTCTCACTTTACACGAGCGACATTCAAAGTTATATAATAATGTTGAATTAACACGGATGTCACTGTCCTATTAAACACGGAGTAACTTCCAGGCCGCTTTAACACCCGCGTCCACATTACCACTGCTAGCCTCGGTGATTTTGTTCGAAGGACTATAGAAATTTATCCCGAAAACGCGAGAACGGAACAGAAAACAATTTAGGTTGCACCATGGACGGGTGGTACATCCCTCCGCACCCCGCCCCCACTTGTAGTCTTACTATAAATACAGTCACCCACCGGACGCAGACGTCGGTGAGCGCGAGCAGCGCGTTGAGGCGCACGGGCGAGAATGGAACAGGAAACAATTTAGATTGCATCACGGACGAGTGGCACATCCGCCCGCACGCCGCCCCCGCTTTCAGTGTTGCTATAAATACGGTCACCCACCGGACGCAGACGTCGGTGAGCGCGAGCAGCGCGTTGAGGCGCGCGGGCGAGAATGGAACAGGAAACAATTTAGATTGCATCACGGACGAGTGGCACATCCGTCCGCACGCCGCCCCCGCTTTCAGTGTTGCTATAAATACGGTCACCCACCGGACGCAGACGTCGGTGAGCGCGAGCAGCGCGTTTAGGCGCACGGGCGAGAATGGAACAGGAAACAATTTAGATTGCATCACGGACGAGTGGCACATCCGTCCGCACGCCGCCCCCGCTTTCAGTGTTGCTATAAATACGGTCACCCACCGGACGCAGACGTCGGTGAGCGCGAGCAGCGCGTTGAGGCGCACGGGCGAGAATGGAACAGGAAACAATTTAGATTGCATCACGGACGAGTGGCACATCCGTCCGCACCCCGCCCCCGCTTTCAGTGTTGCTATAAATACGGTCACCCACCGGACACAGACGTCGGTGAGCGCGAGCAGCGCGTTTAGGCGCACGGGCGAGAATGGAACAGGAAACAATTTAGATTGCATCACGGACGAGTGGCACATCCGTCCGCACCCCGCCCCCGCTTTCAGTGTTGCTATAAATACGGTCACCCACCGGACACAGACGTCGGTGAGCGCGAGCAGCGCGTTGAGGCGCACACGGGCGAGAATGGAACAGGAAACAATTTAGATTGCATCACGGACGAGTGGCACATCCGTCCGCACCCCGCCCCCGCTTTCAGTCTTGCTATAAATACGGTCACCCACCGGACACAGACGTCGGTGAGCGCGAGCAGCGCGTTGAGGCGCGCGGGCAGCGGCGCGCCTTGTCGCCGCAGCAACGCCGCAAGTGCGGGCGCCGCCACCGCGGCCGCCTCGCGCGAGCGCACGCACAGCCGCCCCGCGCCCGCCGCGCACGCGCCCACCTCCGCCGCGCTCATGCCTGCGCCGCACCGCCCAACTTGGACCATTATTACCGTCACGCTTATCTATTCTTCGCTGTTGCACGAATGGGCAGCTCCGTCCGGGGAGGTAACACGACCACACAGAAGACCGGCGCGAGTGAAAGTATTTTATGTCTCATTAGTAACAATACTTTTCGCAATGGTGGTCCGGAAGAAATCGCTTACTGAGCGATAAGACCTATTGTACTTCCTTTTATATTCATTTTTTATATATATTTTTTTATTTTTGGTTTACAATAAAGTATAAGTAAATAAATAAATATTTTTATTTCTGCGTTTCGTCTAATGTATGAGAAAATTATACTCAATATTATTGTCACACTTATCTATTCTTCGCTGTTGCACGAATGGGCAGGTCCGTCCGGGGAAGTACCACGACTTGACATAAGACCGGCGCAGAGTGGAAGTGTTGTTACTTCTGCGTTTCGTCTTGTGCGTGAGGTAGCCCATTTTACTAAAATGTGGCGACGTAGTTGCATCTCTACGGGTGTTACAAAAGACTCTTTAACCAGTGCATCCCCCGCTATGACCAGTCGTGCGGAGACTTGGACTCTCACCACTAGCCTAGTACAAATGCTAGTGTTGTAAGGATGTTTTACATACATAAATTTCACGAGGACGATCTCACAAACAGTTTTCCCGTGTGGGAATCGAACCCACCAACCCCGGGCGCTGAAGCCAACACCTTGGCAACTGCGCAACGGAGTCGTCTAAATCCAGCACTGGATTAACATAGGCCTATGATGACTCTGTAGAGAGGGAATAAAACAATTTTACGCATACCAGGCGGCGGGTCGGCGAGTGGCCCTAGTAGCAGCTGAAGCAACGCCTCCGAAGGCGGCGATGGCGCCACCAGCGACAAGTCGGCGGCGAGCAACCACTCCCCCACGGAACCGCCATTCACCGCTCGGTTCTCGGCTACGTACAAATTAAAACATTTTTTTTTACACATCACTACATCACCACATCACTACATCACCTTATCACTACATCACCACATCACTACATCACCACATCACTACATCACCACATCACTACATCACCACATCACTACATAGTATAAAACAAAGTCGTCCCGTTTATAATTGTTTATTTTTTATGTATTTATTTATGTATAATATTTGCACCCGTGCGTAGCCGGGGCGGGTCGATAATCTATAAATAACAATAGATCTGTTTTTCTTTATTATTTTACTTTTCAAATTAAAAATTTAAAACTCACCATCCTGCAAGAGTTCCGTCGCCCATTGTAAGTTATCTGGATCCAAATGCGCTGCAAGAGTGGCACAAGCTGTTCGGCAACCTTGAATTGACATTTTGATATAAAATAATTATTCACTTTAAAGTATAAGAAAATAACTAAAATACTACGTTAACGAGAATCCAACTAAAATTATAAAGGAAACGGATTCAACATTGATCCAAATGATACGGTTTAAAAAGTATTACATTCTTCTAATCAAGCATTTGAATAATCAGCTCAGTTCACAGCCTGGTAGATGATCTAAACCTTAACATCGATTGGTTAATGTGAATGAATTAAAACAATTTGAAAAATAGAAACTGCACTAGATGATTATTATTCAATCAAAATAATAATTAAATTCATTTGAACATATTGAACCATCTACGAAAAACAACATTCTACTCAATGCAGGAAAGCCTTAAAATGGTGAAATTGTTTAGAAATGATGATGATGAGTAAATAATGAAATGTTGGTGTTGTTACCGTCGTCTACGGCGCTTGTGGGGGCCGCGAGCCTGCGCACTAGGTGAGCTTTCAGCGTGTCCCGATCGGGAGCGGTCAGCGCTTTCGACCACGCCGTCAGCAGCTCGTATATCAAGCCCAGTATTCGCACGTCGCACACCTGTGCGGAGAGCAACGAACAATTTCAACTGTAGTTCAAATCAAATCATTTATTCATCGAAATAAGAAATATACATTTCATTTATCGATAGTAATTTTTTTAAATCTACCACCGTTTCGTAATGAGGTTCCTCTAACGGAGAAGAAACAGGCGAAAGAAACTCCGTAGGTATCCTCTTTTTAGTCATTCTTTGTCGTGGTAGGGCCACGCAGCGGTATCCGCTGTTGCACGAATGGGCAGGTCCGTCCGCGGAAGTGCCACGACCTAACAGAAGAGCGGCGTGGAGTGCAAGCGTTACACTTCTGCCCTTTGTCCGGTGAGCGAGGTGACTGACCGAGGCCCGGTGGCAATTGAAAGGTAACGACGCGTTTGCAACCCTACGGGTGTTACAAACGTCGTGGTATCGCTTAACGTCAGGTGAACCACCAGCTCGCTTGCATCTTCTAACATAAAAAATTATAATTAGAATATTACAGCCGTAGCCAGCCAGCCGTATGTATTATAGCACAATATCCGGATGCTCGCTTTATAATTCGATTGATTTAGGGGTCCTCCATTAATTACGTGAGATTTTCAAGGGGAGGGGAGGGGGCGTCCAGTAGATTCTCATGTAATCTTAATTTGGAGTGAGGGGGGTCTAGGCAACTATCATCTTGAGAGTGTGCACAAGACTCCCAGGACTCAATTATATTCTTTTATGAATTTTAGAAGTAACCATTTATTTTATTGTTTACTTTTCACTGTATTTCAAGGCTACTTTTTCAGAAATCTTAAATAGTAGTCTTAATTAGTCTTAAGTAAATAATTCTAGTATATAGTCTTTTTCGAATAAACCCGAGGTATTTACGAGACACATGCAATTTGAAAAATACATTTTGAAAAATCTCTCGAGAGACTGGAGGTGGGAGGGTTGAGCCAAATCTCATAATATATTTTACCAGGAGGGGACATCAAAAAAACTAACATCATCTCACGTGATTAATGAACGCATCTCATGAATTTAATTCAATAAGACGTGCTGATTTACCACATGCCTGTCGGCTCTTGCATCATTGCAAGGTTAGTTTTTAAAAAATATATCATTCTAGACTCGAATTCCACTACCGAGGGTACCTGTATGTCATCGTCGAGCCTGTAGTAGTAGCGGAGCAGGAAACGGGGGTCCGAATTGGGGAAGTGACGAGCTAGGCCCGTCAGCAGCACCAGGCTTTGGAGGTCGCGAGCGCCATCCGCCTCGCCCAGATGCGTACCCACAATATCGACCACGCGAGGTCTGCCGAAAAAGTGCAGTTATCGATCTAGTCTCTTCTTTCTCCTGCCCTTATACAAGACGACAAACAATAGATGACCCGATTGGCATAACGGGTACTGACCCTGCCTCTTGCACCAGAGGGTGTGGGTTCGATCCTCACTACTGGAAAAATATTGTGTTATGATGTTTTTTCAGTTTCTGTGTGCGTTGCTTAGCATGGGACTAGAAAACGTTGTGTAAAAATATGTCCTGAAATAGATCTTATAGGTGGCAGTGGTCATTGAATCTGACTTCAAATCATAATCATCCATAGTTCGTTTTCTTAAATAGTATTGGCTGGGTTTCATACGACCGGCAGGTGACTCACGGTAACTCGTCCCTTTGTCCGAGTCATTGCGCAGTACTGTTTTAGTCAGAAAGGTCTGTTGTTATACTCCTATTTAATGTAGCTGCTAATTACTGAATTAATAAAAAAAAAACCTTATTGTGCCACGCATATGCTCTTCTGGGGAAGTGCCGTGGCCTCACATAAGACCAGCGTTAAGTAGAAGTATTAGTTTCTCACGATCCGTCTGGAGAGTGAGGTAACCGGGTCCTAATTTTTTAATGTCGGCAACATCTGTCACCTGTCGGGCAGTGAACCTTCTGCTCGCTTTAAGTTTAAGTCCCCTAAGTTTTAACATAAAAAAAAAAACAATCATTATCATCATATCCGCCTGTTCAGATCCACTGCTGAATAGGCCCGCACCACAGACTGCCACAAAGCACGATCCTGACCCACCTACATCCATCGACTTCCCGCATATTTGCACAGGTAGTCGCACCATCTAGTGGAAGGCCGTCCTAAACTACGATAGGCAATACGAGGCTGGCACTAGAGAACTTTTCATCCCAATCGGTTTTCAGTTCTATGAGCTATATGTCCGGCGAATTGCCACTTCAACTTACTCATCCTCTGAGCTATGTCGGTAACTCTTCTTGCGGATGTCTTCATTGCGTCTACATAGTCCGCTGGGCGACTTTGAGCTACTTAATAAGGCCATTCCATCCGAAGGTATCACTGGCAACACCCATAAAAAACCAATACTGCATTATACTCTTTGAAACTTACCCAATGCTCCTAGGTGAGTTGTGAAGCAACGCGCAGGCTTTCTGGAGATGTCTTCGCATGTTGTGCCGAATCACACCCGCTAGGAATAACCAGGGAAGGGTGTCCTCTTGTCCGCCGACGGTGTAATTGTGAAGTCTCTCGAATAATATTTGATGGATCTGATTCATGACCAGCTCTTGGACCTTTGTTGTGGAAATACAACTGAATTAAAATAACACCTTCGTCCGTTGTTTAATTAACGGTACGTACCGTTTTTAGAAGCAATACGTGGGGCGCACTAAATGTTTCCGGAATGGATATGAAAAAAATACTACTAAACGACAAAAATGAATTTATTGTTTCTCAAAATATTCTCCCTTTGCGTAAATGCACTTTTTCATACGATTAAAACCAATTTTAAAAGCATTTGTACCACTCCTCCGTGGTGACCACATAAACGTGTTTTTCATACTCTTCGACAGCCTATTCTGGTGATGAAAATCGTTGACCGCGTAATTGGTTCTTAGTGTTTGCGAACAGAGAAAAGTCTTATTATTTATTTATCTATTATTCATCAATAGCTGCAAACATAAGTTTTAAAACGGTTTTTGAACACTACAATTACAGGATAAAAGAAGAAGACAGAATTACAGAATAATGGAAGTCATTGAGTACCGACAACAAACACCTATGCGATATATTATCTGAATTAATAAATAAAATAAATTATCGCGGCCAGTTATCCTGGTAAATTGTTAAGTATAATTTTAAAAGGTACGTTAAGTACGAACAAACCTTGGCTTCGGGATCTGATAATTGATTCATGGGGCCAGTGAGAAATGCATCTACGGTAGCGTCGCATGGCTTTTGCATCAGGATCTCGCTGAGACCTGTGATGGCTGATGTCCGCACCAGTATACTAGCGTCGCGGCATAGACTGATGAGAATCTGGAAAGTTCAATCAATATGTTTCTTCTTCTTATTTCTTCTGGGCTAATCCCTCCTAGGTGGGGTCGACACGACATATGAATGGATTTGTTAATGGTATTGGACTTGGTTATTTACTACCAGCCGTCTACCCGACTCCTTCGCGAGACCAAGGCAGCGATTTCTAAAAGGGCTGGTTACTTAGAGGGGCTTTCTTCAAAGGCCAAAGCACCAATGACGAAAAAGGCTCGTTACTTAGTGGGGCTTCGTTCAAAGGCCAAGGCACCAAGATCACAAAAGGCAGGTTCCTTAGAGGGGCACTCTTCAATGGCCAAGGCAACAATGACGAAAAGGGCTCGTTACTTAGCGAGGCCTCGGTCAAAAGCCAAGGCACCGAGATCACAAAGGGCTGGGTACTTAGAGGGGCACTTTTCAATGGCCAAGGCAACAATGACGAAAAGGGCTAACGAGCACTAAGTAACGGCTTAGCGGGGCCTCGTTCAAAGGTCAAGGCACCGAGATCAAAACTGACTGCTTACTTAAATGAGGCCCATTTAAGTAAGCAAGCGGGGCCTGCGAGGTCAAGGCACCGGGGCTCAGGATAGAATGCCTAATTACCGCCAGGTCGTTGGGCACTACGCGGTCAGCGGCCGCCAGCAGGCGCTGCACCAGGGCGGCCGCCGCCCTGCGCACGACGGCGCGCTCGTCGCACGCGCACCGCGCCGCCACCGCGAGCAGCCGCGGCGCATCGCCGCACCCGTTCAGCTCCTGCGTTCGCAATAGTTCGACTGTGGCAGGGCCGCGCAGCAGTCATCGCTGTTGTACGAATGGGCAGGTCCGTGGAACCCCGAAGCATTTATTAAATGATTCACTGCTTAAAGTAACGGCAAACATCCTAAAAGGTTCATTCGATTGCGCAAAGGCGGTTATTGGGTCTCTGAAGGTACCGGAGACTGGAACACTGCGCAAGGCAACGCGATTGGTTGAACAAAATTGAACCACACACACATACTCGTGGTTACGAAGGCTTCGTCCACTCGAGTCATGAAGCCTTATAACATTAATGATATGGCATTATTATTACTATTATCTATATTTCACATTTTATAATATCTTCGAAATGATTTATATATTATTATTTCGTAAACACGTAGGTATCCTCAATGTGTTCTCCTTAACGCCGAGCATGTGATAAGTCAGAAATTAAAATGGAAACCAAAAGTATCATAGGTGCCGGGCTCTGACCTAAAGTTGCTAGAGTATATTGAATTAAAAGCGAGCGCCTGAACACTATATTATGCGAGACACTTACCTTTATGGCTTCCCGCGTCGGAGGGTCGGTACTGCTGACGCACTCCGTGAGTATGGTCAGCGCGCGCATTCGCAACGAACTCGACACGTCGTGCACCCTCTCGTAGACCGCGCGGATGATGTCGGCGTGCGCCGTTCTGCTGACACTACCCACCTCCTCGCCCTCCGGCAAGTCCTGACTTGTCTGTCGCTGAGGTTAATATTTCTCTTTTGATTTCTGTTTTTTTTATTTAAATAAATTATTGCCCTAGATGTGGGATAACAATGTCCTGTGTTCTAAGGACGTTTTACACAAATTTTAACCTAATCCACATCCGGAACAATTATCTGTGGGTCGCACACAAACATGTCCCTGGGGACAAGTCTGTATGTGACACAATATCGCAAGATCGAACCCCTGGCACCGAGACTCATAACTTAGAAACTGCCAAATTGAGTCAAAGTCAAATTTAAGGGTACAAGAGTTCTCATAACTCGTATATACCAAAAGAAACGTTGGTAACCAATGCAATGGCCAAGGAACGACTACCTCTTATTACATTTGCGGAGCCAAGAAGCAGCTTCTGATGTGACTTTTCCGGGGAAGAACCTGGGCCTTAAACTAGACAAGTATAATGCGAACTATTTATATTTTACTTTTGTGTTTGATCTGGTGAATGTGGAAGGTTAGAAACCTGTTGTGCAATACATAGGCGGTGTTAACATCAGCATATGCAACTTGACATCAGTGTACTGTGTAACTGTTTTCTCCCACATATTTTTCCAACTATAACTTGTTTTGTTGTCATTAATGTATCATTTATAATGAATGGTTAAAAATTATATGCATATGCAACTTGACATCAACTGTGTTGTGCAATACATTAATGTATCATTTATAGTGAATGGTTAAAAATTATATTATTTTAGTGAAAAACTATTTAATTTCATAATATGTTTTTACCAACATTTTTTATTTCCAGAGCCAGTCTTGATCGTTTATTTCTTCCGTAATGTTATTATCTGCTTTCGCCTCTTGTGGCCCCCCATTTGAATCAACGTTATTTTCTACATTCCCATCATTTTGACTATCGGACGAACTTGGGTCTAAGATAAAATAATTTTTGTTAGAGTATTATTAATGTACAATTCCTATAAATTTATTCAGGACAATTTAAGTACCTGATGTACTATTTTGAAAAGGGATTTCGTTTGGTCTTAGTTCTTCGGCATCGTTGGTCAAGAGCTTGCCTAATATTTCCTGAAAGATGGAATAAATGGAATTGTTGGGCACCGAGTCCAGCTACACAATTTAATGTACATTTACCAATTTACAATCAATAAACAAATTTTAGAAATGGTACATTGAATTATAAAAGGAATCAATTCCTTTTATATATATGGGTATACCAGTGACATTGAATATTTTCAGAACTGGACAGGTAGAAATATCGCCAATGAAAACTACTCTTAAATTTCGAATATGAACTCTTTGGTTACCTAATACGATATTTTTGTATATTTATAAAATTTGTAGAAAAAGTACGAAACGATTGTCGCCGTGGGAATCGAACCCACGTTTTCGGCATTCGCGGTCTGACGCTTTAGCCACTAAGCTAAACGGCTGATTGCCACGATGACGAAACTGGGCGAAGATGGCCACACCCGAGGGTTACAGATGCGTTGACAACCTTTTGAAAATAGGGCTCCGGCTACCTCACTCACCAGACGAAACGCGAAAGTATTTGTCATACTTCCACTTTTCGCTGGTCTTCTGTGAGGTCGTGGTACCCGGACGGGCCTGCCCATTCGTGCAACAGCCGAGGCTGCTGCGTGGCCCTACCACCGATTTATTAAAGCTGTTATTACTTTTTAGAAATTTAAATTTTCATAGTGCTTATGATATTATAATCATAATATATGCAATGTATGCTGGAAAGGATATAACAATGGATGCACGCCAAGCATTGCTTCAAATGCTAAAAAACAATATCGATAAAGACGTTACGATTTTCGTCGGTGTTGCAATCAGCCGTTTATGCCGCGAGTGCCGAAGACGTGGGTTCGATTCCCACATTGGCGACAATCTTTTCGTACTCTTTCTACAAATTTTAATGTTATTACTTTGCTAATTGTTAAGAAGAAAATATGATGAATTACCAAAGCAACTTGTCTGTGAGAAATTTTTGATGTGGTTGACAATTTAAGAACCCATTTTATTAGATCTTCATATAACTTTGTTGGCAGTAAAATTAAAAGACCTAATACCAAAGATATACGTGCAGTTCGTACTTCAGCTCTTTCCTAAAAAAAAAAATAATATGTTAATTTTGAAACAACGGTAAGTTTCGTATCAAACAAATACTTTCAATAAATTAAACAGATCTTAATTACAACATTGATGCCCGGTTTCTGAAACACTGATCATCGTACTTCTAAGATCATTCTGATCAATTCAGAGTTTAACCATCCTTTTGGCAATCAAAATAAAATTTCAATAGCCATTTGACAGCTGATTAGTTGAGATCTAGGATGATAAGTGTTTCAGAAACCGGGCGTTAGACTATCACACAGAGTTACAGTTAGAAAAGAAAACACATTTACAAATCAAACATACACAATATGTAGAAAGTAAAAGACTTACCAGACCATCTAGCGTGTAGCATAGGTGTTGCAAAAGAATGTTATAACTTGATAATGCTGCTTTACCATATTTGTTAAGGAGTATTGCAGTATATGATACATATGATGCTCTGACGAGATTCTAAAAGGAGTGGTTAAGTTGGTAGACTATCATATATATCATCATAAGGCTTGTATATATAGATTAATCAATATTGCATATCTTTTGGTACACAATTGTGAACCAAAGCGGCCACACATCGATAATTCGAACGAGAGCTGTTGCCATTGCTATAGGAAATTAAAAATTTTATAGTGCCAATTTCTGAAATTGTGCTGTGAAAGATATAACAATATATGCACGAATGCTTGTAATGCGAAAAAACTATATAGAAGAGACATTGAGATCTTCGTTGGTGTGGCAATCAGAATGCAAAGAATCCTAAATATTTTTGATCAAATATTAAAGGTAAATCGAAATCGTTCTCTATTCCTAGTGTTATAAGTAACATCACCTAAATGAAGGCTCATTTAGGTGATGTTACTTATAACACAGGTCCATCTGTTTGTAACGCATTTGGAACTTACTTTCATTCAATTTCATTTATCCCCAGAGAGCTCAACCTACATCTCCAAAAGGTTCTGAAAAAACACCAGCAACAATCGCAAATATCACTAAAATCGTAGTGGACACGAAATGCGTTTCTCAGATGTTGAAATCTCGTGATCCATCTAAGTCTGCAGGACTGCCGACTGTCTTTTTCAATTGCCAAGAATTTTTCTTATTAATTGTGCAGATTCGATAGCTCTACCAATAACCCTACTATTTCGTAAATCGTTAGCGGAACGCACTGTACCTGATGTTTCGAAATGTGCCTATATCACACCATTGCATACAAAAGGATTCAGGTCTGATATCACCAATTACAGACCAATCTCTTAAGTTATGTATTATTGCAAAATTATTTGAAAAGTTAATTAATGATCAGGTGTATCCGTCACTGAAGCAGTGCTTAAGCCACACTCTACATGGCTTTCTTAAAGGTAGGTCTACAACATCCAATCTCTTGCTGTTAAATTCATATTTGACCAAAGCCATGGAAAATGGCCAGCAAGTTGATGTAGTATATACCGATTATAGTAAGGCGTTTGACCGAATTGACCACAATCTGCTCTTAAACAAGTTAGAGTATGTCGGTTTCTGTGGTGACTTACTGCGATGGTTTTCCTCTTATATATCATAGAATCATTCTCAAGCTGTAGTTGTCAACAATTACATTTCTAGCTGGGTTTTAATACCTAGTGGCGTTCCCCAAGGCAATGGCCCGTTATCTTTGTCAATGATATTGAACTTGCCTTAAGTCATCTCGTCTATTATGTTTCGCTGATGATATGAAATTATTCGCTACTATCGCATCACAGGAGGATGCTAAATTACTGCAGCATGATCTTTCAAGATTAGTGGAGTATTGTGCTGTTTACAGGCTACATCTTAATCCGTCTAAATGCACTCTGGTTACTTATTCGCGAAAGCGTAACTTGATTCCCTTTGTATATAAGCTGAAAGGCCAGAAGTTGCAAAAAGAGTCTGTTGTACGGGATCTAGGTGTTATGCACGATTCTAAGTTGATATTTAATGCCCATGTCGACGATATCATAGCAAGGGCATCTAAGGCTTAAGTTTTTGTTATGCGTACTGCAAAGGACTTCAAAAATATAAAAACTACTAGTGACCCGGCTTCGCACGGGTGCAATGTATTATACATTATAAACCTTGAATCACTCTATCTAGTAATAAAAACCGCATCAAGGTCTGTTGCGTAGTTTTAAATATCTAATCATACATACGGACAGACAGACAGCGGGACAACTTTGTTTTATACTATGTAGTGATGCACAGCAAAGAGACATTTCAAGTAACATTTTACCTCAGTCACTCACTTGTTTTGCCTACCCCTTAAACTTTATGGTATGGTATTAAAGTTGAAATTGACGTTTAAGTATTATTACGAATCTTGTATACGTATTTGTACGGGAATATAGAAAAGTCAATCAGGCAATTTTTTAAATTTTTTCTTTCATAATAACAAACACAACAAAAAAAAGGAAAATCGGTCCAGCCGTCCACTCGTGATGGCGTGACCAAGGGAAATAGGAATTCATTTTTAGATTAAATAATAATTAAAATCTACGTTCGTAGTACCCTTGAATACGTTTCGCAGATCTGGATATTACCCGTATTACAACACCTACGTATCACGGATTGAGAACATTCAGCGCAAGTTCTTACGTTATCTTTGCTATCGTACTCATTCTAATTACCGGTCTAAAGACTACCTAACCGTATGCAAACAACACCATCTACCATCTGGTGTCGTAGACTGTCCTGAGCTTCTTTCTCTAATATCACAGTAGGGGCTTACTGTGCATCTTAGAAGAAATGCACCACTTTATTTACCGACTGTATCAATCAATTATGGGAAAAATAGTTATATATGGCGAACATATAATAACATTAATAATTTATGCAAAAAACATGATTTACAATTTGTTTTACACTAGCTGTGCATCGGTAAGGCGAATATTAAGTCAAGATTTCTTTGAATCGTACTAATAATGTCTCTTTGTTACATTTTTTTATAAATATCCATGACTTATATTTGGAATCAAGGCGCTTAAAGCCTTGAATGACAAAACCTCGATTCATTTAGTTTCTTTCAGTGAAAACCTGTAATTGGCTGGCTTGTTATTATCTTGTTTTGTTATTTATGTTATATTAGTAGCTGTTGGTTTTCCACAAAATACAAAATAAAACAAAACAAATAAAATAGCTTAGTAGTTAAAGCGTCTGGGCGCGAATCATTAATACGTGGATTCTATTCCCGCAGTGGCACGAAACTCTTCGTCCTTTTTATGGTTCTGTACCCAAAGGGTAAAACTTGACCTTATCCTGCTGTCACCAGGCTGTATCTTATGAACCGTGAAAGTTACAGTTGCAATTTTCACAGTTGATGTATGTCTGTTGCCGCTATAACAAAACTACTAAAACAGAATAAAAAGATATTTAAGTGGGGCTTCCATATGACAGAAATGATTTTTTTTGCCATATTTACAGATAATGGTGCGGAAAGCTTCTGGCGTGAGTCCGACTCGCACTTGACCGCTTTTTATACAAACTTTAACCACCTACATTTTATACCTCCCATATCTAGGAACAAAGGCTATTTATTAACTTGCCAATTCAATACATGCAAGTCATTTATTTTAGTATCCAACAAGTAGATATTTAGATAATTTCAACTATAATACTTGTTCACATTTAAAAAATCTGTTAATATAAAAAATACTTACATTAGCATTTCGGTTATCAACCGATGCCGCAATAAATTTATTGAGAAGGCACTTGAAGAGAATCTTAATGACTTCAGCATTGGGAACTTCATCAGAATTGTAGATTAATATTGAAATAATGTTATTAACACAATCAGTGATATTAGTCAATAATAGAGAGTCTGAAAAAATGCACAAGAATAAAAAAGAGATAATACTTATCAGAATCTATTTACTAAGGCCCCTCAAAAAGTTGTGCAGCCTCCCCGTTAATTTTTATATCTGAGATTTATTCTCATTTTTATAGATTAAATTAATAATAAGTGTAAAAAATAAGGGGAACCGATAATCAGAAAAGAATACTGAATCAGTGGGACTTCTATATCTATTTTGAGACTGCAACATCTTCAGCACTATGGGAACAGCAGCCTCTCACATGCAGCCCTTTTGTAACAAATTGCAGGCATCAATCCTAAACTTCGGCGAGTTATAGTGTTATTTTTGTGTTTGACATTAAATAAAATTAATTTTATAATGTTTCACCAAATATAGAAAATTCTGTGGTTTTTCAATATTTTTTTCTCAAAATGCACATCTCCGCATGTTGAAACTTTGTATGTGTGCTTATAATAATATAATGTATACAATATGTTTTCTGTAAAAAAATATCAACTCCCAACTGGATGGACATCATGGAAAACTAAGCCAAAAAGTTTTTATAACCACTGTCACGATTTGAAACTGCATTATCCCATAACATATCCACCAAAAATTTTGCAAAATAATTTCATATTTATTTATATTAATTACTTTAAATAATTAAAATAAATCTTACCTATATTAAGTTTGCATACAACAGTACTGCCTACAACCTCAAGTAAGTTACCCAATATATCTTCAAAATTCATATCAGTTGGTTTTAATTGTAGAGTTTCAAAAACATATTTTAACTCAAACACAAAGTCTTGTAAACTCCTTAACATCAACATAACTTCACGAACCAATTCACGTGTGGTAAAGGCATTATCTTCATTACAATACATAGTCTTTAAGAAACTCAGGCATACCAAAGAATGTGTAAACAGTTGAGAATAATAAATATGGTACGCTTTGTAACCAGGAATAGAAAGTAGCTTAAAATATAAACGTGAAGCTAATAAAGCATTATGACGATGTACTTTGTTAACAACATTTTTATTTCCGTAATCTATGTAGTAAGCTATAATTGCTAAAAGTTCTTGATATTTTATTTCGTGTGAAAGTTTAGCCCACGATTTATCTTCACTAATGGAGGGTTCTTCATATAACCAATTATCAATGGATTGTAGTATTTCCAAAAAAATGGATTCTAAATCTAAATTCTCCAAAGCACTCTCAAATTCCGGTGGCAAATCTCCAAATTCAAGAAATTCTGAATAAAATATGGCCTGCACCCACTCTTCATTAAGAGTATCTAAATGTAATTGTTCCAATTTATCCAAAAATTCTATCATCTTTTAGTATTAATTTATTTCCTATATGCTTATTCAAATAGCAAAATATTTTGTACACTCGCCTTTATTAGAAAGAACCAGCAGGCCCAGTGACAGTGACAGGACAGCTGTGACAGTGAGTCAGTGACAGACAGCAACAGCAGTGATGGTGGGCTGCATTTAGATACGATGAAAAAGATATTATTTATAAAAAATATAGTACACTGTATTATTATAGATTTTAATTCATTAATTTACTCTTCTTATAAGTCTATCAGTGCTTCAATATTAGTATCATTCATTAAATCTTATTAATTCCCAATATTACAAATATAATTCGGGAAATTTTGATACCGTCTATTCGTCTACTGTTATCGTCTATTGTTAGCGTCACAACTTCACAAGACAATAAAATGGTAACTATTGATTGTGGTATTAATTGATGTTTGTGCTTTCAGTCCCGAGACTATTAAAACTTCATCTGACGCAGAACCTGTGGGCTAGCCAGAACCCACGGGTTTGGGCCCTCCGTTGTGGGTAGGGCCGCGCATGTGCTTATGCGTGCGTTTAATTACGGCATGTGATCTAATGGCCATCGAGGTTGCGGTGCGGACCGAGGTCCGAGACCCCATGGCTGTCGACTGTGTTTTTAGCTAATCGGTGGCTGGGGGAGAGAATCACCTTGGAAAGTGGGTGTACCTTGTGTATGCGTTGTGTTGGTCTCGCCGTACTCGGAGGCGAGGGCGAACTAATGTGTTTGTTGATACACTAACTGTTTGTGTAGTGTTATCCGGCGGGACCTCCGGTGATGAGTCCGACGTATCTAAGCCCCCTTCCTCGACCGGGTCCATGAGGACATTTCGCGGGCGACGCTTGTTGACGCTCGCGTTTGGATCGGGCTGGTAATTTGCTGCGCTTACCACCAGAGGTTGGGATGACGTTCGGCTCTATAAAAGAACCATTTGGTCATGTCTTTGAAATTAGCGAATCGTCGGGAGTCTGCAATCGCTCTACAGGTCGACGTTGCGTTGATACCACTGCGCACCGGTTGCGCGGCGGATGAACTTATTTTGTACTATTTGCAACTTGTACAAGCGAGTAGGGTGCGTGTGGGCGAAGGTCATGCATGCGTAGGACATAATAGGTCGTACGCAGGTTCGCGTTAAGGGCATTTTGCTTTTAGCGTTTGTTAAGTTGTGTAGCCGGCCAGAGACGAACCCAGCTTTATTGCGAACGTTATTAATGTGCGTAGTAAATGACATACGCGAGTCGAAAGTGACTCCTACGTATTTGACCTTTACCTCCCAGGGGAGTGGTTGGCCATAAAGTGATATTTGCCCCAACTTTCTGCATTGACGAGAGCCATTATAAAGATGTGACGGGTAAGTACTTCGTGTGAAGTAAATCGCCACACTCTTTTCGGGATTTATTTCTATTCTCCATTTGCGGAACCAATCGCCGAGGCGGTCGGCGACGCTTTGGAGTCGAGTGGTTAGTTGTCTAAGGTTGCGGTCTGAATAAAAGAGCGCCGTGTCGTTCGCGAAAAGCGCAATATTGACGTGGCGGTCTTTTGGTATATCGCTCATGTAGAGCGTAAAAAGTAAGGGTTAGAGGCAGGAGTCTTGTAGAACGCTAGCCGAGAGGCGGCGGCTTGTTGAGTGGGCGCCCTCCACTCAATATCGAAAGGAGCGGATTTGGGTTGTAAATTTTTGATAATATCTTGGACCTCTTCGGGGGTCACTGAGTTTAATGGATCGCCTTCCGGTGAAAGCGCAGCCCTAGTTTTTTAGGGTCGCTAGTAGTACACTGTGATTTTATTAGACTCTAAAAGCGCTGTATTTGACTTAATAATTAACTGTATTGTTGTACAAAACTACTGTAATTTTTATTCGATCATTCTGATTCAAACCATTTTGAATGAAATGGTTTATTTCATCAGATAATTATTTCGCCTTTACCCATAATATAAAAAAAATCATGATTTTAAATTTAGAAATGTTTGTTTCCGTTTAATCAATATTATTTATCAATTTTTTAGTGGGTTTTCGAATTGCTTTAGGAGTATTATTTTGGAACAGTTGGCAGCACTGCATTCAATTCGTTCGACGTTTGAGTTCCATCGACGTAGTAATACTTACTTTGAAGGGCTCTACTTTAATGGAAAAATACTTTCAAGTCTTGCAAGTATACCTTGTAACGAAAATACGAACCATCTCTACATTGTCATTCATTCTTCCTAACTCACTGTAATTACAATATGTATAAAGTAATTTTGAAATTTTTACTGTTTACTGTAGTGAAAATATACAGTGTAGAGATCTACCGTATTCGACTTCACAGTTAGCAAAACAATCTGAAAAACGAATTGTAGCAAAATGAACTACATTGCTTAGAGGAAAATCCCCGAAGAATCATTTGGTACTCCAAGTTGAGTAGACGTAGCGTAAACTAACAGAAAGTCGCCTGTGTCTTATAAAGGAAAAATACAATACGACAGGTATATTCTTACCAATCGTTCAATCAAATTATTTATTTGGTCAGTTTTTTTTACTGAAACTTTACTGAAACTACTTATTTTTAATGAAAAAGAAATAAAACATTTATAAATAAATCCATGAGCTCTAAAAACGAGGAAAGTGATGTTCACGCTTTTCCAAGAATCCCTATAAAGCCAATTGCACTGTCCGCAATGCTCAAGTGACAGTCAAGGTGCTAAACACAAATTAAAACTTCGGTAAACTAAATAACACTAGAACAAAACAACGTAACCTTCTAATCTCCTAAACCAAGGATGAGCAACGCGCGGCCCGCGGGCCGCTTGCGGCCCCTTAAACATGTTTATGCGGCCCGCCAAGCATTTCTAAAATTGAATTTATTTTATAAAATTTCTCCCTTCAATATATTGTTATAAAATTCATTATAATAAAATGGTAGTACATACTGAACTGAAATATTTTTTGTTCGTTTTTCTGTTCTTATCTTGTTTAAACTTTTCGTCGTTCTTACCTTGCATTAAAATTTGTATATGACATCTTTACTTTTTTAATTTTATATTTTTTTATTCTAATATTTATTATAAATAAAGTTTCGTAAATTATTATGTGCGGCCCGCCAAAAAATTTGAAGTTTAAATTGGCCTATTGATTCAAACGCAGGCCGCTAACGACCGGTCGAAGTGGAAGTCAATGGGGGAGGCCTATGTTCAGCAGTGGACGTCCTACGGCTGATATGATGATGATGATGATGATTGATTAAAAAGGTTGCTCACCCCTGTCCTAAACTATTAAAGAAAAAATGCTAACTGAAGAGGCCATACGTCGAAACCAAGATAATTGTATAAACTTTAAGAAATATTGTCAAGGATGACCATAAAATACTATGAAAATTATAAAGAAAACATTATTTTAGAATAAGCAAGTTAATTAAAAAGTAGATATTGTTTCTTTTTTAATATATAACCAAATGCTGTAATTTTCGCTGTAACAAAATTTTGAAAATACTGCATTTTTTCGGGATGTAATGTATTTTTAGCTAGCAGCACTATAGGTGTATATCATTTTTCATGATTGTCATTTTCTTGTCAGATCAGGACAGATCAGATCAGATTTTCTCTAAAAATCATAAATCTTCAAAATATAAAAATAATTAGGTTAAGTGAATGTTATAAAAATATATTTTATTGTTTAGATTATATATACTACATACTTAATTAAATGGCTACACGTCGGCCTACTTCATGGTTTTTAACCGAAAAAGGGCGTCGATTTTCATTTGCCATTGTCACCGGCACGGGTATTGCATTAACTTGCGGAAGATATATGCCACAAACTTTTTTCCTAGATAAATACAAAAATGTTGTCCATTACTATAAGTATGTGTTAGACTAATAATTTTCAAATCTGGTCTTCATGGGGGTTATACTCTACATACAGTTTTTTTATATTTATTATTATAGACATGGACTTCCTGCAGAGTTATCCGAAGAACTTTCGTCAAGATGTGAAAAGTGTCTTGACCTTCTAAAATTGACTAATGCCCACAGAAAACTTATTCAACCTTTTAGTGTATATGGCTATGATCTATTTCATGCTGGTAAATTGTTTCTCTTTTGTTACATAATGTTATTGTGTGTATTTATATTTAAAGGTTATTTTTGTCTAATTTTATCAAGGCAGTACAAGTTCAAAGTTTGGTGTCGCTATTGGAGTTCCAGTTAATTTTGCATACAAGACACTAGATGATTTTGAAAAAGACAATGTTCAGGTATAACACTTTGAGAAATGACTGTTTTAATATTGCATATAAATTACTGAATTGTGTTTTTTTTTCAGGTTAACCAAAAAAAAGTAAATTTGGAAACTGAAGTCGGGCAAAAACTAGCTGAAGCTCTTATTTTACCAGAAAAGGTGCAGGAGTTTGGCATATGTAGAGAAATATTAATGTCAAAAAATAATAAATTGTTGTTTGAATCATGCTATCCATTTATATGTATCTTTTTTGTTTATAATTTCTGCCAGTATTTTAATAAAAGACTGAATATGTATTCAGCAAGCCCATGTTGTGAGGAGTACTATGTATGGTATTGTAGGTTTATTTGGATTAGGAACTTACTTCCTTATGAAAGACCTCACAGAAGTTTACTATGAAACCCAAGTTGATAAGGCTCTGTGTGATCTTGGCCCAGAGTATATTGAAAGTGGTGTAATATTTTATGAAAAGCTTTTACAACGAAATCAAGCCTTAAGAGAATTAATGGGAAGAGAAGGTGAAACAAAATATAGCAAAATGGGAAATGTAAACTATGGCATAAGGCAACCAAATATAGCATTGATACATAGAAAGCAATTCTTTGAGCAAAAACTTAAGGAAAATACTAACCCTGAGAAGTTGGAAAATAATGACTTATGAAAAGAATTGTCTAGAAATTAGATGTTATCTATATTGAAGCATGAGCAATATATTTCACTTTGTTAAGAATATCTGTAACCATTCACAAGTAAGATTTTATATAGTCTTCATTTAATAAAGATGCTTGCATAAAATATCATTTATATTGTAATTATGACTATTAGAAATGACCATTAAAAATGTAAACTATACTTTTAAATGTAATAAAATACATAAGTTAACAATTGAGCCAATAAAGCATTTGAAATAATGATGGGTATGTTAAAAACTAATTAAAGTTGATTAAATGGTTTTTGTACAATTTTTTTTATTATGTATACAATTGTTTATTTACATAATAGTAGCCTTACTTCTCTTTATGTAGTATTGGCGAAAATACAAGAAATCATTAAATCAACAAGTTGCATCTTATCCAATCAAAATCTTATCCTTTAAACGAGCAATTCTTGTATATATATATATATATATATATATATATATATATATATATATATATATATATATATATATATATATATAATCGGAATCTCGGAAACGGCTCCAGCGGTTTTCATGAAATTTAGTATGTGCGTAGATTCGGGGGCGAAAAATCGATCTAGCTAGGTTTCATTTTTAGAAAATGTCCTTCTATCCCTGTTCAGGGAATGAAAAATATAATTCGAATATGACAGTAAATTTCGCCGCAGGAGAAAATGTCATAATAGCTCGGTCGGTAATTGAGCGGCCCCAAAACAGACGGCCGTGGTTCGCGTCACGATCATTTACACATTTATTTTTTTACTTTTCTTTTACTTTACATTTACTTTCTTTATTTTTAATTTTTGACGATTTGTTATTTTATTATTTTTTTCCCTTTTTTTAAAGTTCTTTCTTTTGTGAAAAACATCAGTTCATATTTTCTTATTATTACGTCGGTAAGATCGAAAAATATTATGCATATTTCATTACTCAGTAATTTGTATATAAATGTAATTTCCAAAATACACGATTTACCAAAAAAAAAACAAACCGTCCTCCGGGTACTATTATGCTTAAAGGGGCCCATTCACTATCCTGCCTGGCAGTCCGCCGCTCTATGCAAAATCGTGAATGGTGTTGCAGGCCTGCACAGTTTCTGGCAACACAGAGCAGGACGCGCCTTGCATCCTGCAAGGGTCCTGCAAGCTCCGCCCACCGCTTGCAGTCCGCCGCGCAGGAGAGTCAGCGGTTTGTAGAAGTGGGCGATACAAATCGTATCAGATATGAAAACTAGTTATTAGTACAATATCCGAATATCGCTTACTGGCTCGTTCAATATCTATGTATTTTACAATATCTGATATTTCCGAAATCTGATGTACCGTGCTCGCTCGCTATACCGACACGAATCGCGATATCATACGCGTTTGCCACAATATCTGATTTTTAAACAGATTTCGAGAGACAAAGCGCGTGAGATACAAATACTCACTAGTTAGAGCGGGACGGCAAGCAATGCACGATATCAGATTTTTAAACAGATATCGAGCGACAAAGCGCGTGAGATATAAATACTCACTAGTTAGAGCGGGACGGCAAGCAATGCACGATATCAGATTTTTAAACAGATTTTGAGCGACAAAGAGCGTGAGATACAAATATTACACTAGTTAGAGCAGTACGGCAATCAAGGCACAATATCAGATTTTTAAACAGATATTATGAATAAGTTAAGTCATTTTGAATCTTAATTCCATCTAAATAAGATCCGTTTCATTTAAATACTGATCATGGTTACAACGAGTACTACAACGATATTATTATATTTTTATTCTTTTGTTTAGCCTTCTTGTATTAACTGATGTTTGTGCTTTCAGTCCCGAGACTATTAAAGCTTCATCTGACGCAGAACCGGTGGGCTAGCCAGAACCCACGGGTTTGGGCCCTCCGCTGTGGGTAGGGCCACGCATGTGCTCATGCGTGCGTTTAATTGTGGTATGTCATCTAAGGGCCATCGAGGTCGCGGTTCGGGCCGAAACCCCGATGGCCGTCGACTGTGCAATTAGCTAATCGGTGGCTGGGAGCGGTGAGAACCGCCCCGGAATGCGGGTGTACCTTGTGTACGCGTTGTGTTGGTCTCGCCGTGCTCGGAGGCGAGGGCGAACTAGTATGTTTGTTGTTGCACTAACTGTGGGTGTAGTGATATCCGGCGGGACCCTCGGCGGTGGGTCCGGCGTATCTAAGTCCCATTCCTCGACCGGGTCGTTGAGGACGTTTCGCGGGCGACGCTTGTTGACGTTCGCGTTTGTGTCGGGTTGGTAATTTGCTGCGCTTACCACCAGAGGGTTGGGATGATGTTCGGCTCTATCGAAGAACCGTTTGTTCAGGTCTTTAAAATATTCGCGAATCGTCGGGAGTCTGCAATCGCTGTGCAGGTCGACGTTGCGTTGATACCACTGCGCACCGGTTGCGCGGCGGATGAACTTATTTTGTATTATTTGCAACTTGTACAAGCGAGTAGGGTGCGTGTGGGCAAAGGTCATGCATGCGTAGGACATAATAGGTCGTACGCAGGTCTTATATAATAATAATTTGTGTCTTAAGGGCATTTTACTTTTATCTGTTTAGCCTTGAGCCGTAACGGGCGACAAAGCGCGCAGTAAAGTAATTTTGAATCTTAACGGCATGGAAAAAAACTCTGTTGCACTTAAATACGAATTACGGTATTAACGATGTCTTTAAATTTTGTTTAGCCTTGAGTTGGATTGCATTGGTACCTAGCGCGTAATAGTAAGGGATGAAAAATATACAATGGAAATTTTTTAGGAGGTAAATTTTTTGTGAATATTTTTATTAGTTAAATTTTATTCATATTTTTGGAAAAAAATAAAACTACATAAAAAGAAAATTATAATTTAATAGTGCTGTGGTGCTTTGGTGGAAGTCAGACCAAGGCTTATGTGCCTTGTGTGTATATTTTAAATTCATCCGCCCTAAGTTATAATACTGAATGTATTATTTCTTACACAAATTCTAAAAATATTGTCACTCATGATTGCGTGTTCTAAAAATATGTTAAAGTCAATTATTAAGCGATATATAAGATGTTAAAACAAATCATTTTTATATTACTTCAGTTTCTATTTTTAATGAAATTTTTAATTTAATCAGGTAATTTTGTTTGGTAATGTTTTAATTGTACCTTAATAGTATAAAAAATCGTTAGTCATTCTAGTGGGTTCTCGAATTTATTTAGGAGTATTCTTTTTGAAGAGTTGGTATCACTGGTAATAGTAATAGTAATGGTAATTTCATTGAATTTTTTTATCAGGAAATTTTTTTTTTCTTTTTTTTTTTAGAATTCAAGGTGGATACGGGGCCGTAAAATATCTAGATATTAAAATACATAGTTTCGAAATCTGATATTTGAAATCGATATCTGATTCAGATACGGTACTCAGAAAAAGCGATACGACCCATCTCTAGTGGTTTGGCCGTCCTGCGAATCGGCAGTGCTGCCATATGAAGAAAAAAATATGCATTAAGCCTTTAGCAAAATTACGCTATTTATACTAAAATATGGATGCTAACTTAGGAGTTTTTTTTTTGTAAATTTACACAGTAAATATTTTCAATAGAAATTATTTAGGAGGTTTTTTTTTAGAAATATTTTTAGAAATTAAATTTTATTCACATGTTAGAAAAAAATCTACACAGGACTAGGTACTTTATTTTAAACAAAAAAAAACGTGTGCATCCCGGGACGTCCGAGTGATGTGATAACTTAAACTAAGTTAAAAAAACTATTTTATATTGAAATAGTTTAACTTGAGAAAAGCTTAGGTTATTACTTAAATTTCATGTATATATGTATGATAATGTGAGGAAAGGTTATTTATTAATAAAAGCTTTTATCTAACAACAAGAAAACTCGCTATTTTCTTTTTTTTTCGAAACAACACGTAAGTCCATAATTATTACAACAACAACACTGACACTATTGGGCTACATCCTGCTTTGCAGACCTGCATGGCGGACTGCCAGGCAGGATAGTGAATGGGCCCCATAAGAATGTTCTCCACTCAACAAAAATCTAGCTAAAAAAAGATTATTTTAAATTCTTTTTCAAAAATATGAAACAGTATGATACGTTTTTGAAACTTAAAAAGTATAATTTGTTACTGAAAGTTTTTGAAACTTTTGAATAAGTGCAGTCCTTAAATAAGAGTTATTATATCATTATGAGCTTTCGTCCCATCAGCCTCCTCAATTGCTTGGGGTAGCTCTACGGGCGGCTATTATTAAACAGGCTCCTATCCCGATCAACTATACCGCTTAACGGAACATATTCTGAAAGGCCCAAATCATTCCAAACATGTAAGCTTGGGAGCTCTTTTCTTCGACGTCGGAAAAGCTTGTCCAATGGCAAGGTCTGGGACAACGGCTTGATTTACAAGTTGTTGGCTCGTGCACGCCGTCCGAGCCTTCCTGTCGAACCGCTCTTTTCGATATCGAGTTGAGGGCACCCTCTCTACAAGCCGCCGCCTCATGGCTGGCGTTCCACAAGGCTCCTGTCTCTCGCCCCTGCTTTACTCTCTACACGAGCGACATACCAAAAGACCCGCACGTCAACCTCGCGCTTTTCGTGGATGACACGGCGCTCTCTTACACAGATAAAAATCTTAATCAACCTGCTACTCGTCTCCAAAGCGCCGCCGACCGCCTCGGCGATTGGACGACGTTCACGTCGCATATTAACGTCATTAGAAACAGAGCTGCGTATTTCTCCGGCCGGCTTTATCACCTAACCAATGCGTCAATTAAAATACCATAAAGACACAAATTATTTACTATCATGTAAGGCGTAAGACCTATTAAGTCCTACGCGTGCATGACCTACGCCCACATAAACCCTACTCGCTTGTACAAGTTCCAAATAGTACAAAACAAGTTAATTCGCCGCGCAACCGGTGCGCAGTTGTATATCAACGCACCGTCGAACTGCACAGTGACTGCAGACTCCCACGCGCGAACATTTTAAAGATCTCGCCAAACAGTTCTTCGACAGAGCTGAACATCATACCAACCCTCTGGTGGAAAGCGCAACAAATTACCAACACGACATTAACGCGAACGTCAACAAGCGTCTCCTGCGCAACGTCCTCATCGACTCGGTCAAGGAAGGGGACTTAACTACGTCAGACCCACCGTCGGGGTTCCCGCCAAATAACACTACGCACTCAGTTAGTGCATCAATAAACACTTCATTCGTCCTCACCTTCGAGCACAGCGAAATCAATACAACACATACTACAACATTAGATACATCCGCGTTCCAGGGCGGTTTTCACCGCCCCCAGCCATCGACTAAGCAAACACAGTCAACGGCCACAGGTCATGGCTTGCACCGAACCTTGAAGGTCAGTGGGCAACTTGCCTTAATTAACGCACGCATGAGTACATGCGCGGCCGGCCCTACCCACTGAGGAAGTGGAGCTCAAACCCGTGGGTTCTGACTAGCCCACTGGTTCTGCGTTCGATGAAGCTTTAATAGTCTAAGGACTGAAAGCGTAACATCAGTTATACATACAAATAGATAATAATGTTTTTATTACATAAATTATTAAGCATATAACAAAATAGTTATTCTATCTTCTTATTGAGAACTATGTAAGTGCTTGAGATATGTAAAACACACGTCCGTTCTTTACTGGCTTTATTTGGAGACTGTCGGTGCCGGTACAATAAAACTTATGTCTACGTACGTTACCCTTATTTACCGTACGATTTAACAGAAAAACATTCTCAACTAATAATAAACTAATTTGCTGCTATTATCTTAGTAATATAATCTTAAATTACATTTACATTGGTGCTATCATCTAATCTATATTATAATAATGACCAAATGTGGGGGCCTTGACAAGCTTTGCTCGCCTTTCGCCTCTGGCTTCTTTGCGTAGGCGATATTCCATATTAATTATCACGAATCAAGCGGGCCTGATAACAACGCACAAATCTGTCACTGTTTAGGAATATAGATTTGTTTACGCTAGGATATTCGGATGTTACTAACTGCTTTCTGGTTTGGAAATTATGTTTGTTTTTTGTCACTGACTCACAAATTGTATCTGATATTTTTTTGTAATTAAGATACTTATTTTGTAGTATTTTCTAAATACTTGAACGTAAAAAAATATTAGATTCGGTACGAGCTTTTATAGTATTTATTACAAAAAATGCGTCGATAGAATTAAATAGAATGAGAACGATTGGATCTCAACAATCTAATGAAAACCAAACACGACTTAGTGCTGTTGCCTTAGACTACATTCATTATCTCGCACATTAGAGTCATGCACAATGGGCAGGCTCGTCAGGGTAAGTACCACGACCTCACAGAAGACCGGCGTAAAGTGTAAGTATAATAAATACTTTCGCGTTTCATCTGGTGAGTGAGGTAACCGAATCTTCAAAAGGTTGTCAACACATCTGCAACCCTCGAGTGTAGCAGATGTCCATGGGCGGCGGCATTCACTTAACATTTTTATGTGATATTTGATTTTTGTTCACTTATATATTAAATAAAAGTAACTTTAGTTGATGCCATTAAATACCATTCTAGTTAGCGAAAATACTGGTCATAGACCACAGTCTTTTCCGTTCATTTTTATTTTTTACAACTTTGAATCAGTTTGAATAAGAATATCGTTTTTGATACGATTTCGATATTCAATTTTTTATATCGATATATCGGATAAAAATATATCGGCCAAAAAATCGATATATTTAAAAAAAATCTATATATCAATTTTTTTCGGCAAGCCCTACACACTATGTAGGGCTTGCCATGCTACGTACATTGTACGATACGAGTGTAGCCACTCGGCACTATAAGCAGTAGTTTTTAACTTTTAGTTTAGGCATTAGATATACTTGCAACATTCTATACCCGGCCTCAAAGGTACGGGTATCGCTGTATACCCGGTGCTAAAACCCAGTATCAAAGTTATGTTCAGGCCTCCTTTTGGAGACCCGGTATGGAATTGAACCTTTCTTTGGTTGGAATTGGAACATTTAGATGTTTTTTCAGCAATCAGTTTTTTTAAATTGAGATTTAATCAGTCTAAAATAAGCTCCATTTTTACTAACGTAAAGAACCCTATTATCAAAAAAAGTAATTCAAAATAAATATTAGAGTTTAACCTTATTACGCAATTATTTATTTAACCTATGGTCATAGAAATAAAGAATAAATTTATCTCAAGGGATTATTTGGTCTAAAATGCCTAAATCATACGTTTCAATTCGGGCATGATCGGGAAGAGCCGCCGTAAGCGTTCGGGGAACTTCCTACCTATTCGGCCGGCGGGTTGTTGCGAGCGTTATATACCGCTACCGTCGAACGAGGCGGCCATACCTATCGGGTATGGAACGGGCCTCTGGCGTACATACCCGGTGTGCGTACTGGTATGTTCATACTGGGTATTTATACCTGTTCCAGTATATACGCCTCATCCCTATTTTAGTTCTCATTGACATTCCATTCAGATATTCAGTCTCCTCTCTCTCACCAAACGTAGTGATTACATTCTCTTTGTCTCTCACACCTTAGGAATTAAGTATAAATGTCAACTGATTCCTGTATAATAGTATAATACTTTTACTTTATATTCAATTCATCGTTTGTGTATTTGTATTAATAAATTGGAATAATATCTTAGTGTTATCAATAAACCAACAAGACATAACAATGTGTGGAGGGTTTACGTGTTCTAAAAACGCTTTGATAGCCTTAAATGTTTTGTATGTGGTAAGTTTTTTTAAAACTTTCAATTGTGAATGGTAATCTTGAAATTTACGTTGTTCATTGTGATGTATTTTCTTAGGTGGTGGCTTCTATACTTATATCTGTGGCGGTGTACGGACAAGCATCATCCCTGGTCACCAATTTGCCTATTGTAGGAGGCATCCTTGCGTGTGGAGTCTTTCTAATCCTTATATCTTTGCTGGGATTAGCTGGCGCAGTCAAGCATCATCAAGTCATGCTGTTTTTTGTATCCTTGATTATTTTGTTTCATTTTGGTTTTCTTAGAAATTTTTATGTCTTTATGAATTTGTATGACCATATTATGTCAATAGGCTCATATAAAATAAGTATTTTAACATTTTATTGTTTAACATAATATCCATTCTATTTTCATATTTGAATGCTAAATGAAAGTCTTTACCAATTTGTCACAATTTAATTTGATATTTCCAATAAACACTAACCTTGAGTTTTGGATGTCTATATGACAATAATAAGCTCAGTTTATGTTAACTTCTTAGCATTAAACATAATATAAAATACTTAAAATCATTTACCCTTAATAATTAATTTTCAATAAAACAACTATGAAACTAAGGTATTACGGCTCAGCTTTCCATTGACATAGTCGAGTTGCAGGTTGATATTTTTTTATTATAAGCACACACGCAAACAGCACAAGTTTCAAAACAGCACAAAAAATATATTTAAAACTTGTTAGTTTCACTAAGAAAGTCTGCTATTTTATTTTATTTGCCTTCAAAAACTCAATACACAGAGTATAATATAGGAAGCGAGCAATGTCATATTTGTATTGATTTTGAAACTCTTTTTTATGTCTGATTTCTCACGTGAACATAACAAGATTAAATTTTTTATTTTTCGTTTTTTTTCTACACGTGACCGGAGAATTCTACTTGTTGATTATTTAATTTGTGGTTTTTATAGAATGAATAAAATATTTTTAGGTCGAAAAAACTTGGCACTAATGTTTTGAAAATTTTACCAAAATTCCTCAAAATTAGATATTAAAAAATGTGAAAATCTGGGGGCTTCAAAACAATTTCTTTTAAGGGGGGGGTAATACCCCTCCCCTTTCCCATAGCACCCATTCCGGCCCACAATTCGATGGATGTCAATGCAAAGTTGTACCTTCAATACATAAAACTTTATAAAATACATTATACAATTGTAAAAAAATAATTTTTAATTAACTCATTTCTTCAGTATATGCTGATATTATTTCTACTATTTCTTGTGCAATTTTCGGTGGCCTGTGCATGCCTGGCCGTCAATTCAGATCAGCAAGAAATTCTAGCAAAACAGGTAAAGCTTTTTTTCCCTCAATTTAATGTTTGTTGTATCATTTATTACTGTTGTGTTGACGTTGTGGCAATATTGTGATATTGTTTTTTTAATATAATAATAATATTATAATAATATAAATTTCTATTTATGATAAAATTTTAGTATTCAAAAAGTTTAATGAAATCATGCGCTAAGGAATATACATTCTATCTTTGTGAATTCATTGTGAGTGTGTATTGAACTAAATTTTATATATATTAATTGTCATACATTAGATTTAAAACAATCAGTTTGATAACTGATGTGATTGCAGACTCCATTGTGCAGTTATCAAGGTATTGGCTTTGGAGTGGGGAGTAGTGGGTTTAGTTCCCACATGAGAACTATTTGTGTGACCTGCAGATAATTATTTTCATATTTGGGTGTTCATGAGAAATTTATAAAATATGTAAAACATCCTCATAAGGATGTATATGTAATGTAATGTATATAATGTTGGATGTATATGTAGATGTAAAACATCCTTATAAGGATGTTTTACATATACAGGAAGACTTTTTAAAGTTGCCCAAATTTACACAGGAGGTTCAGACTCGGTATTAAAAAACAAACTGTTTTTTTTTAAGAATTACCATTCTATTCCCTAAATAAAAGAACTTGTTGACAACGCGGTAGTCATTAATAAATACCTAAATTTTACTGTTTATGCACACAAACGAACTTAGTGCGATCTAGTTATGAATGATTGCGCGTGAAGTAAATGAGTTGCGTATAAATCACGCACTTTTTGAGATAAATTCAAATGAATGTAATTAATTACTTACAAGTGATTTAAAATATTTATCATTTTTCATATAACATTATTTATGTCTAGAATTTAATTAAAAAAAAAATGGATACACTTAGAAAAAGCCTCCCTGTATAACACACGATAAGATTCTTTCTAGGTTGCAGTGGTTGTTGGGACTTACTATCCAACTCCTTTCACAAAAAATATAATAGAATACATAGTGTGATCTCTCCAAGTTTGTATTTTATATGTCAATTATTTAAATGTTGTCTGGGTCTTTCTATAGGTATGGTTCTTATTTAAAACGAGTACTCTTTTTACTATACAGTTTACTCACCTCACCATGTATATCAAACCACAAAGTAACAGAGTATAAAGCAGTAACAATGCATGCAGCACCAATCTTTTATCCATAGCTATTATAAGAATGTTTCCAAATTCACTTAATTTACTATCTCCAGAAATACCTTTTATGAAACCAGACTATGGATTAATTAGTATTAGTTTTATACATAGAAATAAAGTGTAGTACACAATCTGTTTTCAAAAAGCTAGGGATTGTAGATGATTAGGGAATATGTACCATGACAATTATTAACTTTGTAAAGTAACAGCCTATATATGTCCCACTGCTGGGCAAAGGCCTCCTCTATACAGAGGGTATCAGGGCATAGTCCACCACGCGGCCCCACTGCGGATTGGCGGACTTCACATATCTTCGAAATATTTTTTTTTTGTTATTGTCGAAAATATGCAGGTTTCCTCACGATGTTTTCCTTCACCGCGGAGCACGTGATAAGTCAGCACTTAAAGTTAAAAACTTCATGGGTGTCGGCACCGGGGATCGAACTCGGGTTGCTCGAGTATATTGAATTAAAGGCGAGCGCCCGGACACTGAGCTATCACGGCTTATCTTAACTTTGTAAATAGTGATAATTATATAGCATTTTCCAATTTTTAATAACTTGTGGTTGTAATAAATTGTTTTATAGGGGTGGAACAAAGTTAATATGGATGTCAAAGAGCAAGTTCAGGAGAGGTTTAAATGTTGTGGGTTCCAGGATAGACTTATCCCTATAAACGGCACGGCAGACTTCCCTTCATGTGATATAGTCGATGTAAGAAACAATTACAATTTTTAAATAGATTAATATAAAGAATTGATTGGAATGAAATAAAAGAAAAAAAAATATTTTTTTAAAATGAATAACCCTCTACTAAAGTATGAAAATATTATTGGAACATCAGGTATATTTTAACAAAGAGTAAACAGCAAAAATGCAAAAACTAATAAATAGACGAAATTAAAAAAAATCCAAAGAATTATTATAAGAATTATTTTAAAATATTAGTAATAAGACTTATTGTTATTATTTCAGAGATATTGCTGCAGGAATATGGCAATTTCACCGAATTGCCAATGTGAACCCTGCATGGAAATGTTAAAAGAAACAATTGATTATGCATTCAAACTTTGCGGTGGTATTGGATTATTCTTTAGTTTTACAGAGGTAAGTGTTTTTATTCAAAATATTGAAAAATATTAATCTTTCTCTGTAATTTGCTTGATTCTTTGTAGAAATAATATCACATCAATTCTTTTGTGGTATCTATTGGTATCTTTATCAAGTTTTATGGAATGTTTCTTACACATATGTCATGTATACAGGGCGGCTTTTCTAAGTCTGTCCATTTTTTTTTATTAACTAGACATAAATAATGGAATATACAAAATATTAAATATTTAAAATCACTCGTAATTAATTAATTACAATCATTTGAACTTATCTCAAAATATGCGTGATTTATGGGCCACTCATTTATTTTATGCGCGATCATTCATAACTAACACGCACACAAGTTCGTTTTAAAAGTATACGACGCATTTATAAATGACTACCGCATTGTCAACAAGTTCTGTTTTTTTAAGGAATAGAATGGCATTTTTTTTTTGAAAAAAAAAGTTTATTTTTAAATCAATAAACGATTATACTATCGAGTCTGAACCTCGTGTAAATTTGGGCACCTTTGTAAAAGCAACCCTGCATATAACCATATTCTGTAACAAAAGATTAAAAATTTTACACATTTAGTACTATACAATTAATGAAATACAATTGACCAATTACCTTTGTGCTTAAATATTTAAATTTTTAAATAAATAGCAAGTTTTGTGAAACAATTCGACTTTCAATAATGTTTTTTTTATTAACACTAATAAAGTCACCATGCAATGACTGTTCTGATTTGAAAGAATTTTATGTGTGTATTTGAATGGAGAAATACATTTGTAAAAAGTATGCACGGTTAGAGAACCTTTTTAAAAAGAGAGCTTTTTACATGTTTTCTTATACTTAAACAAAAATTCAATCTAGTGAAAATACCATTTTTACTTTTTACTTTCATTATAGAGATATTATCATGCTATTAATAATTCTTTAATTTTTTACAATTATACTATACAACTCTTACGACCAATACAATAGCTACATATTGTGTGGGATAACTCAAAATGTGACTAACATTTCCGTGATTACTTTACAGTTTCTGGGTGTGTGGTTGACTGTAAGATATCGTAATCAAAAGGATCCCAGAGCTAACCCAAGTGCATTTCTGTGAATAACATTGGCTAAAAAGGATATGTATTTAAAGGTGGATTGCATATTGGTGTGCTTTTTAACGCTTTGCCTGTCTTATGTGGAAATTATTGCATGTCATATGCATGCATGATGTTGCATTGATTTTTTACAAATTCATTAACCTTCAAATTACTAACTATAACATCAGTCAGTCTGTTTTCGAATTCAACCATTTGGTATTGAGTTTAAGTGGATATATATCCTAAAGCATTTGCAAAATGCAAATCTAATGAGATAAATACAAAATTGCTTTAGGTGTTTGTTACTAAAATTAGGTTATTTAGTAATTAGCAATGTATGCATAACATTACAGTTCTGTTAGAGCAATGGAGGTCTGCTTTGAATAGCCTTCACATATTATATTTTTCAAAGGTTAATTTGTTGATTCCATAATGTAATGAAAAATCTAACACTATCAATATTTACATTATATATTAACAATTAATACATATGAATTTAAGTAATGTCATGTTTAAACTCTTCATGAGTTATGTTTACTTTTCTAAGCTTTTATCATCCACATATAATATACACATAGTGTACATTTACATTAATGTGTACATGAAAAAATTTTATACATACATTATAAAATTCTTTTCTTTCACACACATCAAAACTAATGTTATAAGAGGTAAAATAAATATTTTTTAAGCTTCCATGAACAAACATTACAAACTTAAATGAAACCAACTATCATGACTTTTCACGTTAATTCATGGATACGGGGCGGATTATTCGTCCATGAATTATTTTGACTATTTGAATTGCAAAGTAATGGTTATTATAACCATTTAGATTCCAGTTTCCACTACTTGGCTACTTAATTTGATTGGTATTCCTTACTCAATTTTTCTTATATCTCCTATCTTACAGGGTGGTATATGAGGCCAATCCTTAATATTTTTGGTATCACAAAGGATCTTACAATCTACATTACCTAGTAACTTATGTAAATTATCCAATCCTTACCATTTATAGATACCTATAGGTTTAATGATTTTACATACATCCTTAGGGAGAAAGACTATTCAAACTTTAACTTTACTTTTTAAAAATATAATATTTTTACATATAACTACTGTGTTCAGTTCTGTATAGGGCGCGTAAATTTTAGAATTCAACCAATGAAGAAAAGAGACGCGGACGACGTTAGCAATAAGATATAAAAAAAGTAGATGTTCCTGTTCTTAGTTTACATATTATTATTTACTTACGACATAAATTATCAAGTCAATGACGCAGTCCGCTGTGTACACTCTGGCTAAAGTATTTTAAATAAGCAGTAGATATGTTATGTTATGTTTGCATGTAGATTATAAGATACAGATATCAGATACAGTTATCAGATACAGTTATCAGATACAGTTAACATTTACTATTATGAACTGGTTTTTATCAATATTATTTCTTTTGTATGGTCACAATTAAAGCCAGATCAATTATTAACTAAAAGGTTTTGTATTTTAAGCATGTATTGTGTAGATTTTTTTTTCGTTTCTGAATGAGGATGACGAAATTTTTTTCTTTTTTATCGGTTATCATTATGCTAATTCTGATAGGGATATTAAGTTGCTTGTTCCTAGTTGATATTGGTAGTAAGTACACTGCGTTGTTTTGATTAAACATTTCTTGTGTGATGTACATAAGAAATGTTTTTATTTGTATCATGGGTGAATCTCACAATTTTCAAAACATAAACTTGCAATCTTAATTTAGTTGGTTTTAAACCAATACAAATGGGGTATATTATAACTGAAACATAATATTATTTATATTTCTAATCTGCACTATGCTTTTTCATTTTTTTAGCTATTAAATTTTACATTGAACATCTAATAGCACTTGCATGCTTTTGCAAGCTGTTTTCTTTCACTTATTATATCGTATTTTATGCATGAACATGTGATGTAAGGCGTCTCTGTGCCCGTGATCTTTGCTATTTCCAATAACTATTTGCCAAAATCTTTACAAAGTTGGTTTTCAAGAGTATCCGAAAACTCGCCACGCGCCACAATGTCACTCGTTTATTAACATAATTTAAAAAAAAATCATTAGTTATTTCGCTGGTAAGGACCTGACATTGAAATCACATAATTATGTATCTTGTTTCTAGTCTATAATTGTACCATTAAATGGGATATTTTTTCGATTAACAGTTTAAATGTATTCTTCTTTATCTGTTCCCAGCTGTTCGCTGTTTGGCTCGCCCGACGCTATCGCAACCAGCCCGACCCCAACTATAAGGAACCGCACGCAATCTTCCCCAGGAAGAACTATCTCTATTGACTTTCGTTTAACTATATTAGGCAATTCTTTTCGTAGGCTTTAACGCAGTTTTCCATGCGACTGGTCATAGGATAAACTTGTGATAACGTTACTAAGTAAACATCATAACTTACTATATAATACATATTAAAATTTTTGGAACTCCATTTTGGAACTCCATAATTCTTAAGTACATCTGTGCAGATCGAGAGATTAGACAATGCTACTTGCCAATAATCATAAAAAAATTAACGTTAAAAAAATCCATATTTAAAAAAAATGTTTTTAAATAATTTAAAAAAAACAAAATTTGTAATTAAAGACTGACATTCAGTACATCTGTGTCCAATCCATATAGATTTGATTATATAACTTTCTGTGACTATAAATTAATTCGGGATCATATCTAAAATTTTATGAAAATTTATACTTTTAGCAGGTAAATCTTTAATACACTTTTAAAAAGTTATTCTCTATAAGGTAGGTTTTGGAGTTTAATGAGGTCAGGGATTTTCATAGGATAAATTCGAACACGATCGCGATCACGGATCATTCAAATGTTATTGTCACTACAATATCAGACTGACGAAAAAATAATACAACGCTCGTGTTAGATTTCAATTTTAAATACGCAATTCCGCTTCGTGATAACATTTGTGCGTTGTATTTAATATTTATTATTAAAATACAACGCACAAAAAGTTATCACTTAAAGTATACTAAGCGGCCTAAATTGTTAATAGGCGTCTTCAATGATAAAATAATGGTTGGGGTTCATAGAGATAAACATACATTATCATGAAAGCGAGGCAACCGCGTGACAGAAAAAAAATTTTTGACCGTAGATTGGTCTCATAGCTTTATTGTATAAATATCTATAATTAGTTCTATGTTTATTAACTTACCAATTTATGTAGTAGTTGCAAATTAATTTGATATGATTGGCATTAGCGTTAAAATTTGTTATAAGTAACGTTAAAAATATTTTAACATTATTTCTTTGTTGGTGAATTTCATGCTTATGAAAAAGACGTTGGGTTTTATTTTGATAACGGTGTGAAATGTTTAAGTTTAAATTCAATATCAACTACAATGAGCTTATACTAGTTTCTTTTAATTTTTTAACGACGCATAATATTGGAGATATAATGAAGAAATTGGCACTGTAACATGAAAAAGTCGTGTTTAATATAATTAATAGTACCTGCCTATTGACAGAAATACGGTATTGAACAAAAAAAAAAAAATATTCGATTTACGGTTTCATATCACTTCAATGTTAGCAAAAAGAAAGTTTAAAGTAGACGTTTAAAATAGTTATCACATTTTGGATAAATACAATTAGACAGATTGTTCATTAATATTTAAAAAAAGATGCATAATCTTTCTATTTAGTATAACTATTTTTATAATAAACAATAAATATATCCAATCGCTTTATGAAAATATTGTCTTTTCGGTCATCTTTTCTTGTTTCTTAACTTGCTCAATAGATTAATTAATCTAGGTTCTTTAAACGCAATGAAATAGAGGCTGGAAATTTTAAAAAGATGAAGAGTTTCAAATTGATCTGCTAGTCATTAAATTAGTTAGGTATCTTTTCTTGTCTGCCATTTTTATTTGTCGAATAATTGTGTGAATGGATCTTTGAAATGTAATAAGTTTTTTTTTCCAAAAAAAAAGTATAGTTTTCCCGTTTTTTCATTTAGCGTCTACATTTTTTAATTATGCTTCAATGTAGCTTTAATTAGTTTATTTCAGCAGTGTGTCGTGTAATGAAATTGTATTTTTTTACATTTTATTTTAATGTATTATTGTGTATTTAAAATGTCAATGAAAACTAAAAAAATAATGCCAATATTGCCTATGAAGCTTTTGAGTGAATGTACTATGGAATAGTTTGAAAATCATCTTTACAATGAGTTGCTTATAGTATATTGACCATAAAATGTGCTCTGTATTACCTTTCGACTAGTTCTCGTGTAATAAGAAAAAACTATGTACATAATATACTTATGTAACACATATTTGTGAATAAAGTGTGTTGAGCATTATATTTCTTTTGAATTTACCGTTATTGTCGTAACAAAAATAGCATTCCTTCCTTCCACAGATATCTCGTTAATGTCGTTATATTAAATTAAATATAACTTTGTTATTTATATATATTAAAACATCGTTGTTTAAGCGATAAGAGTTTGCCTGTTGTATGTACCCATGTGTCTTTAATTGCTACTGTATGTCTCTTGATGTACAATAAAGTAAATTTTACTGTAAGCTACAGGCTTCGGATAAGTAGATAATTGAAATGGATCTGACTGTCCACCTAGTTGGGATAAGGCAATAATTAAGTCATATTATACTTAAAATTGTGTTTTGTATAAGTACTACATTCACCGTCATGGCTGCACGTCCTTAATCAATTTGTTTTTAGTTGTTTTTCAGTCTTTGATTTTAATTAAATATTATACCTTTAAAGCGTTAAAATGAATAATTATGTTTTCAATGACAATTAGCAAATAAAATACAATTTATTGGCTCGAAAAAAAAACAAATTAATTATTTAATAAAAAATAAACTCAGATTTTTTTGCACCAAATCAATTTCTTAACGCGCCATAGATTAAAACTTTCGCTACTGAACCTGGTAGACACAACAGATTGGGCACAAAGGGATGGACAAATAATGCATTATAATCTATCGTTAAGTTTTTGATTATTGTTGTGGGATGATGATTAACTGTGCTAGGGCCACGCAACAGTGTTTCACTGTTGCACAAATTGGCAGGTCCGTCCGGGTTAGTACCACGACCTCACAAAAGACCGGTGTAAAGTAGAAGTGTTATACTTCTGCGTTTCGTCTGGTAAGTGAGGTAGGCGGAGCCCACTTTATTTAACCCTACCGGTTTTTAACTTCCATGGGCGGCGGTCATCACTTAACATCAGGGGAACCGCCAGCTCGTTTGCCAATTTCTGGGTTTTTCAAAAAGGTGGTAAGCGCATACGGGGCAAGTGTACAATAATAATAGTAAGCGGTAGTATAATCGTTTATTTATTGAAATAAAAACATTTTTTCAAAAAAATTGTTGACTATGCGGTAGTCATTCATAAATGCGTCGTATACTTTTGAAACGAAATTGTTTGCGTGTTAGTTACGATCGCACGTAAAATAAATCTTGAAATGAGTTGCCCATAAATCACGCACATTTTGTGAGATAAGTTCAAATGTAATGTGTAATTAATTAATTACGAGTGATTTTAAATATTTATCATTTTTTATATAACATTATTTATGTCTATAATTTATTTAAAAAGAAATGGATACACTCAGAAAAATCTCCCGGTATAATACCTACACGAATTACACAGCTTAGAAAAGGGTTGTTTTTTTGGACGATAAAGTCTTAGAATAATTGATAATTTCTGATTTAAATATTCCATGCATATAAAATCCTATGCTTGGCAAAAGTTATGTCCTTGCAACGCTGTCTACGCTTATCTTAATCAGCGAGTTATCTTCCGATAAGCTTATGAAAGGGTACTCGATCTCGTTGATAACGATTCGCTATTTAATTTTCCGATGAAACTTTGTAAGTCCTAATGTTTAAAAATAATGGTTTTCCCTATATATATTTGCGTACGTATTTTTTTTCTAGTTTTCTCAGTTTAAATGTTTGATTGAAGATGGTAATGATGGTACAATTAATAGTATCTTTACATTATTACTGATATAAAGCAGTTTATCTTTGAATAGAGAAATAGGCTGTCATGTTACGCTATATTTATCACTAGCAATGTACGAGGATATAAGTATAGCATACGTGAGATATTATCTCTCGGCTGGTTTCGCTTGGTTCGCTGGTTTACGCAAATTATCTAATCTCTATCTGCGGTTTTTGTCGTTCCATTTTATCGTACAGTGTTAAATGTCCTTCGTTAGGCATCGGTAACGCCGGCACGTTAACGAAGCTACTGCGCAAGCTTTCGGCGTCTAACGCCCGCGCCCTGCCGTCGCTGGGCGGAAAACTCGAACAGTAGAATTTAGATGTTCGTGACGCTCTCTTCTGACTAAGCATCGATCCGTATCTTGCTGCGTTACAATATAATATATATTATCATCTACAGCTTCTGTGTAGTGTAGTAAGCTGCAATGTCTTTCGATAACGATGAACTCCGTGACGAGTGAGTATAAATGCGTTTTCAGTAATTATTTTTCTCAATAAGATCTCATTTTACACTAAGCTATCTCTTACTCAATGATATATTTTATGTGTATACTTTAATTGAACAGTGATATCATGATTTTTTTAAATATTATATATTAACGTACCAATAATTTTATTGACGTTTTCTCTTATTTAAGTTTTTAAATGTTTAGTTTACTACGTAACTATCGTTCACTCAAAATATTACATCGTTAAAATCATATGTTTAAACAAATTATCGTATAATTATACCTACTTATACATATATTATGTTCTATAAATTCTGAGTGGAAAGTAGGTGAACTTGACTTGACCGCTTTTTCACGTTAACCTACTTAAAAGCCTCAGAAGTCCTGAGGCAAATTTGAACAATGGTCGCTTACTGATATAAAAAAGCTCGAAATTATTCATTTCGACATAAAAAAACTTACGATGGCGAAATATGATATAAAGAGTTTAGTAGTAGAGTTTAGTTCGTATAGTAATTAAATAATAGTTTTAGAAAAATTATTGTTGTAAATTATTATCAACATTTATCCACGGAATAAAATATAACTGTTTAGTAGCCACCGAAAGTTCTATGGAGCTTTCGGTGGCTCTATCTGTATTACACGCATGGAGTTAAATGTGGAATTAAGAGCAGCATGGCATGAATTTCCTCCATAGTACAGAACATCTTCACTGCTTGCTTGAACCACAAAATTACTCTTATCTATCTTTTTTTACTCTTAGATTAAATTTTATTCTATCAATATTGGCCATGTTTCAAATGATTTTTCAGATTTATGTCTTCATAAATTTACGTCATTTAACTAAAAAGCCCTTTGATTAGCGTTAACGTCCTTAATTAAGTTATCCCGCCTTCAACATAAACTAAACGGACAACGAATTACTTTAGGCTTATTTGGGCTAGTTTCGTTAAAATTTCATCAAAGATGACCGATTTTGCTATTTCAATGATGTGCAAAGTTTGTTTCAAGAATGCTGCATGAAGTTTTTCAAAAATCTTTAAAACTATATTTAATATTTATATTCCGTAATGGTGAAGCAATATACTCGAGCAACCTGAGTTCGATCCCCGGTGCCGGCACATTGATGCACATTTAATTTTAGGTGCTGAATTATTATTATTAATTATTATTAAAAAAGTATTTCGAAGATATGTGGGCTAATTCTAAAAACATAAATAAAGTTTTTAAGTGTTTTTTTTGTATGTGGAGTGAAAACAAACGTGTTTTTAGGTTTTTTAATATATTTCGTATATTACTTTTACATGTGGTTAATTTTGTTTAATTTACTAAATGTAATGTGTCTAATGTTATTATTCAATGCAGGATATTTGATATTATATATGCCTCTAGTCTCGGGCTCATAGAATAGGACTAAGGTATCTCTTACAGGTAAAACGCGACTAAATTGTTACAAGATGGTGAGGGAATCGGAGATCGGATAGAAGGAAATCCCGGAGTCCCTCCAAACTTACAGAAGGTGGCCACCGAGGGGTTTCAGTGGGTACGAACCCCACATAACCCTGTCATCTCTTGAAGATTTCCTCCCGATAATAACTATAATAAAAAAGGAAATTTGACAAAATTATTTCTCACTCGCATTAAAACCGTATGTTTACAAGGTTTAAGAGGTTAACATGATTTAGGTGCTGAGGTCATATGGCTTAAATCTTATTAGGTCGATAGTTTTAAAAAATAGTTTTTATTTAAATTAATATATTTAAATAACTATTTAAGTACTATGATATATAACAAAATTGAAATATTTATGGCCTACATCATAACGGATGAAATCAAAAATTGTATTACAAATCTAGATACCTGGTGTACATCTCCATTGTCATATTGTGAAAATTAATTTCTTTCATAAAAAATTCAGAAAAAATAGAAAATATAAAACACTAAAGTAAAAAATTTTTTTGTATGTTTCGATACTGTATTCATATTATTTTTCTTTTTAAGTTGCTTTTGAAAAATTTGCGTAAATAGTTAGGCAAGATATCTATATCGTCTTTAATTTGCGTTGTCTTAAAGGTCAAATCGCACTTAACCTAAACAATAAACACTGTTATCGTCCGATCAAACGTTCGTCGATCAAATCGGGATCATAAACTATGTGCGTAAGGGAACGAATATATAACATATTTTTTTAAATATAGTGGAACAAACAATAAGAGAATCATTCAATTAAACGCAGTGGTAGGGGTTCGATCCGATTAAGAGAGACAAGATCATACGTTGTCTATCTACTCTGTGAACTATCTCACACATATCATAGTTAGTTTAGTTACTCAATTGTGAAACGTTGTGGCTGAACGTCGTCGCGTGTGGTGTTAAATCTAATATCGTATTTAAATTTTGATTGATTAATTTACAATTTTTGTGTTTTTATCGTGTGCACTTGGTAAGTAACTTATTAAATTACAGTGTTACATGTAGGTACACCTTGTTTATAAGCAATAACATGTATATTCTTTATTCATTTTTTGTGACACCGAGACGCTTAATGTTTATATTGAAAAGTTAATATAAGGTCACAGAATAAGTTATGATAACTTTAAATCTCATGTGCCATAAAATAAACTGCAAAATTTATTCAATGCCTTTTGAACAATAATTCTTGTATACAGAGGAATGCAGTTAGTTATCGATGACCTTGCAGCTATACAAGCAAATAAAAGTGCGAACAATTGCGCTTTTTCAATAATTGGCCTTAGAATGTCGGTTAATATTGAAAAAAACTTTTAAGATATGTTATGGATTATACGAATTATGCATCATTTGTTAACAAACTTTATACTATTAGTTGAACACATTTCATTAAAACGTAATCCATTTTAAGGGCTATCTAGTCAAGGAGCTCCTATGGTATTTTTTATTATAAGAAATAATTGTAGCAAGAACTCAAACCCTCCGTGTTAAATGAATTAACAGATCAGTAAATTGATTTACACTTAATTTTTTTATTTTGTTTTAGTTTGTTTTTGTTTAAAAAGTCAAACCATCGTAATATGCCGTGCAATTGCGAAGACGATAATGGATTTTCGGAGCATCAAAATGGATGTCAGCTGAGAATTAACACAAACAGAACTTCAACGGAAGGTTTTAATGGCTACAGCAAAATGTATGAAAATAGCGACACTTTAGTTGAAGAAGTGGATCATAGCTCAGTTAGGTTGGCAAAATTATTTAAGAACTTTAAAAATTATATAAATATTTGACTGCAGCGTTGGTTTTGGTCATTAATTAATATGGATGGCCTGTCTTCGTTATGCAGACATTAATAGTGATTCCAATGATATTATAGTTCCATGATGGTATAAAATATCATTAAGCGATTCAATCTCATCTCAGTACGTTTTGATCAAACGAGTTTCATTGGTGTGCAATTTTTATTCATACACTAGCTGACCCGGCAAACGTTGTTTTGCCATATAAATTATTTAAGGGTAGAAAAAAAATGTTTGAAGTTGACCACCCTTAACATTTAGGGGGATGAAAAATAGATGTTGTCTGATTCTCCACCCTGGCCGATATGCACACAAAATTTCGGGAACTGCTCCGTTTCGGAGAAGTTCAATTACAAACACCATGACACGAGAATTTCATATATTAAATGAATTTTATCCAGTTCTTCCCTGTTCTTAAGGTAAATATTCAACGAGATATAATTTATGTGAATAATTCTTTTCATACCTGTTGGCCAGGATAAAGTTGCTAGGCTTATTCAATAATCTTCCTAATAATAGGTTTTGCGTGTGATCGATCAAATTATTAAAATTAATGTTTTAGAAGAATAAGAAAAATTTTGTTTTAGACTTTATTTCTACTTACTTACTTATTACTTTATTACTCCATTTCTACTTACAAATAGTCTATGACCTGAAATTACTGTAACTAAGTCCTTTATCTATAATTATGTAAGTCAAAAAATATTTTAAGCAATATGTAAATGCAACCAAGACAGAACAGGTACTTAACATTTACTTTTAAATTTTGCCTTTGCATAAAGAAGTTGGTATTTAGACTGCAATTTTTACAAGGTCTCATATCGTAGCTGCCTAGCGGTATCGTAGGTAGCATATCTCTATCGTTGCGGAGACATAATGAAAGAGTAAAGACTATATAATGTTTTTCCTTTTTCATATCCGATGTGATGTGATCGTACTAAGCAGTTGCGTTAGATTTTAGATGAAATAATATCATCTTTACGCGTATTACCCTACGTTAAGAAAGTAACGTAAAGTGCGTTAATGGGTAAAGAATACAATTTATTAAACAGTGCAAAACAAGCAAAAATAAAATGGTAGCCAATGGTAATTAAAAATGTTCCTCTCTTCTTATACTTCTTTAAGCGGTCAAAATATTAGTCATTATAGTTTTATCCAAGAGCGCGTCTCATAATCAATTCTCATTTGGGATTCAAGTTTATTCAATGGCGTATACTATTTTTTTTTTGCGAAAACAATCTGTCCGTTGTTAGAAAATGGAGCATATTATTGAACGCAACTGTTGTGTATTGTGCTTAAAATTGCAAGCAACAGAGAAATTAAAGTTTCAATTTCTCATGAGTTACTATTCACGAAGCACCGAGACGATAACACCTATTGTTGAGTGTTCATTTTAACTTATTACAAGCAAGTATTAGAATTTAACGAGGTTAATTTCAGATAGCTACGATAAGGTGAAAATCAATCCACGGGCGATAATAAAATTTGTAAATTCCGCTGCCCTTCAAATATTGTTATAATTTATACTAAAACTGTAGTTAAATTATTTATAGTTATTTTTACTATGACAACAATATAACTAGCATAGTCGGCTGAATGTATGACTTTTTAATCGGATGCTATTATTTGCCAATGTCAGAACAAACCGTTTTAAAAAACCTTTAAAAATGATAGAAAGGACTATTGTTTTACTTTATGCTTCTGTATTCCTATAGCCGTGATAGCTCAGTGTCCGGGCGCTCGCCTTTAATTCAATATAATCGAGCAACCTGAGTTCTATCCCCGGTGCCGGCACCGATGAAGTTTTTAACTTTAAGTGCTGACTTATCACGTGCTCCGCGGTGAAGGAAAACATCGTGAGGAAACCTGCATATTTTCGAAATAATAAAAATAATATATTTCGAAGATATGTGAAGTCCGTCAATCCGCAGTGGGGCCGCGTGGTGGACTACGCCCTGATACCCTCTGTATAAAGGAGGCCTTTGCCCATCAGTGGAACATGTATAGGCTGTTACTTTACTTTACTTTGATTCCTATAGCTGACAAAATAAAAATAATAATAATACAGAATGCGCCTACTAGGTAGTAATGTGTATCAGGGTCTAGGTAGTAATATGTATCACATACATCATGTTGTAAGTGGTTTTGGCTAAATTTTTTACGACAGGCCTTTTGACGTCAATCCTCCTTGGGAACAAACTTTCAGACCCGGAACAATTATCTGTGAGTCACACATGTACATGTCCCGTGTGGGGAATCGAACACACGACTCCCGGCGGCGAAGCCAAAATACTTTAACTTAGAGAAACTGCGCTATTACTTATATTTATTAAATTTATTTATAAATATTACCTTTACCGTAGTACAACATTATCCGGTGTTCTAAGGACTTTTTACAAAACATAAATTTCACGTGAAGAATTATTACATAAATAGTTGTGACGTGTGGGAATTGAACAAAAAGCCTATTCATTGATTGGTTTATACAAGACATGGTTATCCCACAGAATGAGCTACGGAGTAGATTGTTCTACTCCTACCATTTTTAAAGTTCCTTCGAATTCCTTCGGAATCCTTCGTGCGCGAGACCGACTCGCACTTAGCCGGTTTTTTATTTGTAATAAGTATAATATGTTTTGCACAGATATCCCGATGGCACAGTGCGTTTGCGCAACCCGAATATCGAACTTATGGACCAAGATATTTTATATCACTTGGCCCTTGGTAGCGGCTCGCACGATCTGGTCGAAATGTTTGGTGATGTCAAAGTAAGTTAAATATTATAACTACCCATAGCGGTGCATCCATTAATTACGTGATGCGATTTTAATACAAGGCTATGCCAAAAATATGATAGAATGTAAAACTCAACCTAATAATTAAACAAAAATAAGCTGAGCAGACTGAGACTGGTTCCCTCGACTGAGGAAATAAAAATGTAGTGTAATAAAACAATCAAAAATAATGTTTTCATTGCCTTTAAATTGAAATAAAAGTTATATGAATGACAGATTTTATCTTAAAAGCCGCTTTCAATGTTACATATTCTACCATCTTTTAAAATCTTCATCGGACTCGGATTTTGACATCGGACATTAATAAAGTTCGTACTCGTTCGTACCTTGACTTTATTAAGTTTTTATACGATTTCATGCATGCTTAGTAATGTTTTCGTACGTATTACGATAATTTCATCACTTTGTATTCGTATGCTCAGTTCGTATGCATGGGCGGTACACCGAAGCGAATGGAGCAGTTCGCCTACACCATAATGGCGGAGATCGGGCACAAGCTGCCCTGCGGCACTACGCTCCAGGACATCAGCCAGTTCTCGTACCGATACTCCATGTACAAAGTCGGCCCCGTGCTGTCCATCAGTGTAAGTATAGAGACGATTCTAAAAACAACCGATTTGAAGAAAATACGAACCAACCACGAGATACTATCAATGATTACAATCGGACCGATAATTATTATCGGATGCATTAATCACAAAACGACGTGACCTCTGCGCTGTGGCGTAACACTTTCTAATATAACAAAACTATATGTATGCTGTATTGATATTCTTTTATTTTTTGTAAGAAGGCGGCAAGAGAGCAGGTATGTGAACCTGATGTTAATTGATAACCGCCGCCCATGGACATTTGAAACACATGCATGTACAACACAGCAAGTAGGGTTGCAGATGCGTTGCCACCTTTCAATAACGAATGGACCCGGCTATCACCGCAGACCAATTGAAGACGTATGACACTTACATTACACGCCGGTTTTCTGTGAGGTCGTGGTACTTACTTGGACTGACCTGCCCATTCGTGCAACAGCGAAGACTGTTGCGTGGCCCCTCCACAGAATGTTATTCGAATATATATTCACACAAAAATATATATAATTTCATTTTAATTCATCTTGGTGTGAATTGCGCTCTATTCTTCTTCTATTTGCCGTACTCATTAATTCAATTTCTCAAAATATCACTTCTCTCTATCACATGTATGCAGACGATATCCAAGTGTACACACGGTCAACTCTTGAAGACTTGCCTACTGCTGTTGCTTCCATCAATGATGACCTGGCCGCTGTCAGTGAATGGAGTAAAATATGTAGTCTCAATGTTAACCCTACTAAGTCCCAAGCTATTATTGTTGGTGGTGTTGGTTTGATTTCAAGAGTTGACTGGAATAACCTTCCCTTGGTAAAAAATTAAATGGCGTTATAATACCGTACTGCACCACTGTGAAAAATCTTGGTGTCATATTTGATAATTCCCTCTCGTGGTGGGAACAATTGAATCATGTGAGCAGGAAGACATTTGCCGCGATGGGTTCTCTCCGTCGTTTACGTTCTTTTCTTCCCATTCCAACTAAAATTATGCTAACACAATCCTTATTCCTGTCCATTCTCGATTATGCGGATGCAAGCTATCCTGATTTAACCGAAGAACAACTAAATAACCTTGAGTGTATACAAAATTTAGCTATTAGGTTCATATTTGGTTTACGCAAATATGATCACGTTTCCGAATTTCGTTCTAAGCTCAAGTGGTTACTCATTCGTTTTCGCCGGAATCTGCACACTGTCTCTCTTCTGTACTGTGTATTATTTAACCCTAGGATTCCAAGTTATTTGAAGGAACACTTTAAGTTTCTTGGCCATAACCATTCAGAACGAGTTCTGCGATCCGCTGGAGAGCAATCTACGAGGGATAGGGCCACGCAGCAGCCTCGGCTGTTGCACGAATGGGCAGGCCCGTCCGGGTAAGTACCACGACCTCACAGAAGACCAGCGTAAAGTGGAAGTATGACAAATACTTTCACGTTTCGTCTGGTGAGTGAGGTAGCCGGAGCTACGTATCTGTAACCCTCGGATGTAGCAGATGTCCATGGGCGGTGGTATTTACTTAACATCAGGTGACCCGTCTACTCGTTTGGCGACTTTTCGCATTAAAAAACAAGATCTAATTCTAGCACCACATGGGTACAAAACTAAATATAAGAACTCCTTTACAGTGAGGGCCATCTGCTTTTGGAATGAACTTCCTCAGTAAATTCTTCGTGCGGAGACGGTACAAAAGTTTAAAAATGACGTAAAAAAACATTATCTTATCCTTTGTAATCCATAGTTTTCAATGGCAATATTCTAATTTAATTCTTCTTTCGTGTATTTATTTCTGTTTTTTATGTAAATTATGTACTTATTTATGTTTACCTATGTTTATTATATTTTAGTTTATTATATTTAAGTCTATACGTATTAAGTAAATTTATTGAGCACACCACCACCCACTATTCATTAGTTCATTTTTCCTCGTCCCAAGGTTGTCTAGAAGAGATCGCTTTTTAGCGATAAGACCGCCTTATTGTACCTAGTTTTTAAGACTTATTTTATACTAATTGTATTAAATTCTTTGTGGTGTACAATAAAGTATATAATAATTATAATAATATAATAAACTAGCGACCCGTCCCGGCTTCGCACGGGTGCAATGTATTATACATATGAAATTTCCTCTTGGATCACTCTATCTAGAAAAAACCGCATCAGGATCCGTTGTGTAGTTTTAAAGATCTAAGCATACATAGGGACAAACAGACGGCGGGACGACTTTGTTTTATACTATGTAGTGATGCACAGCAAAGAGACGTTTACATTTCAAGTGACATTTTACCACAGTCACTCACTTGTTTTGCCTTCCCGGAACCTCTCTTTAACTAACACTTAAACATTATGGTATGGTATTAAAATTCAAATTGACTTTTAAGTATTATTACGAATCTTTTGTACGGGAATATAGAAAAGTGTTGTTTTTGACTTTTTGAGACAATTTTTAACCGACGAAGCATTCTCGTACTTCAAGGAATATTATAAAAAACAATTAGCGAAATCGGTTCAGCTGTTCTCGAGATTCGCGCTTAGCAACACATCCACTGATTCATTTTTATATATAGAGATATTAGCCGTATGTTATACCGTTAGTTTTGTGGAAAAGGATAGTTCCTTTTCGGAACGGACGTGAAAAGTAATAAGCCATTACCCATATACCGGATGTGATATCACTCGGTTGATGTTTTACGTTATAAGGTTTAAAAAAAGAATATGTATTTGTTAGACCGGAAGTTTGGTACATGGAAGATATTATTAAGTACTAGCTGACCCAACAAACGTTGTTTTGCCATAGAAAAAGAATTTTCGAAACGCACCCATAAAATGTTTAACAGGTAGGAACAGTTTGTATGGGAAAATAAAATATTTGCTATTTCGATTTTCCAAACAATTTTTCCATAATTTCTCATCGTTTAAACCTTCTCTGGACTGTCACGAATATATCAAAACCAAAATTAGCCAAATCGGTCCAGCCGTTCTCGAGTTTTAGCGAGACTAACGAAGAGCAATCCATTTTTATATATAACATAGATGTATGAGAACAAAATGAAATTTGTAATAAGGTTTAACAAAATGTCTATTAAAATGGATGCTTTTAATACTACTTAAAATTTTCAATGCATCTTATATGACATGTCTTGTCAAGCTGACAAAACTGAATATAAAGTCAAATTGAAAAAAGGAAGAAAAGTGATAGATGAAAAGTTCGATTTATAAATTATAGCAAAAAGGTTATACATAATGCAAACGGCCTAAACAGTATTTATAGCGTTAAGTTTGAATTAATAAACTTTGTCTAAATAAACGGAAAGCTTTCCATGTACAGTATGAAATCAATTCGAAGCCGAAGCTCGTAACATGAATCGGTCACAATTTATTGATTTAAAGTTTGGGCTTCGTGTAGGGCCGTCTCTTTTTAACATTTATTGTACCCTTATTCATGGAACGTAGAATTGTTAGGTTGTATTTTATTACATTCAGATATTATTATAGTGAAATCTTCATGTGTGTGTGTAGTGGCTCCTGTCCGTAATTTAATAACTTGTGTTACCTTAAGCTTTCTTTTCAAAAAGTAAAGAAGAAATATATAATAAATTAATTTGAAGACATCAGACGATGTTCTGGCTTCGATTTCCACATTAGTCACATACAATTTTGGTATTTGTGATCGTGGTTTATAATTTGCTCTTTTGTTCTTTTAAAAAGCATTAAAAACATATCTGCTATATCAATATATAATTGATGACTCCGTGGCGCAGTCGCCAAGGTATCGGCTTCGGCGTCGGGTGTCGTCGGTCGTCAGTTCGATTTCCACACGGGACAACTATTTGTGCGACCCACAGATGTTCCGCATCTGGGTGTTTGTCCGCGTGAAATGTATGTTTGTAAAAACGTTCTTACACAGGATAATGTTATCCCAAAGTAAGGGCAATGTTTTTAAAAAAGGAAAACAAATATCTATACCCTCAAACAGACCTGTATTTTTATTTTAAACAGTATACTTATTTTGTAAATAGTATAAAAATCATATTATATGTGGATATTACTCGCTGCATTGCGTTCGTAAAATGGCTTCATTTATATGAATTGCAGCAATTGTATTGCACTGCGCTGCCATGTCGGTTCAATTGAGACAAACGACCAAATTACGCGTTCTGAAGTTTATTATTCGTATTGAGTATCATGTGGGTGATGTTTCATTTTAACTTATATCTCCGTGTTCCTCTAACTGGCAGACGTAGTCATGGTTGACACGATAAGGATAATCTTGTTTTCAAGGGCAACAGATTATGTTCTTGTCCACAAATGAAAACAAGTATAATATTTAAAGACAATTAAATAAAATAAAGTATATTAGCATAGTTTCGTCATACTTTTCTCTATAATAATCTAGAATAAGCTGATCCGTCGGACACTAATAAATGAATATAATTAATAAATACATTTGTCATCAGTTTTTGAAAGACTAATAGGAATGTGTAAGGAAAGTAAAAAGAGAGATAAATATATTTTGGGAAGTGTCTAGTCTGCCTCCAACCAGTCATTTAGTAAATAGAATTTTCTGGTCGCTAGAGGTAGTATTAGAAAAAATAATAATTCTACCGCAAGTTATTAAGTATTCAAGTCTGTCCCATAACGCAAACCAACAAAGTTTAATTTTAAATATACGTTATAGCGCGTAATGAAATAGTTCTTACAGTGGCAGTCTAACATAAAGAGGTATTTATTCTGCCGTTCTTTAGCCGTTTCAGAACTCTCTGCTTCTGGGTCCGCATTTTTATATTCATTCTAGGGGTAGGGACCACGAGACCACATAGAATTGGGGTGGTTTCGGATGTTACGAAAGTCCACAAAACAACGTTTGACGGATCGGCTAGTATTGTCTATTTATATTATATATGTTATATCTTACTATTAGTGGCAATATATTCATTTTTATTAAATGGTCACTGGTGGCGGACATTTCCTATATTTTATCTATTAATGAAAAATCCATTGTTATACAGTTTTGAGGGGGAGTATTTTCAGAACTACGCAAATTCTAAATGAACTCTATGTATACCTAACACTAAAGTGTTGGAAAAAGGTGATGGATGGATTATGATCGAACTTGAAATAAAGACACATGTTATAGCCATTCAGGGAATCCGTAACACTTTTTTTCTTGATCGTTGAGATTTTGGAAGTCAAACTACTTCTTTTGGCTTTACCTATACTTACAAGTTATAAATGTTATCAATTGTATTGTGTCTTTTGTCTCTTTTGAGTCGTTAGACGTTATTAAATTTATAGTTATTTTTCTTTATTTTGACGCTAAAGAAGTTATACTTCTTAGGTACGTACATAAGAATAGACACACCTTTTTCATTGACATCCCTGGATCGTAACGAACATTTTTATGATTTTTTTATGATTGAGTGAATCCAAAAAGTTGTATTATATTAGAATCTTGCAATTATATCGAATTATCCGGTTTCCCATTGTAATCGTGTTGATTTTTATCTTTTGGCAATCCATATAGTGAGGTATTTAATTTGATGCAAAATTCTTATAGAAAAAAAAAACGTTCGAACGTTTTATATATCAATCTCTATAACCGATGCATTTTATTTCTATACATATTATGTCGCTCTCGTTTGAGTTGGATTGGTGTAGTATTAGGCCGATTCTTCCCTTACTTGAATTGGTCGGACCAAAATGGAAACCGTCAGAATTCAACCAACTTTAATTACAATGTTATTGAATTTGAACGTTATTTATTTACATTTCCGTAGACAGTAACAGTTACATAATATGTTTTATAAAATATATATAAACAAATAAAAAACCCGTCAACAGTTTCCATAACATATATAAAATTATTTATTCTTTTTAAAAACTAATATGTTTCTCATCTCTTGAGTTGTTCGTTTGTTATTGCGGTATGTTTTTGTTTCTTTTTGCACAGTTTTGTTTTGATATACCGATATAAGATACACTAAACTCGACGAAACTCTATAAGATTGCGGAGATATATTTCGGCTGCCATCTCTTGCACGTATCAAGTCTATTTCGCTTAGCTATAATAAGTTATTACGTGATCATAGCTTCAATCACGTTGAGGTTTTTTAAACAATAATTAGTTTATTATTGTTAGTTTGCGTTGTTGTATTTTTGCATTTACATCGAAAATGTGGTCGGAATGGCGAAAAAGTTATTACGTCAAGATGAAAAATTAGGTATACGTTGTGTCTTATGTTCGTACCAAAGGTCAATAGTTCTATATGAGACTTATAATTAATTATGGCAATAACTTAAGAAACGACGAGCCGAATGGCGTTGTGGGTAGTGCATCTACGCCATTCGGGTCGTCGTAAGGGTGTGGGTTCGATCCCCACTACTGGAAAAATATTGTGTGATGAAAATGGTGTCTTACTAGTGTCTGGGTGTTTTTATATGTATAATATGTATTTATTTACAAAAGAAAAGTATGTTTAAGTATTTTTATCAGTTATCTAGTACCCATAGTACAAGCCTTGCTTAGTTTGGGACTAGAGTGTAAAAATGTGTCCTAAAAATATTTATTTATTATTTATAAATATAAAAACAAATTATTTATAGCAGTGAATGTAATAACAATTCTGTTATTTCCGATGTATAATTTCTTTTACTAAAATAGTGTAGTGGTTTATAAGCCGATAGTGTGATGATAGTTTTTAATTATATTTTTTCTCTTTTCAGCACGGCATGGGTATTCCTTCGGTTGGCATTTTGCTCCATGAAGTGATCAAACTTATGTACCACGCGAAGGTGCGCGATCCAGTGTTCTTCCGGATCGGGACTTGCGGCGGTATCGGTTACGAAGGTGGCACCGTGATTATCTCTGAGGAGGCAGTCGATGGGGCTCTCAAAAACGCCTTGGAATTAGTAAGTTTCAGCAAGATAATTTACTTGTTATGTTTACCATGAAAATTACAATTAGATGCAGTAGGTTGATTGTAATTACTGGGGAATCGTTAATTCGTTTAAAATAATTTTTTATGCCTTAATTTTATTTTATTTTGTTTCTTTATTTTTTTTACTTGTAACTTTGTATAATAATAACTTCTTTAACTGTTTTTGAATCTTAATAGTGTTTTGATTTTAATTTTCTTATTTAGTGCGCATACAATCTACGTCTGCTTACTATCAGGTATTATGGTCAAGTCCAAGAATAACTCTAACAGTGACCTTAAAAAGTAATAAATGTTTTTCTCTACTTTTTCAAGCATGCCAGTTTCCTTATAAAGAAAAAATGTTTAATACTCTCATTACCTGGCCCTTGATTGATCCAGTATAAATATTTCCCTTGCTGCACATTCCTTCGCACTTTACAGAGTGCCTATGGAAGTACGATCGTATCAACACTTATTGCACGTCAAATTTTTTTTACACAGTTTTCAATTCGAAAGTGATTTCGCAGACCGTCCTTGGAAAAACGATCCAGCGGCCCGCCAAGTTAGATCGTCGCTTGGTGCGCGAGCTGAAGGGCCTCGCCGACCCTGAGGACCCCTACGACACCATAACGGGGAAGACCATGTGCACGTATGATTTCTACGAAGGTCTGTTCACACAGAATACTTGCACGGCTGCTTTGACGAGAATTAAATTCGATGAGTGATTCCAAGCTGGGTTTCAGTTCCATATGCTGCCGCATTGCCGTAGTTGCTAATGTCCGGATCCTACATTCAACGAACGGCCGTTATTTATATAGCTTCGTAACTTTCATAACGACATGTATGTACATAAAAGACGTGTTCGCGCGGTTCCTTTATTAACAAACTGAGGCGTTTTCTTTACGAGCCGTTGCATTACCTACAGAGAGTGAGTTACTAGCGTTCCTGTAATCTTCAAGTCGTTATGAAATTTACGAAGCTATGTAACTAACGGCCGTTCGTTGAATATAGGAACCGCGCATACAAGTAATAGTGATACACAGATGATTTGTCTTGAATCTGGATGTTGTTCCCAAGGAGACTTGACATCAAAGAGGTGGTACAACCTAGTAAATAACACTAACAACATTTTGACAGTCGTGCAAAACCAATTAGCGGCCGTTTTCAATGTTATATCTACAGATAGATTTGGTTACGGGTGATTGAATTTTGACGTAAGTATCATGGAGCTAACGTCAACAACCTATAGCTAGTAACGAAATCTATCTGCACTTAGAATATTGTAACCGGCCGTTAGTTGGTTTGACTTCTACCCATATACAATTCCTTTTGGTAAATTTCTGAGGTTGCCTGGAAGAAATTGCTGTGTAGTAATAAGGTCGCCTTTTGATGACCAATATTTGATTAATATTTTGTTTTTTTTTGTAAGTACTTTTTTCTTTTTTGGTGTAAAATAAAGTATATTATTATTACTAATCAAGTAGTTTAAGACAGAATAACATTGGCGATAAAAAAGGCATAAGGGTTTAATCACCATCCTTTTAGTGTGTCAAACAAAAACTTATTCCTTACCGCACCGTTCTAATATTCTTATGACTTGGACATTCTAAATCTCGACGAAAACCCTTATTTATTTTATGTGATAAGTTGTCAAGGGAGCAGGCGGTTCACTAATGTTAAATGAACATCTTCGTACATGGACAACTACAACGTCCGATGGCTTTGGATGACCTTTAAAAAAGTGGGCCCCGGTTATATAATTCATCGGACGAAACGTAAAAGTTTAATACTTCCACTTTACGCCGGTCTTTGTGAGGTCGGCTCATAAAATCACTAAAATCGCCATAAATCACGCTCGTGTTGGCAAACTCCGTCCGTAGGCCAGGGCCGCTTGGACGGCGCGTTCTGCGACTTCACGGAGAGCGACAAGATGGAGTATTTGGAGGGCATCCACAAGGCGGGCGTGGTGAACATCGAGATGGAGTCGCTAGCGTTCGCCGCGCTCACCCACCACGCGGGCATCAAGGCGGCCGTCATCTGCGTCACGCTGCTCGACCGGCTCAAGGGCGATCAGGTACGCGCACTTTTCTATCGTGCAAGTGTGTGGATAAACGTTTGTGTGCATGAGAATAATAATAATAATAGGTGTGTCCTATTCATTAATTTATTAATACAACATATATCTATATGTATGTTTATTTTTCCCAAGCTGACGAGAAAACAAGTAAATATCCCCCCGTAATAATAATCGCTTTTTTTATGTGAAAAGTCGACAAGCGAGCAGACGGTTCACCTGATATTAAGTGAATACCGCCGCCCATGGACGTCCGCTACACCCGAGGGTTGCAGATGCGTGGACAACCTTTTGAAAATTGGGCTCCGGCTACCTCACTCACCAGACGAAACGCGAAAGTATTATACTTCCACTTTACGCCGGTCTTCTGTGAGGTCGTGGCACTTACCCGGACGAGCCTGCCCATTCGCGCAACAGCCGAGGCTGCTGCGTGGCCCTACCATTCTTTATTTCTGTATCTATTTAATCTGTACGTACACAACGAGGAGGTACGTATTATTTCATTCAACGATTATGCAAGTGTGCGTCCGAGCAATTGCTGTGTGGATAAACGTATGTGTATATGAGAATCTCTATATATAATATCTCAGGTTTTTGTAGGAATGCTGTGAATGCCATAATTCTTATCTTAATTATTCGAACATAGTTTTAAAGCTTAAGTATGTTTGCCGCTGTCGATTAAATGCAAACAAAAGTAAAGTGACTTTTTTCATAAAATTTGTTTTAATTAATTCCCATACTAGGTGCAGTAGTATGGGAAGTCCGTAATTTTGATCTGACGAAGAGTTGATGAGCAGTACTTAACAACTAAGGCCGTCGCCTCTTTTTTATTTTTTTCAAGCTTTTAATAAGTAAGTACAATGCCCTTTAACTATACCAACTTCTTTTGGAAAGGTTTTAGCGCCTAAGGAGGTTTTAGATGAGTGGCAACAGCGTCCTACCAAGTTGGTCTGCCGTTTCATCAAGAGGTAAGTGTTCTAATAGAGTATCTATTGTATATATGCTTAAAATTGTATGTCTATGGCAGCACTGCATAATATACCAGTCGTAAATGTTTGCGTTTTTGTTCGCTTCCCATTACTCTAAAAATCGTTATATATATATATGTATAATATATCGTTTCAAATGTCCCACAAATCTATCAAAGTTCTTACAAATCATAATCATGTTTATTCTTTCTTAACCCTTAACTATACCCACTTATGAACTTCTTTTCAAAAATCTTTTATTGTTGTTGTATTCTGAGTATCATCCTCTAACTTATGATTTAACTTTTTTTTGAATGTATACTTCTTTTGGTGCGTTTGAGGAAAATTATGACACCTAAAAGTGACCCAAACTTTACAGTGTTACCAAGGCAACCAATAACAATTTTTTGGCATTTACCTATAACTCGTAGTTATTTAATTAATCGGTTATCAATTGCATTGAATGTATTTTTTCACAAACAAAGAGCACTGGCACAGTGGTTAAAATTTTTATTTATTTTTCTTTTCTTAAGCTAAAGAAGTATAACTTTTTAGGTGCGTACGGAAGCTAACACATTTCCACGTTTTTCTTCTTAGATACTTGCAAATGAAAGGCCGCTTGTCATTGGAGGGGCACGGCTCGATCGCTGTCAAAAGCCCACGCCGCTTCAAGCTGGTGCAGCAGGAGTCGGAGAATTACGACTAATTCGCCGCTAGTCGTACTTTGGACTTAGTACCACGATCAATCAATCAATCATCGAATCGAGGCAGTGTGTGTTTAGGGGTGTGGCGGTAGCTGGCTTTATATATATATTTTTAACGGTCTAGTGATGTGACATGTTCCATGTACGTCCACTCTCTATGTGCCGTTTTATCGGTTTTTGCAACGCTTATAAAAATTATGGGTAAACTTCAGTTGTCACCAATATTGAATGGAGCAAAGTGTATATATCGATTTACATAATTACAAAAACAGAAATACAATCAAATAATTATAGATACCTAACAATATTATAAAAATACGTCTCTTAATAGCCTGTTGATACAACTGATGACAGTTTTCTCGGGCTAATTGTTTATTCATATATTAATAATAGAAGAAAATTTAATGAAAACTATGATTTTCGGTTTCCATACGTGCCAAATGCACAGTAATAAATGAAAGATCATTGATACAAGTAATGCTTACATAAACAAACTTCTATGTACAAAATGTATTTAAGATTTTATTCGCTTCAAATTCAATATTATTCATGTTTAATATTCTCTGTACTGTTTATCATGAAAAATTATCTGATCTCTTTTCAATTGCTATAAATTGTGTTTGAATAAGTAAATTAATAAAAGTTACATAGATTTTTGGACTACTTCTTTATCACATCTGAAATTAATAGCTTATATACTATTTCTATTCTATCTTTATACTACATAACGACTTCTAAAACATATCTGCAAGTTTATATTTAAACTAATTGTAAAAATTACTTTTTAATTTATTTTTTATGGTTCATATATTCTACCGCTTATTAGAGATATTAAAATTTTTAATGCCCTATTATATAAACTATTACAATGTCATAACAGGTAAAAAAAAATAAACGTGTTTATCATATGATATCTTAAATAACACAACATTGTTATATTGTTACATATTATGAGTATTAAAGTTTTATCTGGATCTCTTTTTTTTAAATATTGATATCCAGGTACACGTTTCCGCAGGTCTAAATATTTTAAAAACTTAATATTTCTGGTACCTTTTTACTTAAACTAACCAAAGAAAGAAAGAAAATACATTTATTTATCAAAATAAATGTATTTTCTTTCTTTCTTTAAAAACGAATAATTTCCTATAGATAATATTGATTAAGTATAGTAAGTATTACTATTTAAATTAATATGTATTGTCGTTTAAATCTCTGCTTGTCATTGAACTTTTAATTTCCTATAGGGTACGTATGTATTGCATATTATGCACAATTTGGCTGTATTCTATAGACAGTGATTTATTCTGGTTGCTATTGTTTTAGGATTCATAATAGGGTGTGAAACGACTAATTTTTAAATAAACTTGCAAGTTCTCATTGTTGCAAATCTGTATTTGAAATGTAAATTTAGCATTGTGATAAATTTTACAGTAGCTGATACATAATTATTGTACGTTGTATGGACCATCAAAGACAACCTGCTTTTTGCTGGGGTACCTAATTTCTTAAAAGATTTTGAAAAGAAAAATATCCATTACGTAATTTCGGTATGAAGATTATTTTGATTTTGTTGATTACTTGATACTTGATTTCGTAGACAAAATTACTCGAGGAACGATCTTTTTTAAAATCAATCAGTTGTGTCATATCAGAGTAGGTGGGTTGGTATAACACATCTTTTAATTATTATAACCCATCAAAAAGCCGGTGGTCTGATTGACACAAGTGCTTCCACAAAAATTGTTATTTAACTGCGTATTGAAATGAACAAGATAATCTGAGAGTGTATGAAAACGAAAGTTATATTATGTGAACTCCTGGATGAATGCATGATTTAATGGTGGTTAATAATTTTGCCGTGCTTTAGTCATAGAATTATACTTCATGGCCCTTGTGTATTTTTATTACATAATTTTGAACATATAAGAGCACCAATATATAAACAAATCTTATAACACTTAATTAAAAATAATCCATAATCACTTACAAATACAACTGTTTAGCATGTAATAATAAGGAGTGTTCTGTGTTCCGTAGAAATTGAAAAAAAAAAAATTTTATGTAAACCTAGTAACTATTGCTTTTTTTTAATAACATTCAAGTCAAGATATATATAATTCCCGACTTCCTAGATTAAGTTTTATGTTAATTTATTACAATTTGCAATTATAAAAAAATGTATTAATTATTTTAAGAGATTGTAAGTTTTCTTATTTATTTAATCAAAGTATACATTTATAATTAATCGTTATTCATCAATCAAAGAATGTCTCTATAACATTACTTGTTTTTTGACGAAAACGATACGTGATATTATTACTAACAAAGTCGCACTGTAGTTTTACAATGAATAAATACTGTTGAAGGAATTTTAATAATACACTTTATATAGATGTAGTATGACCGTTATGTTTTGAAAATGTTAACTGTAAATCAATAATGAAAATATTTGGTCATTAGATAAAATTATCTACAGTAAGCGTTGTCTTAGCTTCAACGATGTTAAGTATTGAATAAAAATGCAGTTGTTCCTTCAAATATTTTTTATTTACAGTTTTGTTCATATTGTTATTAATTTAAATACCGGTCTGTCATTTTCCTGAAAACGGTATCTATTTCTACAACGTCGGTTAGGCAGTTACTACCTACTGAAATTAATTTCATTTATAAAAGAAAGCTTTGACAGGATTTAGTTAAAAATAATGACTACGAAAATTTTTTTTAAATGTCTTCATTATTCAATTAATAGGAAAAATCACATTAGATGCATAGTAAATGCGAAACTTCTTTGACAGTGGTTTACTTATACCTTACTTGCGTTTAAACTTCCGTAATTATTGCAACTAATCATTATTTCGTACAATTCTTAATTTAAAAAAATAATATGAAGAGCAAATAGAAATTAAAAATAAAAAAAGTTTGCAAGCCTTTAATACTTATAACTAAGTATGTACACATTAACTATCTAGGGCACAAATTAAATTAATTTAAAAGAAAATTTGATGGGAAAAGTTAAAAAAATACAGATGGCACAGTATGTATATATTTTAATCGAAATAGAAAAACAATTTTTTTTATACACACTAGTTTTATTACTATGTAAACTAGCGTATTTTAAATTTTAAAGGTGGATATTATATACACATTTCTCAGAAAATTTATATGGTGTTGAAGGCACAGCCATTTCCAGTTATTTGTTTTTTTTTAAAAAAAAGTCAACGATTTTTTTCATCTAACTTCATTTTCTTCGAATAATTCAAGTACGTGATAAATGTATGAATAGGAAGTTCTTATTCAGAGTTGAATTTTTGGTAAACTGAATTAAGGACGAAGCTGGGAAAGCCGAAGAGAAAAATATCAATAAGAAGATTTGATAAGAAATGGTTTTAGGTACCAAAATATTCAGTCTTGATTAATATTTACATAATGTTCTTAAAAAACGTTTGTTTATTTTTATTGTGTGCCTTGTGCCGTTATTCAATTGACAAATCTTATAAAATTAAATGAGCATTTTATAATATAACTAAAGATGTAGGATCTATTTGAGCTGCAGGAACTTCATAAGTGCGTCTTGTATAAGACGGGGGCTGGCTTCACTATCTGCTGTGTATCTAACACCTCTGAGCGCTCCATCCTCGTTTCTAACAACACCATATTCCCCGACAATAAACCCGTCCGAGGTTCTTTCTTCAACTCTATACTTTTTATACTGCCTGCCCTCCACAACATAACCGACTTTGCAGTTTTCTTGTTTGCAATTCTCATTGTTCGCCTTCTGAACGCCATGGCTGCGACCGTCGGTCATAACACTGATTTTTTCATCGACTTCGTAGTTCTTTTCAGGTTGGTGTTCCATATTTGTCTCGGTGTTAGATTTATATGTGACTGTAGTTATTTGAGTAGTGGTTATATCGGACTCACTGGTTGGAGACGACGCGGATGTAGTTTGTGCCCGCGGTGTCCAAGGTGTTCGATTTGGTAGAGACGTTAGATGCAGTGAAGCAGGTTGACTGTAAAATTTTGCAGGTTCACTGTAAATTTTTGCCGGCTCACTATATACTTTAGCTGGTTCGCTGTAAATTTTTGACGGCTCGCTATAGAATTTCGCCGGTTCACTGTAATATTTAGCAGGCTCACTGTACACTTGGGAGGGCTGACTATAAACTTTCGTTGGGGCGTTATAATAGTCTTGATTCTGATTAAAAGCATTACTTGGTTGTTCGTAGTTATTGGGGACTTTGAGATTGTCGTGTACAATATTAAAACTGACCGTTGTCAATCTTGTATTGCTCTCTCGTTCAAGCAATGATTCATGTGTTAAACTTTGCAAATAATTTTTCGCAGTTAAAGATGATACTGATCTTCCAATTGGGATATTTTCTATGTTTTCTTCTGTTTCACTTGCTGTTGCGTCTGCATCAAGTTCGGTCTTTTCATATGATTCTGTTGTAAAATCTTCTTCTGTTGTATTATTGAATCGTCCAATATTGTCTAAGGGATCCTCTTGTTCATAATTGTTTACGCCTTTAGCTTCTTTCCTTGCTTGTAATTGCTTAATAAAATCTAAGTTAGCGCCGGGCATATATGGAATCACAAGAGTTTCATTTTGGTTTTCCACTTCTTGGATAACCTTTGTAATGGGAGGCGATAAAGTAACATTCGGGTTAGACGTGTATTCATTTTCAGAGGTCTTATCTGATTTTCCTTTTCCTCTACCCACAGCAACAGACGAAGTTATTCTTACCGATATAACTTGTTCGTCGTGTTTTTTCAATGAATCGTCCTGATTGATTTTACTTCCATTATCGTTGCTTATATCAGGCTGCTTTTGTATAGGTTGGGGGTTCACTAGCGTATATGGCAAGATCTGTAATAAGAAACGAAAAACATCAAATTATTCGTTTGTATAACGTAACAATTTTCATTAATATTCTACATTTCAATTCGTATTTTTAGACATTTAAAGTGATTGAAGCGACATTTTGTAAAATAATATTTTTCGTAAGTAAAACAAGAAGTTATTAAAAATTAATAAATGAGCTTGTTCTAAAGAGCCGTTATGTAAAGTAACTGCTTAGATAAGAAATGTAAAAGAAACAATGTGAAATAATGGCAGTCTCATGGAGACTGCCAACAAAAGTGAGAACATAAAATAATATCAGAATTGAAATTCTATAATATTTAATTCTACGTATTTTATAGGCATTCCGAACGATAATAACATTATTTAGATCATATCCATAAGTAAAAATATATTATTGCGTATTTCTTTTTTTTAAAATAGCTCATGGAAAGCGTTCGGTGACGCGAGTTCCATGATTTTTGTGTTACCGATAAAGTGCTTAATGCGCCTAAAGAAGTTTTCACTTCAAACATTTTTATGGGGTAACTTTTAGAAGGATTGGCCCCTTTTTCAGGTTTGGCCTTTTTTTTCGGCAGCAGTTTCTATGCCGACTCAAATGACGTTGAATCATCGCATTTGCCGAAAATGGTGTCTAAGTCGTGTTTGGCAAAAAATGTGTTATTAAAACAGATTTTCTGGTTTAGTTTTTTTTATTCAAATTTTGAACTTATATTCTATGTCTTTATTACTATTTAAAGTAACAGAAAGATAAGATAAAATTTTTACAAATCGCAGCTCACAGCACCTATAGTTTGTGACATAACGGAAAATTGTGTGAAAATGTTGTCGTGAAACATTATTTCAGGTTCATATTCGAACGCTGGTATTTCACAATAGGTTTGGATGGTTCACAATTGGAAATATATGGAATTAAAATATTTTTACGTTTTTTTTTTGGGCTGGATGAGCCACTGTTGGCCTTAGGGGCCTTTACAGTTACAGGGCCTTTACATTACGGCCGACGGGCTTGAGGTGACCTGGCGAACGAGGCGCCTAGCCTGAACCTCGGCGTATTATTATTACGCGTTATGGTGACTAAGCTCGATGGCTCCCGGGGGAGCCTCGGCTCGGGCCGTCACGCTATTATTATCACCGCTTTGGGAGGCCGCCAAGCTCTTAGGGCACTTTGGCGGGCGCCAAAGAGTATGGAGTGATCAGGCTCAAGGGTCCCCGAGAGGGGAACTCGGCTTGGGCTGTCACTCAACACGCGTTTAGCATTCCGACTCGAGGGTGCCCGAGAGGGCCGGACCTCGGCTCGATCGGTAGCTATTATCTGACTGGGACATTATCTGACTGGATTTTTACGTGTAGGAATAACCAGGTAATAGGTGAACTAGTAGGTACACAAGTTGCGGTATGGGCCTAGTTTTGATTTGAAAATAGAAATTGGTCGAAATTCGGTGTCCGATAAAATTCATGTTTAGAATAGGCATCTATTAAGTAATTACATAGGTAGTCATTTGGATTTCTGTTTATAGTTATAATCATTTTGTACATTAAGTTTTCCGATTGGAATTGTTTTAGTGTAGGTTAGATTACTAGCAAATTTACATATACAAGAGTTTTTACTTCCTAGTAGTTGCCGAGTCAGAGTATTTTCAATTTAAATTAGCAATTTGCCAAAATCTCATATAAAAAATGTTTTTCAAAATGTTAAATTTGTTTCATAGATAATACAACTTGAACAAAATATGCTAACTACCGCTAATATTTGTAAATGATGATGTAAAGCTTTACTAAGGGATAAGCTGAAAATCAGCACTGAGAAATTCTCAAAAATCGCTTAGCTTTTTGCCAAAATGTTATTTATATAGTTATTTTTGTGTATCATAGTTTGTTTTATATCTTTTTGTTTTTTGTTCATATTTTTCTATCTAATTTTTTGGGTTATGGCAAATAAAGTCTGCCATTAATTTTGTTTCCTCATATCTTAGCGATCGGGAACAAAAAGTATACTGTCATTATGGTATACTGTCATCGGGATCAATAGTACAAATGGGTGTTCCCCAGGGATCGATCCTGGGCCCATTTCTGTTTTTAATCTACATAAACGATTTGCCATATGTGGTAGAAAAAAGCTGCCTTCTTTGCCATACGCAAGATCAGGCAACTAACAAACGAGGCAACAGCTAAATTAGTTTATTATGCTTATTTTCACAGTATTATGTCTTATGGTGTCTTACTTTGGGGTTCCGCATCCGGTTTAGACACGATATTTGTATTGTAAAAGCAAGCGATACGGGCTGAAACGAGGTTTAGACTAGCTAAAACCAGGAAATCGTTTCTTGGTAGATGTATTAACTTATATAATAGAATAGGTGACATCCACAAACAAATAAGTTTAAATAATTTCAAACATTTTGTAAAAGCCACCTTAATGGAAAGGGCTTATTATAATGTCGAGGAATACATTGAGGACAAGGATGTGTGGAAATGACTCTTGCTCTGCACTTGCAAGTCCCCTGGCTCCAGCTAAATTATACTAAAATAATTTTGTGTGTATACTTAAATACTTAAAAAAAAATAGAAATAAAATATACATATATGACCGCAGTTTCTTGCCGGTTCTTCTCTTGCAGGTCTAGTTTAGTGAACCGGTGGTAGTTTTTGACGTTCAATAAGAGCTTAAAATAAGCCTATGTTGAATAAAGAAATTTTGACTTTGACTTTGAAAGTATTATTATTATAATAAAATTGCTATTTTTTTAAATGAGATGTTGGCAAGAGTGCTGGCGGTGAAGTTAAGTGGTAACCGCCGCCCTTGGACATTAGCAACACCCGTAGGGTTGCAGATGCGGTACCACCTTTAAAAAAATGTAATAGATAATATAGAAACAATTCTTAATATAGGTGTTAATTCATCATCAATAAATAGTTGTGGCAAAAAACTGTCGCCATTTTATTTAAAATATTATAATAGTCACGATTATATCCAATATTTACAAGATTAAATCCAACTAAATTACATAATATTACAAATAATAAAATAAATTAAATAATATTAATGTTAAAACTTACGCGGAATGGTGCCAAGAACGCTATGAATCGATTTTAAAAAATCTTTTTGCAATGTGTTCGGTTTAGCTCCCATGTGGTCTCTATTAATTTCATTTATATTGGAACTTAGATTTCGGAGATACATCAGAAAACTCTTCAGAATCAAATAGAAAACGTATTAAATGAAACTAGTTTACGGATTTTGTCGCGTTTTTATTTTGTTTTGAAATTCCCGTCTGTCCCGTGACCATGAAAGCTGGAGAGGGTTCGAAACGTCGATAGTAACTGAATTAGTTTCATTTAATACATATAATATTCGCGAAAACTCAAGAACTCAATAGAAAATGTATATTGAGTGAGATATTTGAAGTCGCTTTTGTTTCTATAAACGTCTCAAGATAATCTAATTTTTAAACAAAAAATAGTCTAGGAATGTAGTCAAGTTAATAAAAGATTCACAGCTGATATGCGTTCTGGGGGCGACGGAGCGTTAATAAACGGAGCGGAAACGGTTCTCAGAATGGCGCGCTGTCGGCTGTCAGTGACCGAGTGTTCGGCCTTGCCAACCAGGCTGGCAATCACAGCTTTTCATTGTGATGATTTATAAATTGAGAAGGATTTGTTTCATAGATAATAAATTTTAGAAGTGAAGTTTTCTGAAGCATTTTTATAAGATTTAATTATTCGATCGTCTTGTACATTTCCTTAAAATAGTATTTTTAAGTAAAAAGTTTTATAGATATTTAACTCCGAGGGACGTGCTTTAAATACAATTTCAACTTCGCAGTTAATATGACATGCGACCAAAAAAGTTACGCATAGAATCATAGAATGCAAAATAATTTCTTTGTGTAAAAAAAAAAGTAAAGTAACAAACAGCCTCTAAATGTCCCATTGCCGGGAAAAGGGTCTCCTCTATACCGAGTGTATCAGGGTCATAGTCCACAACGCGGCCTCACTGCGGATTTGCGTACTTCACATGTCTTCGAAAAGTTTTTTGTTATTATTTCGAAAATAGGTGTTTTCCTCACGTTAGTTTCCTTCACCACGGAGCTGTGATAAGTCAGAGCTTAAAATTAACAATTTCATTGGTGCCGACACCGGGAATCGAACTCAGGTGTCTCGAGTATATTGAATTAAAGGCGAGCGCCCGGACACTGGGCTGTCACGGCTCATTCTTTCCCTGTTTAGATGCTGTTTTCTTTGTGTAGATATTCGGAAAGTGAAGAAATTATTACCGTGCTTTACAACAATTAACAATTACCTTATATAAAATTCTTAGACATAAACCCTTCGTCGTGGGTAAAAACTATAAATTATAATATCAATTTTCGTATTCGTTGCTTTATTTTAACATGTTCGCTGCGGCACCAATTTTTGCATACTTTCCGTTCCTATGGCACGAGGTGTTATCGGCCCGCACAAGCTCGCGTAAGGTGCGGTACGAGGTCAGGGAGGGTATGGAACGTTTTTAGCCTCTTTCCGCACTGAGGCCCAAGACATCCTGTACACATGTCAAGTACATATTTATCTCTTTCCGACACTGCACCAAACCGAATTTATGCCCGTTGCACGACTGAGAAGTTCACGATTTTCCTTGCCGCACACAGGGAATTTGCATGAGGGATGATTTAGGCCTCGTTACGCAGTGAACGTGTTAAGCTAGTTCCTACAAGTTTGAGAAATAAGTTCGTTTTAACGATCCCTATTTATTTATTATTCGGCAAAACGATAATGTTATGAGGCAAATTGAAATGTCAAGCCAAACGCAAAAAAGTAATCCGTTCGGAATTCGGAGGCAAAAAGTGGGCGCCTCTAGATGACAGTAAGTAGGATGATTGAATGTTGTTCGCAAGAATGCTTTTAGCGTTGTTGTACTCGTATGCTTAGAAGTGTATTAATTAACATTAACTACTTCAATTAATCGAGGCTAAATTACAGGATCAACTCGTGAAAATCAAATATAT